CAGTTTTATTTTCTTGAAGATATGAGCAAAAACAGAAAGATCATGGATTAATTTGCAACATACCAAACAGATTTTTTCCCAAGAGAAGATGAGATTCTATATGCAGCTCTGATTTTTTAATGGAAAAGTGGCTGAAACTGTGTTGTGAATGGGAAAATCCACCCTGATATTGAGTTGGTTTTAATAGAAGCAGAAAAATGAGAGGAACAGGTCAGTGAAAGTTTGAGCAAATTCTGATTACAAATAGGAAATTTATGAAATTGTGAAGTTGCAATCAATCAAATACAAGTTGGCAACTCTGTGATGTATCTTATTTGCTCTGTGCAAAAAAAAAAACCAACTAAAAATTGTCATTTTCCCTCAAGAAACTTTTCAATAATACATGCACCCTAAATATAATTACCTGTATTGCAAATATGTTTCTAGTATGGATGAAAATCTATTCCATCAACAGTAACAAAGAAAATTAAAGTTTATGAAATATTATGTACAGAGCAGATTGGAGAGGACCTCGCAAGATACATTACAGCGCTGCCAATTTGTGTTTGATCGGTCGCAACTTCAAAAGTTCATAATGTCTAATACAACTCTCCAATCATAATACTGATTTCAGAAGATGTGCTTGTGACCTGTTTAGAAACATTAAGAAATTAACAAGTGACCTTTATCAATGTTTTATGACTTTTTTTTTAGCTAAACTTTTCTTTGGCTATTCATTCGATCATCACAAATGACCAATATGTTTGACCCATTTTGTGTGGACAAAAGCACAAGGCTGATTTGACCTGTATTTTGAACAAACTTGTTTGAGGTTTCTTTCAAAGTTCATGTCAACTAAGTATTGCAAATATCAATTTTATGACTTAATTGTCATTCCATTATCTTCAATGACTTTAGACCTTCAAGTTAAGTTTAGGAAGGTTGTTGAGATATAATTTATGAACTCTATCAATCAATCATTTTAAAGTCTATAATCCCTTCTGGGTTAGTGGGTTGGACAGATTTATTCCACAATGTCATTCTCATAAATTAATTTGCATCCATTTGTCTTCTTTTATGGTGACCAAGTTGAACATAATGCTTTGCCCTTATTAGTTTACCCCTTTGTAGCTCTGAGATGATTGATCAAATATCATTTTAGGATAGAAAAATGTGAAATTTTCATTGCAATGCTGGAAAGCCTTTGTTTTTCCTGCCACCAAAATATGATTTTGTAGGTATATATATCCTAACTTCCTTGTAGAATACATACTGTGGAATAAGTTTGTTAATTCTAAAGATTTTTTTGATTTTTTTAATAACACTTCCCTATCTGTCTTCCCCAACTGTTTAAGAACTCTCCTCTGTTTGATAGTTTCTGCTCCTCTGCCCCCAAGCAAATCTGGTCTCTCTCTCTCTCTCTCTCTCTCTCTCTTTCTATCCCTTCCTCTCTCTCTCTCTCCCTCCCTTCTCTCTGTCCCACTCTTATCCTCCTGTCCTCTCATTCTGCCTCTTTCTCTGTTCAATCTTTTTTCCCTGTCCACTATCCCTCACTCGCCTCTACCTGGCCCTCTTTCCCACTGCATGGTTCAACTTGGGTCTAGAATACTGAGACTATTAAACTTTGTTTTAGCTTAAGCCATTTCCTTGACCATGGCCAATAAAAACAGTCTTTGATTACTAGGCAATATATCTGACCAATCAGAAGGAAGCAAAGTACCAATAAGCAAAGTCTGATATCCAGAGCTGGGTTTTCTCAGATAGTCTTACTCGATCAGACTGTAACAGTTCTAATACACATATTTTCTCTTTACGTTTATGTTTGACAATGGCGATGAAGGTAATGACGCTTTATTTACCTGGCTGCTAAGAAATCTATTTGCTTGTAAGCGCATAGGGGACCTACAGCTGTAGGTACTCTCCAAGGGACTTGGTAATTGGTAACTTAGCATTAATGCTTTACCAATGGGCACCACTACATCAACTTGACAACCTCCCAGTTACGTGACCACTGGTCTTAACCTCCAATCCATCCAGCCTCAAGTAATTTGAAAATATATTCATAGTTTCCACTAACTTTGTTGATGTTGCTCTCTTGAAAATGTATTTTAAGGAGGCTTGATAGCTTTCCTGACCACAGATTCAAAACCATGTCACTGCTCTAATGCCCTTTGGTAAGAAATCATTCCAATTCTCGCTACCGCAACTATGGTTTTTGGCCATAGAGGGCAGCACCGGCGATGGGTATATTTTGCAAAGACGTTTTTGGTTTTCCTACAAATACAGTGGGTCGAGAACTGGAAAGTCTGATAGAAGTTATAGTTTCAGATTAAAGATAAACTCCAGTTCTGGTAAAAAAAAGAAAATTAATTCTCACAGAATCAAACGAAACTTACACTGAATGTTCAAGATTACAAATAAATGACATGTGCCAAACAGGTTTGGAAGAAAATGTATACTGGCTGAGTAATGAGCATAGAAAGACAAGGAAATCAAGGTAGTACTAGCCCCGACACCATGTGTGTTGTCCCATATATAGCTTTCTGTGTACAGTGCTGTTACTTTACCAAGACTCGGTCAAATTTATTATGATTTTGATGACTCCAGAACCTTGCAGTGCACACCAATACTTATATGCTACATGGTCAACTGTTTCTGATCCTTTCCACACCTTTTCTTTCACAATGCAATCGCATTACCAGTACTAAAGTTTATCTTTAACAGATTATGATGGTGCCTAAACCTAGATCTTTTACAAAATCAAGTATGTAGCAAATGTTGCCAGATGATATGTCAGATCACAAGTGACGTTCTGACCAACAATCATATAGGTTTAACGAATCTGGTTTACTCTGATGTGTTTTACTATACTTTGTTACATTTCTTACTTAGGCTTTCTCTAATCAATGGCTCTCTCTTGTTTTCTGGGTTTTTGTTATACTTACCGGTATTTATTTATGATTTGACATATTCATTATTTTAAAGGTAATACAAAGTTTTTGGAAATTTTGAAAATTGGGTGGATAGTGATTCTTTACAATGTTGATATATTTGGATGCCCCTGTGGATGTTTTATAAGCTCTAAAAAATTAGACCCAAAAATACTTTTGCTTTTGAGAAAAATGGAATATAACAATTTACCGGTGCTCCCGGTAAATTTTGATAAATTTCAAATAGCACCTACGGCCGTACAATGGTAGCTGCGACCATGAAAATCTCAGAATATGTAGTTGTGATATACAATTTCTAAACAGGATTAGCTAATCGGTCGATTTGGGTCAAGAAATGTTGTTTTATAGCTTAATTAATATATTGACCTTGAGAGGGAGCTATACAACATAAAGAGTGTATTATTTACAATTTCATAACCTTAGACTCGATTTCAACCGCGACAACGATCACTGAATATTGTAGGAACGCATATGCTTCCCAAAATGTTCATTTGAACCAAATTCATGACCTCGTACCAAAACTTTGTATTACCTTTAAGAGAGGGGTTGTATTTCCTTCATGCTATAGTTGACCCTGAGTTGTATTTCCCATAATAAATCGAGGTAAAGCTACTTGATTGTGTTTTGGTCAGGTGACTCACTTTGTACTATCATGAAAGGTTATGATCAAGATATAAATAAACGATATCATCATCTATTGTGTTCAGGGTAATGGTGTCCTGTGCATATACTCGTAGCCTGTTCAGGGTTCAGACCATGAGGCTGTTCACACCGGCAGAGATAGCGCGCGCTAGACCTCGCTATCTCTGCAGTTTGGAAGGTACAACGTCGTTTCGGTCCGCCAAACAGCGAGCCACGGCGAGCCAAAACGGCGTGTCACTGGAGCACCTCTTGGGGGTGGTCCACAAGAGATAGCGCGGTCTAGCGCGCGCTAGAAAAAAGGAGGTGCTACGATAGACCGCGCTATCTCATTGCAGTGTGAACAGCCTCTAAGGTAGCTTAACGAAAGGTATCGGCATGACAAGACCCGTCCGAAACCCAAAATGAATAAATATTTAATCATGTTTGTTAGTAAAAAAATAATTATACTTTGACAGTTAAAAGACATGTATGCTCACGTAACGGTAAACCTAATCCTGATAGTACATGTATTTTCCAGCTTCATGTATTTTCCAGCTTCATGTCTTAGCAATGTGGGTCTACCTCTGTGTGATAAAGTTCTGGATGCGTGCCACTACATTTCACAAAGAAGAAAATATCAACAATTTCAAACAGAATATTTTCTGAATGGTAATTTCATGCTGGGCATATTGATATATTGGTTTGTAAAATGGGCCCTTTTCATGCCGTTATGATACTGGCTCTGTATGAAGAAGTTATGAATGAACCCAAGTTTGGGACTATACTCCTAAATATTTGGAGAACAGATAGCAATTGATAGAGAGTATATTCATTTTTTTGTTTGTATACCTAAGTAATAATGTTGCGGACCTTTTGTGATCATGTCTAATTCAACTACAAAGTTTATACACTTAATGTCATATCAATATACTTGCTTTTGAAGATTCATCATAATTATATGGAAACCAATTCCAGCAAATCATTTTATTGCCATTTCGGTGGCAAATTCCCCAGCATCATCAATCAGAAAAGTTCCAGTTATTCAAGGAGGTCTGGTTAATGAGACTAATCCCCTCCTTTACCAAAGTGGGTTTCGACCCAGTATGAGCATGGTATGAGTAAGCAATTGACTTCTATTCTCTGTGTGTTGTGTGGCATGCGTATGCTCCACTTTTGTCTGCCGGCCTGCCTGTCATGCATAATCATGACCTGAAAGTCAGCCCAAGCCATCGACCGTAACAGCAACCAGGAAAGAGATATATGATATTAGAATCTGATCCATATAGCAAGCAGCGAGAGAGCAAGGATTCTGACGGGATAATCTCTGCTTTGCGTGGAATTATTGTAGGATACACCATCGTAGTGCTGTGGCTGATGTCATTATTTTGCTCTTAATTAATCACCAATAAGGACGTTTCCTATTCTTTTTGTCTTTTATCTTCGTTGCAGCCAAACATCACCGGATCACACGATGAATAGGAAAAATGGAGGAGGTGAGTTAAAACTTTTTCAAACTTTGTGTTTACTTTTTGAAATGTTATTGTTTATATACCAATAGTCATTATAGAGCAGTTTAAAATGTGGTATTACTATAATGATGAAAGGCATATTCTTTATCACTGTGCTTGTGTTTAACCTGCTAGATTGGTTCTGTTTTGTTAACTTGTTTTCTTATATATATATATATATATATATATATATATATATATAGGGTCAGGGCCAAAATTAGAGGGTTTTTTAATTACTGTATTATTCATGATCAAAATGTTATACCACAGTATTTGTGTTACGGTTATGATTGGGGGTCAACTACTTCTATCACACGACTACTAGGTGATATGCCATTCAATATATGTATTACATGATTTCTATATTTCAAATTTTTGTTGTTTGATATCGTAAGAAATAATCAAAAGGCAGACAACAATTCACTCCCCTCCTCTCCCTTGTTGCCCTCTCCCTCCCCCTTTCTATTTCTCCCCCTCTCTCTTCCCCTCCCCCTCTCTCTTCCCCTCCCCCTCTCTCTTCCCCTCCCCCTCTCTCTTCCCCTCCCCCTCTCTCCTCTCCTCTCCTCCCCTCCCCTTCCCCCTTCTACTCCCTCTTCCCCCCTTCCTTAGTGCCCTTTCACCTCCCTGTCACCATCTTCCACTCCCCCTCCCTTCCTGTCCTTTCACCCACCCACCCCTCTTCCCTCCCTTTTCCCCTGTTCAGTCTCCCTCCCCATTCCTCCCCCACCCCTCAACCTTCCCCACTACCTATGCATTGTAATTGCCAAAAGAACTGAATTTACAGTGAACAACTAAAGTGCTCATACCCCTTGTAAATTTGATGTTTTTGTGTGTATTGTAACTCAAGAATGAAAGGTGAACTGGTTTAACCAGTTTTTAAATACTTTTAGATGTAAGCTTTAATATGTCTCACTCTCAAGAAACTAAATCTGGACAAATCAGTTTTGCACATACACAGGGTATAAATGATTTAGTTGTTAATTGTTTGTGTATCTACCAAAAAGGAAGTAATTGTTTACAAAAAGGGTAAAAGTAGGGGAAGTTTCTTACTCAGTAGCTTGTGGTTTGTATTGATGACAGGCAAATACATCTTCATAGGCCTGTATACATGAAATGTGTATCAATCAAATCAAAATCAATGTAAAGAATCCAATTGAGTGGACTTTATATTGGTATAGTTCATATTATGTGCACTATTGAAATTGCATGTTGTGATAACATCAATTTATTATGCATCCTTAAAAATAAGGACTAATTACTGATTCATGTTGGTGATAATAGCATGTTCCAATTATCTTGTTGTTGTTGACATGGCATCATTTCCTAGTTCAAGAGACGCAATACAAAGTATAAAGGAAGTAGGTTTTTTTTTTAAATAACTGGTAATGGTTTTGAAAAACCAATACTACTACTATTAAATGGTTTAAATGGTTTCAAGGCCTTTTATAATTATTGCAACATTCTCAATAATAAGGAAACAAAAATCGTTAATAGGTTTGTTGTTGAGAGGGGAAATCCTCGAAAGTACTTATGGGAGCACCGGTTGTAATATGACAGGAACAAAACAAAGAAAGAGAAGGGGGATACGATATATTGGTATATTCAGGATCTACATGTATGATATTTCATCTCTTATTTGCTTGCTACAGCACTCTAATGACAATAATGATAAAATACAGCTTTGGAACAGCAAGAGTAGTGAATGTTTAATTAACCGAAGTCAGAGACATCTATCTAATTGTTTCTTTTTGGCTCAACTAAAAAAAAAGTAGTCCTATATTTTTTCCACAGAGCCGCTAACTATTCTAAAGGAGAAATGATTTCTATTTGGGAGGGCTTCAAAATGTTGCGATAGATTCCAATATTCCATTGACTTTTTCTGAACATGTTATGAACTTGTGGTGAATTAAAGCATACAAATTGGATTCTTCTTTTTCCCTCAATACTTAAACTGGTATGCAAAACCATTTCGTATGCAATTCAATAGATTCCTCTCAATTCTGAACCTTCTGTGTAAATGCATACAAAATTACCCTGTAGTCCTAATTTTCTGTGGAGAACTTTGGCAGGTAACTATGCTTTTGCTATATGCATAAAGCACATTCTATTTTAGTCTTCCCCAAAATAATCCTGTACACGAAGACCTTGTCATGAGAAGCTTTATTGAGGAATCGATAAAAGAACATGAGAAAACACTTGCCATATATGACATCATTAACTTCACACTGAAAACCACATCAAGTCACATGACTTCACGTTGTATAACACATCGTTCAATTAGCGAATTTCCTTCCAGGTGGTTGCCGAAAAAGGTCGGCATAGCGATAAGAGGCGTGTACGCTTCACACGAGTCACGTCTCGATTGCTCCACGTGCCGTATCGTTCGATGTGTACAGTGTGAAGGGAGATCGTGGAATTGGCCATGACCTGAAACGACATCTAGAAGTAATTGATTTTGAAATAGAGTGTCTGTAATTGAATGCTAATCCCAATATCAGGGATAATCTTTTAGAAAGAATAACAATTTATTAGCAACTAGCAAATATCTGGTATTATATTTACCCTTGATTTCACCTTTTTTCTGAATATGCCTATATAAGAGCAAGCACAATTATGTATTCCTAATGGAGACTAGAGAGCTTCTTAATTCGTGAAAACCATGAATAATATATATTTTTTTACAAATCTTGGAATATATACATTTAGATAGGTAGATAGATAGATAGATTGATATCGATATGCACAGGGCACATTTACCACAGGACTTAAGAAAATTAAGCAGCACATTTTAGGGGATTCCTTCTTTCATTGGTGGCCTTATCAACAACTTTCTCTTTTGCACATTTTCTACTAGTGCCCTGAAGGAAATGACTCAGCGAATTTAGGAAAGTCATTCAAGTACACTTAGTAATTACACTTGAGAGGCATTTCCTCATCAAGTTGTTGCAGTGCTTACTTTAACATTTTGGACTGAAATTTGCAATTAGCCAATTGTAAAATCATCTGACGAAAATGATTTATATAGCATAATTATTTCACTGTAGCTGTTTAAAAAAAGAAAGAAAACTTGAGACATCGTATAGGGGGTGGTTTTGAAATTGAAATTTATTTCATTTACTTATTATTCATTTTAATATTCATTTACTCATACATTCATTTATTTGATTCGTTCATCCATTGGTTAATTAGTTTGTTTATTTATTTATTTAATGTTTATATTTATTCATTTAGTTTTTTCTATATTTCATGGAGCTCTTTTTAACTGTGGACACTTAATTTGTCCTTGTTTTCACGAAGTGACGGTAGTGAGGAAAATCGTCACGCAAAGTGAATGCAATTTTTTTTCACTACCGTCACTTCGTGAAAACAGCGACGAATTGTCTGCTGCCCAAGTGCAAGCCCATTGAAACAATTTTATGAAAATAAGCCATCTCCAGCAAGAACTTGAAGTTCCTTTCTGTGTTTTTTTGCCAACTTTATTTTTCAGTAGAAGAAGGGATTATAATAGGTTATCTGTGAAAAAAGTAGATATCCTGAGAATTATGGTAAAATTAACTTTGCTATTTTCCAGAGGGTTTGTAGCCTGAATACTGCCGTATCATTTGCCATAGATTACCAGTATCGAGTGTGAGGGGGATATCAGTTAATGTGATATGACTTGGTGACAGTTAGTCAGGAAACCCTTTAGCTATGACAGTCTGGCGCAGGTGGGGAAGGGTAGCTATAGGTAAGGGTTGTGAGAGATTTGACAGGACTTATCAAGGGTTCATGCAGGACCGAAGACTGTAATTTTATGTCGTGGTCTGTTCTCAGGAAGAAAGGGAGCTAGAACAGACTAGTGCAGGTGGGGAAGGGTAGCTATAGGTAGGGGTGTGAGAGATATGACAGGACTTATCAAGGGTTTAGGACCGAAGACTGTAATTCTATGTCGTGGCCTGTTCTCAAGAAGAATGATAGCTAGAACAGACTAGCACAGGTGTGTAAAGGGTGGCTGGGTATAGGGACATGAGAGTTTTGACAAGACTTATCAAGGGTTGGGTACCAAAGACTGTTCTCCTATGTCTGTTGGTTTTTTTGAGAGGTAGATTAATCTAGCATAAGATGTGGAAGGGTGTAGCTATGTAGGAGTGTGATAGATTTGGACTTATCAAGGGTTCAGGGCTAAAGGCTGTACTCCTATGTCCATGGCTTCTTCAAGAGGTAGAAGAGTCTAGCATAGATGTAGAAGGGTAGCTAGGTAAGGACAGGAGAGTCTTTGGCAAGACTTATCAAGGGCTGAGGACTGAAGACTGTCAGTATACTCCTATGTCTGTTGGCTTGTTCCTCAGAAGATTAAAAGCAAGATCAGTCTATCGCAGGTGTGGAAGGGTAGCTATAGGTAAGGGTGTGAGATATTTGACAGGACTTATCAAGGGTTGAGGACTGAAGACTGTAAATTCTATGTCGCGGTCTGTTCTCAGGAAGAAAGGGAGCTAGAACAGACTAGCTCAGGTGTGGAAGGGTAGCTAGGTAGGGGTGTGAGAGATTTGGCAAGACTTATCAAGGGTTGGGGACCAAAGACTGTCAGTATACTCCTATGTTCGTTGGCCTGTTTCCTGGGAAGACCAAGAGCCAGAGCAAACTAGCACAGGTGTGTAAGGGTAGCTAGGTTGGGACGGGAGAGTTTTGACAAGACTTATCAAGGGTTGGGGACCAAAGACTGTCAGTATACTCCTATGGCTGTTGGCTTGTTCCTGGGAAGACCAAGAGCCAGAGCAGACTAGCGGAGGTGTAGAAGGGAAGCTAGGTAGGGGTGTGAGACAGATTTGACAGGACTTATCAAGGGTTAAGGTCTAAAGGCTGGACTCCATGGCTTCTTTAAGAGGTAGAAGAGTCTAGCATAGATGTGAAAGGGTATAGCTAGGTAGTGACAGGAAAGTTTTGACAGGACATTTTCCAGACTTGAGGACCACAGACTATACTGAAATTTTGTCTGTTGGTCGATCCTGTGTGTGTTGTAATGATGGAAATATTTCTTAACTAGAGACTTACTTTAACAAAACAAAAAAGTCTGATTTCCCAACTAGACACCAATCAAGTTGCATTTCTTTTTCCAATAAAGAATTACACATAATTTTGTATCTAAAGAAAATGTTTGGAAAAGGTGTTACAGTTCAGGTCATGCAGATATCATGAATTCTTAACTCTGTAGTAAGATTTGCCAACTTCTGCAAGGTAATTGGACACTAAATTGCCTAACTGGCAAATCTGGGTGCTCTGGATGCCAGTCATATGTGCTGGAATGTATTTGAATTATTCACAGTGAATTTGATATAATTCCACTTATAAGCAAGATAGTTATGAAAACACAGGCTATATTAGAGATAATATTCAGAAACCCAAAGTATATGATTATTATCACTAAAATGTGATACACTTTTTTGGAGAAAGAGATTAATTCATTCATTTTCAGTTTAGCACCTACCTGGATTAGTGCACGTACATGCGACCCCCCCCCCCCTTGCAAATCACCTAATGATTCTATAATTAGATTTTAATGACAAAGACATGAGTATTCAATCATGAATGCATCATTGATTTTTTTTTTTTTTTATTGAAAAGGGATATTATAAACAATGATAATTGGGTTGTTGACATCTGTGGTTGGAGATGACATTGGGTGCAGTTCACGGCGTAATTACAATGGTATTCAGTGCAGACAACAATTGAAATATTTCATGGCACATAAACCAGAACCTTTAAAGGTGAAGTTCAGTTCTGGTCATGCGATTGCATTGTGAAATAAACGGCAAAGAATCGATCAGAAAAAGTTGATCATGTAGCATATAAGTATTTGTGCGTACTGCAAGGTTTTGGAATCATCAAAATGTTAAGAAATCTGGCCCAGACTTGGTAAAAGTAACAAGCTCTGTACACAGAAAGATATATGGGACTACACAAACATGTGGCATAAAAATGAGGCCCAAATTTTTAAGCTGTTTACATGACATATTCAGAATAGGAAGGCATTTGAAGAGCCATACTTTACAGGGAACATTTTTTCTGTGATGTTCTTCTACACTTGCACAATAACAATTATGACGCTCACAAATTATGTTTCACCTCTTCCCAGAACTCAACCTTCTCTTTAAGGTTAGATGATAAAGATTAACCAAAAATGCATAACAAATACAATAATGTGATGTGAGAAAGGTTTGTTCACCTTTATTAGTGCCGGTACATGTTATTCAAATCATAGTTAACCTTAACCTTTTCTGGTTCTGTTATGTCTTCATTATAAAAGTTTATGACTTTTGTTTGTATTTGCTTGCATGTGCTCGTGCATTTGTTTGCCTTATATGCCTTTATTCATATGTTGTTTTTTTTTTTTTTTTGTAGTCCTATTTTTTAGAAAATGAAGAATAGCATAAAATATTTTGATATAAATATCATTCTATGACATCAAACTTAACCATGTTTAGAATCTACTAACAAGTTTCCATTTTAAAAGAAGAAATACAAACTTTTCTTCTTCGAGAATATTAACAATTTGGCAATCTAGATTTTTATTTAATGGCATTGTATAAAGGGGTTTATGGCATGAGTCAGTCATTAAACCAGACATTGTTTGTTAACTTTATGAGATACGGATATTGTGTTCAATTTGTTCTTTGTTTTAGCTCATATGAAGAAAAAAACATGAGCAATGAAAAGGAAAGAAGACAATATTAAAAACTTTGGATTAAGTGGAGCTAGGAACAGATCATCATTCAGTTTGATTGTCAAAGCTGTTATTAAAGAAAAAAACTGAGTGTAATAATTCTAATAATATGCCTTGTTTACCCAGGGTAGCCTCATCAGTATTTATACTGTTCTCCCTGAGGGCCCTTCAATTATACAGAGTGCACTTTAACTTCTATGTGTGGATGAAAAGTAGTTTATCATCCAAAAATCAAACTTTATGACTATGATAAATGCTTTTTTTTTATTTTTTTTTTATTGTCCCAGAATCATTGTTTCCAAAGACATGCTCTTATGTCAAGATGATTAGGTGCCAAATAACTTTTGATGTCCATTACTTTCGGTTTCTCATATTTTTTTCTGTGAAGCATATACATTTACAAAGTCAGATCCGAGGTTTCTTTCCACTTAGAAGATTGTTCTAGATACACAGGACTCTTCTATATAAACAATAGGCATGAACAAAAGTATCGCGTGACTATCTTTTATATTTGTTTGACGGGTATTATTTTAAGTCTTGAGATCTATAAATGTATTTGACAGATCACGCTGAAGCAAGACTAATCATAATACAAAACAGATTTATGTTGAGATGAGTTAAGACAAGGTGCCAGATCATTGATGATAAACAATAGATTCGGAAGATGCTAAGAAGCAGTAGGCCTGTATTTACAATCTATAAAACAGGTGCAGGGTATTTTTAAGTTACCAGGAAGAACAAAATGGAATTACATGGTGCCACAAATTGTCAATGGTAATATTTCAGTGCTATTTCTTTCAAATATTCAACAGTTTCAATTTTTAAACTGTATTATGTAGTTGTGCACCTACCTGGCTATGGACTTATTTCAAAACAAAATTGCTTTGAATGGATGGAAAGGCGTCATCCATCATATATCTTATATTTTCAAAACTTTTCAGGAACATTCTTGCCCTTGTATATTGTTTTCAGAGACATTTTATTTAAAGATACAGACCAGCTATGGTCATGCGATTGCATTGTGAAAGAAACGTCGTGGAATCGATCAGAAAAGGTTGATCATCTAGCATATAAGTATTGGTGTGTACTGCAAGGTTCTGGAATCATCAAAATGATAAGAAATTTGTCCCAGTTTTGGTAAAGTTACAAGCACTGTACACAGAAAGATGTATATGGGACTACTCGACACGTACGCAATATCTGTCCTGGAAGGGTTAACAATAAATGAATAGCTCATACGTTGTGCAGGTGTCCAGGACACGAGTAGCTAGCCCATTTTCCTTCTCTTCCCGATTCCACGTTGTGATAATCTGAAATGTTTCGAGCATGGACAGTCCCCCTTGTGCAGCTACCTTCCTGCCTATTATGATCACATCACTGATAAAAACTTTTTATCTTCAAATCTTTCAAAATCTACAGATTTAAAGATTTAAAACAATAAAAATAATAAATAAATATGTAGAACAAAACACATTGAACGATACAAAACAGACCTATGATGCTGTGATATTTTGCAAGTAAATCAGATTTTGGAATCAGAAATATTGAACTTATTTCTAAAATGGAGCAGGGTCTCATGAGAATATACATACGCAGATTTTTATTGGCAGGTAGCCAAGAATATGTTGTCTTTATAAGTAATGTTTGCAGCCCAGAAATGGTCAAATCCCTAATATGGACAGGAGTTGTTGTGCCAAACTATGCAAAAGAATGTTGGATTTGATTTGAACGTGCAAAGATTTCTAAAGCAAAAATTTGGAATGGATGTGGTGTGTGAACATGATATATTTTTTGGAGTCAAATATTTCTGTGAAAACTAAAAATTCTTTGTAGATGACGTGTATTTCAAAATCAATTTTTATCAGACAGGTTCCCTTCCAATACTGAAATGCAAGTCAGGACCTTTCTTTTGTTATTCTTGTTATTCTTGTATGTGTTCAGAATTTATAAAAATTAAGACAAGCCCAAGTCTATCTATAGCACATAATTTTGCCACTATATACACAATACACTGTACAAGTATTTTTGCAAATTTTATTGTTTTCAAGCAGTGCTGGGCCACATACACATTTAAACAAATTGACCACATAACAGTAGTAGATGCCAGATTTAATTGACCCAACATATTTAATATGCATTGGAGAACATGTTAATACACACTTTAACATCACATGACTGTTTTGTGATGGTTGTATCGTGTATTAAGAGCCAGAAAGGCAGTAGCTCATATACATTAAACACAAAGTCAACACCCTTCTGGTTCCCGACAGATGACAGATGCATTGATGATCCATCCTGTTTTGGTTTTACTTTTACTTTCCCTCCAAGATTAACGAGGGTTTTAAGAGAGACATCCATTAAAAGCTTACTTTTTATTATGATTAATTGATGCATTGATTGCTTCCTGTGTAAAAGCCAGGGAGTATATTTAACTACCAAGGGCTTTATACGAAGTGATCTTAGCTTGCACTAGCTAATTCCAAAAAAGAAAACAAAGAAATTTAATGATGAAGACTGATTAGGATATGTGAGCTTCTAAAAATGTCGGTTTTCTTCCTTCCTGAATAGGTTGATGTAATCTTGTGTTATTGTGTTATGATAATGACATATTTTTTCCTGAGCTACTTTTAAATTTTAAATTCTAAATTTCTTTAGCTTGTAAAGGAAGCATTTTGATTATTTATTAATGTTTGTATGTTTTGAAAAATAATCTTCATGGTTATTTCATCCTCTATTGAAACCACTATATTCTCTGTTTAAATGTCCATGCAGCCTTTGGGAAATGGTGTGTTGGAGGGGGGGGGGGGGGGGATTGGCTGGGTTTGAAGTGCATGGATTCAGACTATATATATATGGTGTTATGGAGTCTAATATGATGTTAGGAGGAGAGGGGCAGAAGCTGTTTTTAAGAAGCTGGTCTAAAGTGGGATGTTTCACACATTGAAGGGGATCATAGAAGGATTTACATCATCAAGCATGTTGATGTTTCAGTGCAGTTCTAGTAAATTCTAAATGTTTGCCGAATGAGATTGTAACAAGCCCAGTCATAAATATTGCAATGTGCTGTTCATCGGCATCAATATAACCGATGATTCTCCGTTTTATCTTTTGTTTCTTTCAGCATCAGGGGGAAGAGACAGGGGAGACACAGCGAAGAAAAAGCGTAGCCTGAGTCTGAAGGGTATTTTGAAGGGAATTGGAGACCACTTCAGAGGACAGACAGGCAGTGCCTCAAACTCACCTCCTAAAGCAGAGGGCTGTGCGGATCACTCAGGTAAGCATCTTAAGTTCCATGACAAGTGATCCTGCAACAATAGACCAGGGTCCCGTCTTATAAAGAGTTGATATCAATCGCAACTTATTTGCGATTGATATCAATGGCAACTTTGTACATAAGAGATAGGAGATTGCAAACTTGCGATTGATTGGAGGACTTACGATTAATTTGGATCAATCGTAACTCTTTATATAAGGCGGGCCCAGTTTACCAACATGTTCAAATTTATGGATGTTTCTTTCCTGGGGACCTAGTGACAAGTTATTTCATTAACCTGTTATTAATGAATGAACTACAATACTTGGAGTCAAGTCTGCTTACATTTCGTGTTGCTATGTCGGCCAAGCCTCGGGTCAACTTTTCAGGTTGTCAAGAAGACTGATACTGCTATTGAAAATACATAGCTCTTGTGGACTTCTTGCAGATGCTGATAGCCTTTTTTTACCTTAACACTTTCTGTAGTGTTAAACTCCCATAGGTCTACACATATTAATGTCATAACTAAGTCCAGGGAGCTAAGTCCAGAATACATTTGATTTGGCATGGGAGCTTATTGGGGCCTGAAGTAGAGGTGTGCCAAAATGTAGCCTTGATGAAAGTGATTGATTATGAAGAATTATAGAAAGGGAGCTAGAGAGGGTGAGAGAGAGAGAGGAAGAGAGACAGACAGAGAAACAGAGAGGGAGAGGGAGACTGAGAGAGACACAAGAGAGAGAGAGACAGACAGACAGACAAAAAGAGAGAGAGAAAGCACAGAGGAATCAGACTGAGGGAAAGAAACTAAGGTACAAGAGAGAGACAGACAGAGAGCGACGGAAAGAAACAGAGAGAGCGAGAGAGAGAGGGAGAGAGAGAAATTAAGGTAATACAGGAGCGCGATTGAGAGATTGAGAAAGAGAGAGAAACAGGGAAGGAGTTTTTGATTGTCTTGTCTTGAGAGTACAGTACCTGTTGATCTTAGTGAGGTTGGCCCCCCTCTCTTCCTGTCTTGATTTCCAGGTTTACTTCCTGCCCTCCCAAGACGTCTATTCAAAAGAACCCTGGATACAGTGTAACGATTCTCCATAAGACTGTCCTCGTCAGCTTAAGTTTGCCAAGTAACCTGCTATTTTAACTATCCCGGGTTGATGAAGACGCAAATCAACTGGTTAATTTGCATCTTCACCAACCCGCTGTTGCAATTAGCGGGATATTTGGTAGAGAAAATATCACGAGAAATCTTGGTCTTGTTTCCAAAATATCCAGCTATTTGGGAAATAGCAGGCTAATTTGCGCTTGCCCGAGCTAGTTTGTAATAAGCGTATCAGTCTAGTTAAGACGCAATTTCGAGCTTTGGGATAATATCCGAGTCTGAAAATAGTGGGATTTTTGGCAAACTCGAGCTGATAGTCACACCATTAACACTCCCCTGAATATTACCCCTGCCTTTTAACTTTAGAACCTGCTTTAATGAATGCAGGAATATCAGTTTGCAGGAGCAGAACTAGAGCTATTTTCAATTCTGATTATGTAGCTCCCATCTTTATGCACACGAGTGGTTCTGATCTGTCCACAAAACACACAAGATATATTTGGGTCTTCTTGTAATACACTTTATACATTACATCTTGCCAGGACCCGACCCCCCTCCCCGTTCCAAAAAGAAAAGAGGCTTATATCATGGACCTACTACGCTCTTTAAAACTATATCAAATCCCAAGGGCCGAACTAAGGCCAGTTTCAAGTCTGACTAGTTTTCCTCTCTCCAGCTCAAGATGAGGTGTGAACAAGTTTGACAAGGGGATATAGCCTCTAGCTTCGCTGTTCCTTTTTACCCTTTTACCCTTCTCCTCTAATTTCTTTAATGTCTTTTTCTCCTGCTCCGCCAATCCAAGTTCATTACCCTCCTAATTTAAACGGAACAAAGCAAAAGAAGTCACAATGTCTGCAACAAACCATCGTTTTTTTCTCACATTACAGAGTTTTGTCGGAAGTTGCTTGAATTCTTACCCCCCCCCCCCTCCTCTCTCTCTCTTGATATTTTCTCATCTCCTTCTCTCCCATTCCCTCTCTCTCTCTCATAAAAAAGTATATATGTACATTAAAAGCATCTTTTGAAACCTTTCCTCCTTTGGCCTAAATAAAGTACAGTAAGGATGCCCATATCCGTTTTTCAGCTATTGTTCCAGTCACGACTTCTTGACCAAAATGCTTCCCCGCCATGACCCCCTTTTTTCCTGACCCCTGCTCTTTTTTTATGACTAATATCCCATGTTCAGGCTTGCAAAATTCATCACCTAATAATAATAGAACGTTATAACTATATTTTGTATGATAGGCGACACGATGGCTTGGTAGTAGAGCGGTGGTCTCGTAATCGGGAGGTCCAGGGTTCGAAACCAAGACAGTGGGCTAGTGGCCTTTAGTAAGGCATTAATCCTCATTACCGAGTCCCTCAGACCTGTCGGTCCAATGGTTGCTTACTATCGAGGTTTTCTGTAGTTTGAATGTGGTACAACAAAATGTTGTCACCAGTTCAACCAAATTTTTGGCTAGAATCAGGTTTCTCAAACGTCTTTCAGGCCAATTTAGAAGGTGATGAACGCAAAGCCTTTTTTAAAGGGCTTTAGATATGGGCATATCTAAAGACGCAAAAAGGTGTGTTTTGAATGTGACATACAGCCAGAATCACGTTTCTGAGAGATCGATAAACGCAAAGCTGTTTTGAACCTCACATACAAATAGGAATTCCCAGGCTAGTTTCCGGTTCGGAGAAATAGCGCTGAGCAGCTGCGAAGAGACAAGGCCTTTATTGTGAATCTTGAAGAGTCGATAAACGCGACATCCCGCAAATCACGATCGTATAGTGGGGTTCGATAGTGGGGTATGATAGTGGGGTATGATATGTACATATCTAGTGGCAAGCCCCGATAAACGCGCCCTAAGACTCAGTAAAGCATCAGGGTCCATTGCTCATGTGAATGCCAAAAAAATGATAACTGGGCAGTACTAATTGCGAGTGACCATTTCTGATTTGCAGCCATTGAAATCCTCACCCGACCTGTTTCTACAATGTTGCTTTCACATTGAAGCCCCGCTGTCCTAGTTGTAGCTACTTGCTCCCTCTATAAAGAAAACTTCCACAATTGGTGCCTGTTGGTCCCCCATGATCCTCTTTTTCTTATGTTAGTTGAGAGCTGAGTTGATGAGATAGCCACCTGTCAGTGACCTGGCTGAGTGGTCTAATCCCTTCTGGCCCAGTTGTATTGACAGTCTTTAATATGACTCTTTGCTGCAAACTGATTTTATAGATATTTCTTTGTATAACTTAGTGAAGATTTCTGATAGTGCGAACAAGCCGATAGTGATTAAAACAAATCCTATTTCTAGATTTTCTACCCCAAAAGAACTATAAAGTTAGTGCCCCCCATTTGTACTTTTTATACTTTCCTATCTTGCATCTTTATTTGACTACTTGCCAAATATTGCCATTGGAGATTATGAATTATATCTAATTTTGATAGAAGGATACAAGACAATAACTGTGGTACAATTATTATGCCACTTTATATAAAATTGAAAAGTTGATGTTCCTGTCTTTAGATATCAGCTCACAAACTGCATTAAGGTGTAGGAGGTTTGCGTTGAAAAGAAATTTATGAACAATACTTGGAAAAGTGAACAGTTGTGGATGTTCTCACTCTATTTATAATAAGTTTTGCTTTATATTTGCTGTAGAGAATGTTTTTAGAACCACAAAATTAAGTTCCTTGTTGATACGTTTATAAGTTTAGCTGTAAATAGAACAGAGCAACAGTATCAACAGGCTAATGGCCTGTGTCTATGAAACGGTTGTGAGCATCTGTTAAAAGACTCCCCAGGGAGTGGAGAAGTTTGTATGAATTTTATGCGAGCAGGCCTGAATCGGATGACTGGGATAATGATATATCTTTACAGCGCCTAGAGACATTGTAGATGTATTAGGTGCTATATAAATCCAGAATACTATGATCATTAAACACATGGCTGTCTGCTGAACAATCATTGGATCCGGGCCCAAACGATCACAAATGAATCAAAATTAGATTTAAAATGAAATTAATGTAATTTTTTGCCTATTAGTATGAATAAGGCACAAGCCTCCTAACAACAAGGAAAGAAAATGTAAACAAAGAGAAAGAAATGAAGCTTTAAAGGCTCAGAACAGAGCTAATAATCTTGAACACAAGAGGAGTAGAGGAATATTAATGACAAGTTTCATTACAAATATTTTACATTTGATTTTTGTTTTGTTACTGCATGGGCAGTTTCAAGTTTGCAGCATTGCAGCCACGTTTTTGGTGCCTGCAGTTGCCCCAAATGTGCCTTTCCAAAAGAATATAATATGATATACCTGCGTAAAGTTACACTGTAAAGAAGAAGGGGGTGGAGACAGCACTGTACTGGCTTTTAAGTAAAACAATGAACCAACTACATTAGAAACAAAATGCCTAAAGAGTCTGAGAATGTCATGATAATTTATGTTTAATTATAATGACAGCTTGTCGTTAGCTTTTATGAATTATGCTTCACAAGTCATTAAAAACCCATTCAGTCTACATTGGCTAAAATAATGTTCAATTTATGTAATACAGAAATTTGGCATGGCCTTTCAACAGTGAAAGTCATCATAATTAGTAATTATCAACGTCAAGGCATATTGTGCAAAGGTCTAATGCTCAGTTTAACCTTGGTAGATTTGAATTTACAGAAAAAAGGGCAGTGAACTCATAATACTTCGGGATGTAGAGCTATGTTGGCTCTTAACAGAAGATAATTAAAAGTTGTTTAGTTTCTCTCGGGAAACATGTTCAGGATTTGAAATAATGTATATAACCTTTGACCGCCATATATTTAGATTTTCAGGGTAGCCCTGTATATGTAATACAGTGTAATTATTTAACGGAATTTCTTACCCTATATGTTCCAAACAGAACCCTCAGATCTTCCCAAAAGTCTCTCCTCACCATTCCACAAATATAATACTAAATTCTACGGGTCTCGCTCTTTTCAGGTTGCATCGGCCAAACTTTGAAATAAATTACCGGATACTGATACTGTTGACAACTTTAAGGCGCGTCTTAAAACATTTCTTTTCAAATATACTTTCCAATGTTAACGAGAGAAAGTATTTTGAGCAGATCTCACTCTTCTTATGTTACTCTATCCACCTTTCCTTCTTACTCTTTCTTACAGCGCATAGAGACATATTGTGATATGCGCTATATAAGTACGGTATATTATTATTATTATTAATAACCTTTAAAAAAACAATTTCTTTCAAATTATGGAAGATGAAATGAGGAGATTAAACGGGTCATTAATTTCCCCCATTCCCCCAGGCATGGCTCCATTAACTCCACTGTCCCACCCTATTGTTTTAATGTGATGCCAACAGGCTAATTCGCCAATTAAGCCTGGAGGAAGCGTTTTCTAAGAGCGTAGCTGTCTCTCTGCATCTGTTCCCATACTGACAGGCGCGATCTTGCTACACAAAGCCAGCCTGTGAGAATCGGCTTTTGTGCAGCACTTTCAGACGAAAGAAAATATTGTATAAAGAAACATTTATGGATCATTCATTTCAGAATGTTAAGCTAGCAAACACAGTTTCACAAAAGTATTTTAAATGTAAGACGTAGAATACATGAACTTTGATTTGCAATTTTTAGATAAGGTTATAATAAACGAGAATGTACTATGAAGCACATGTATAAAAAAGATGCTCTTCCAGAGGGCTCTGTTTCCATTATTAAAAGAAAAAATATATGCAAAATAATGTAAAAAACTTACATGTTTAACGGTCAGTGATAAGAATGACACAGTGTTATTTTAAACTTTTATACAAATAATGTATGAATAAATATTTTGTACAAAAGTTGAAAAATGAAGGGAAAATATAAATATGTATTGTATAGGCTATGCAATAGACTGGTCTACAGACATATTCACATTTTATGCATACATTTAAAACAAAGGTATTTCTTGACAGCCTGAAAGCTTGGCTGAGGCTTGTCTGGCATAGCAACAAGTAATGTATGCAGATTGGATTCCAAGTATTGTAGTTCATTCTTTAATAACAGGTGGATCGAACACCTCATCACTAGGTCTCTGAGAAAGAAACGTCCATACATTTGAATATATGTTAGTAAACGGATCTATATGATCGTATTAAGAAACATTGTATAGTTCTGCTTGTCTGAAGGGAGAAAGGGGTATATTCTTGATGCATTTTATTACCGGTATGTCTCTCTCTCTCATTAATTTAAACAGAGATGGGATAAAGCAGATGCATGAACAGCTTTGATTCTGAGGGATTTTCAAAATGTGGATAGGGAGTGATGAGAGAAAAAAAGAACCAAAGAGAAAGAGAGAGAGGGAGAGAGAGGGAGAGAAAGGAATGAGGAAATTAAAAAAGAGTGAAATAATAAGAGAGAGAGAGAGAGAGAGAGAGAAGGGGTGGGACAAGGGAAATATGGAATGGAAAGACAGATAGAGATAGAAGGATGAAATGGGAGAAAATGAATAAGAGAGGGAGAAGGGATTCTGACTATTGAAATACTATTATTCTTATCAGTGGAATGAAATAATTTGTATTGAGGCACTTCACAAAGACTTATGCATTAAATTTGGTTACGTTACAAAAATGTTAAAAGAGAAAGATAAATAAGTATCAGTTGGTATAAAGGCACCTTAACAAATACTTTAGACTTGTGTTGTCCATGCCTGGACCGATCGCTACATGGTTGCCGACTTGGTGACCCAGTTGGTGGATGACGTGGATTCTGTGTGAGGAGATTCCTAGCCCATTTCCCTACAGGATATAAGCATTGATTATCTGTTTAGGAGTCCATGTACTTGAGACTCGATAAACCCTTAACTCTTTCTTGATAAAATATTAGGGTCACTCATACATTAAGGAGTGCTGCTCCATACATGTGACGATACTAAAGCCTTGTTCAGGTATGGTGTGAATTGTGCGAACGCACTCATGGTCACGAAAATTTAACTTAACTCGTAGTATGAAACAAACCATGACAAATCTTAAGGTCAACTACGAACAGCGAGTTGTCCTCACTCATAGTTATGCGCTTTGTGGATGCAATTAATTTGAGATTACATCAACTGGTATTTAAAATGAATGACTTCCCAGCACGTAGTTAGCTTTGAATACTCTGGTCCCGTGTGAACTCTCGTCATTGTTAGTGGATCGTTGTTTAAAACGTCAAGGTTTTGCAAACTTTACTGTTGGAACATAGCTGTATAGATACAAGCTCAGTAGTCGGCGATTGCTATGTCAGCTAGATTTGCGCATGGCCTTGAGGTGTCTGACCAGTGTGACACACTAAGGTATGGTCAGTGAGATATCCTTTTATCAAAGTCCACACTCCTGAACCAGGGATTAAAGAGGGGATTAAGAAGTATGAGTCAAAATGACACTTGGTCTGTTGCTCATATTAATCCATATGCACCCCTTGTTTCGTGGCTTTTGGTGTCGGTTACGACAATATTTTCATGGTTTTAAATATTGGGTTTAATCAGTCCCAGGGTTCTAAGAATAGATAGATTATTACAACTATCTGACTTTTCACATGAGTGAAAATAGTCAATAAAGTTATAGATGTTAAAGGGAGTGTCTTTCCTGTGGCCTGACTCCGGCCAATCGGGTGTAATACAACTACGGACAATGCCACCGCAGCAACCACGTGCGTGCAACATATGAAAGAAATGAATCGTGAGGAAAACTTTGGTCTATTTTGCAAAAGTTGACATGTAGAGATTAAGTCGCAGACTACTGTTAATCAAGTCCATTCGTTTACATGCAGATATCCAAAAGAAGACGTAGATGGGGTTAACCAGTATTTACCAAGCTACACTCCCTTTAAATGAGCATATACGGAAGAAGGCATACATTCATGTGATATAATATATGTTGTTTGAATAAATAATGAGTTCTACAATTGGTCAAAAACTGGTCAGTTGAAATGAAAGTGCGATATTAAATGATTTATTTAATCTTGTTGTTTATTTCAGACGAATGGCTGGCGGTGAACTGTAACCTGACTTGCGAGGAGTTGGCTAACATCATGACAGAGTTCAAAGGAGGTCAAATAGGAGAAGATGAACTTTGGAACAGGGTAAGAAAGAGTTTAACCCTTTACAAGACTAAGTTGAACTTGAACTATGGCAAGGCCATTCAGGCCACTGGTTGCTCTCACCATTGGTCTCTCAAGGGACAGAATTTACATTTTTTTTGATACTTTATTGTTGAAGGAAAAAACATTATCTAAAGATCATAATTTCTAAAGTTTTTTCCCTCTAATTTTACATCTGGTTCAAGACATTTTAAGGGCATAAGTTGCCTGCCATAGTTCAAGTCCAACTTAAGTTGATCTTAGTCTTTGTGAAACACCCCCAGAATTCTTTGGAGACCTGCATCAGAATATGTTAAGCCTGTCAGTACTAGTTTGGCCAGGGGAGATTAGACCTCCCTGCAAGGTCACTGATAGGTGGTTATCTCATCAAATCAGCTATCGATTAACATAAGAAAAAGGGGATCATGGGGGACCAGCAGGGACCGATTAGGCATTGTTTGCTATATAGACGGCGTGATTAGCTATAAGTAGTGCAGTGGGGCTTTAAAAGTAAAATATCATACAGGGCACAGAACTTTTTAACCACATTCATGGGGTTTCGTAGAATCCTGGGGCTTCACCCTCATGGTTTTCCCGGTCCATCAATTAAGACCCTTAATTGCTTGTCAGCTCTGACTAATCTGTTTCTATGTGAAGGCTCACAGAATGCACCAGGTTGAACCCCGATGTCATGTTCACGTAGGACACAGTATAAAACTTCCTACCAAGAAAAAAAAAGTGTGGCAAAATACGGGCGATTTATGTACAAATACAATTTATGTATGAATTATTAAATGATTGAGAATTTGAAATTACAATTAACATTTAAGACTCCAAAATTTCAATCTGTCTTTAATAAATTACAGAGATGGAAGCATTTTGCTGCAGGATTGTTGATATTTCAATTTGAAACGTATGTGAACAAGGGGTTACAAAAAAATCAAAATATCTAATGTATACTCTTTTATTCTGGGGATAATAAATGCCAAGCATCTTGATAACTATGTTATGTCTGACTTTGGGCAGTTTTATATGCCCATTTCTGTTGAGTTTTGTCGAGTTACATATCATTTCTATAATTCATGTGAAACATCGCCACAGTGTGGCGTAGTTGTTGGACTTTATCTAGACTTGAACTTCATGGTGGGCAAAGTCTTATCCATTTTTATTTTCCCATGAATAGCTGGCCCTCCCTGCAAAACTGGCTGTGGCACGGTACACAGTACATTGTGGATTTAATCATAGGCCTGCATTTATTTTGCACACAAGTGTCCAACTCAAAGCCATAGCAGAGACTTGATTTAAAACTTTGCTCTTGAGTTTACATATGAAAAGTTTTCGTTAACTAAAGTGGCACCGAAGAGGATAAGTAGAAGGGGCGCTGACTCCTGTTTCCATGAAACCAATGAATACATCTACATCTACAAGAGTGTTGCCCTTCTTCAGGTGAAGTGCTTCGCATATCGTGAGAATAGGATGCCGGAGAGCGGAGAAGGGGGAAACCCCTAGCTTCCTGAGGATCAATGTTAGCCCTCTCGCTTTCCCCCTAAGCGATGACATCTACATCCAGGAAAGAATTTGCTCTGACTAATGTTTTCTTCGCCTCTTGTGAAGTGCATTCTCATTAAGGGAATGTTCAATATTCTTGGCAGGGTGTAATATACTTCAGTGCTTCCAATGATAACGTACAGGTTTTGAGAGCTTGCGTGTCAAATGAAGCTCTGTCATGTTCCCTAGATGACTTAAAGGAGCCTCTATAGTTTGTGATTAATGGTTTGCTTGTCTGTCTGACACCCTCTCTGTATATCTCTGTCCATTCGTTCCCTCTCTTTCAATTTTTCCACATCTCTGTATCAGTCTCTAGTACTTTGTCACAATTTAGCTTTCTCCCCCCTCTCTCTCTCTCTTTTTCTCTTTATTTTGTCCATGTATTTCTCTCTCTCTCTCTCTCTCTCTCTCTGTCTCTGTCTCTCTCTGTCTCTGTCTCTCTCTGTCTCTGTCTCTCTGTCTCTGTCTCTGTCTCTGTCTCTCTCTCTCTATCTATCTATCTCCTTTTCCCTGCATCTGTGTCTTTCCTTCTCTTTTCAACTTTACCTTTTTATTTCTTTTATGCCCTTCCTCTTCCAATCTCTGTGTCTGGCTGTCTCTCTGTCACTCACTCACTCACTCTTTCTCTCTCTCCCTCCCCCCCCCCACCCTTCACTCTCTCTACCATTCTTTATTTTATCACTATATTCTTTTCTTTTCTACATTGCATACTACAATTTACCAAGTCATACACCTCTCTCTGCTGCATGCAGACCTACCCCCTCTCCTCCAGGCAAGTCACTCCATTGCAAAGTCTCTATAGGCCTGTTCTCACGAGCATGAGTTGTGCAAATAGTGCGCACCTTCAGTTCTCACTAATAGGTAAATAGATCACTAATATCTCAAGCTAATTCACATTGAAGAAGACACATATGTGGGCTATTCTATTGAAGCATTTGGGATGATTGTCTTAAGGCAACTTGGCAAGTTATAATGACACAAAAAGAAGCGCCTGAAAGCTGGAATGCATAATTGTTGAAAGTCATAATTTGATCACACAGAGTTACATGTAGAAATATATTATCAGGATATGTGGCTAGTAACTGAATATACTACATTGATTAGGCATGATATTTCCTTAACTGTCATCCAGATATGTTAAATCTAAACTCCCAATTCACTGAGATCTGAAAATAATTGTACCTTTTGTACTTCAGATTCGCAGTTTGTGCCATTTCAATTCGCTTTAAGCTACCTATAAAGTAAGTTCTTATGATCTTATCCCAACCACATTTACTAGGCCTTGTTCATGAAAAACGCCAAATACATTCATAATTGGCAAATTTATTTGTCAGTGAAGACACACTCAAAAGCTCTATATAATTTCTCAAGGAAGCACACTTTGCTAATGGGGACAGAGAATTTCAAACTCAATTTTCTTGAGCATTACTGATTAGTATGTTATGCTCAAGCTTAATTGGCTAATAGGCCTACATTTATATTAGGCCAATTTATTTGTCAGTGAAAACTGGAGACGCACTCAAAAGCTATAGCTACATAATTTCTCAAGGAATCACACTTAATTTGGGCTGATGGGGACAGAGAATGTCAAACTCTATTCTATTTTCTTGAGCATTACTGATTAGTATGTTATGCACAAGCTTAGTTGGCTAATGGGTGGCTAATGGGGGAGCGCCTGAAGTTCAAACTAATCGTTCCTGGCTTATCTCCTCCTTCCTCAAGTTCTCTCACCCCTCCCCACGACCTGCCAAGGTCACACAGATTAATGACAAGACAGAAATAGAGCCATGTTCTTATTACGTTTTGGGCGTTTTGAGTTTTTGTACAGGTGTTCACTGTTCAGTACTTTTTGTAAGTGCAAAAACTGTGTGTCGTAATGAGATGAATGTGGGGGGGGGGGGGGGAATCTAACATATTTGTTTACATTGTCTCAAGTACTTTACTAAGTAAAATAGAACAGTAAACGCAATTCAATACCTAATGTATCATTGTGTAAGAGTCAAAATTAGACTCATTCCTTCCTTTTTTTTTTACAATGACTATTTGTTTCTCTAGTCTCTTCTCTCTATACATATTCATTTCACATCATTTGCTTATTCACTTACATATTCATTTACTTCAATTACTCAACCCAATCCCTTCCTCCATTCATCTCCTCTACATACCAAGTCTTCCATCTCACCTGGTATGTTCCTTTGTTCTCTTCTCATTCTTTATTCGTGGATCTTGTGTGAATGCTTTAGGTATTTTCACTTCTTACTTATCATTGGTTCTCTTCTCCTTTTCCTTTTGAATATTCAGTCTCACTCCCAAATCCTATTTTGCTATTGGTTTATGAAGTCTTTCATTTGAATATACTTTGCTTAAAAATGTACAGCATGAGGCTGCATAGGAGCCTACAATAAAAGACAGACAGACCTGGACTGGACATCATCTGAGTCAGTTGTATTGATTTAGGGCTCTGCTACTTTCATGTTGGAGACTTAGGAGAGAAGATTTATTTGAGTTTGGCAGTGGTTTGTGGATGATTGGTGGTTTTAATTTATATTGGTGAGAGGTTACTTTTATTAGTTTTTAACTGTATCAGTTTACTTCATCTTTGCTCCGATCCAAGATTTAGTAGGAATTACAGAGGTGTAATGAACCATGTTTATTTGACATTTTGTATTTTTATGGGAACAGCCAGGACATGATTTATAGGCCAATCATGCTTTTATTTATATGCAGGACCAACAAATTGATTTGAGTTGAATCAATATCATGTGTTTTGAGCTCAAAGTGCATCAACCCTTACACTTAAAGTTCATGCAAAGTGGTATTTTTCTTGCTCTGAACAGATGATATCATCTCTAATATCAGACAAAATACATGTTACCTTAGACTTGTCTTTGGTAAATCATGGGACATGTTCTTACCCTTATACTTTTGGTAAAGCATATTGTTAGAGACATGAAACTTCTTTGCAAATGATCAACACTATTGAATTATATGATAAATTTCACGGCAGTAAGTGTTTAAAGGCATCATTTACCAATGTTAAATCTGAGATGCACGGCCCTACGTGTTATCAGTGTCTGTGATATGGTGTTCTATTGAAGTCCTAAAAAAAAAATCGCGCTTCAAAATGATCAAGAAGTACCTCAAAAAAGTAAACATCTTTGAGTGACCAGTTTTACCATACTTGTTTCCCCCAATAGACTGTAGTGTTATGAAAACCGTTTGGCAAACGCAAAATTTTGTTCCATTTCCAATCGTAAATATCTTGATAATCAGACAGGCGATCGGCTTGTAAAAGTCATGGGGTTCCTGACTGACCTAAAGGTTTATAATTATCATTGCAGCATGAGCTAAATCCAGGATTTTGTTTCAGAATCTGAGACAAAGTTACCGGATCCCTTTAATGGAGGAAATGGCATTGGCTTTGTTTATTCAATTGTTTGTTGAGAGCCAGAACGATGATAAGTTATGCTTAAGATATTTATGATATATTTATTTAGCATTATAATGTATTTACGTAGCATTATAGTGTATTTACGTAGCATTATAATGTATTTACATTTACATTTAGCAGTACTCCCTTGTGGATCTGAGTGGAATGGATTTTCTAATGTGCAATCTACTATTGTAAATCACGACTATTTTAGGCCTGGCAAGAGCAAACATTTTAATTTGGTTGGATACATTCATGACATTATGCGATATACATACAGACTCCCAGTCTTTACTTCATTTTGCTGGTAATAGTATTGTGAATCAAGTTCTTATATAAATCTTGTCAGCTTTGTAAATAATCGCATTTAAGTTAGATTTACTGAATTTCCTCTTGTTTTCTTTTAGATTAAAAAAATGCTATTCAACTTGGGATTGCTCTGTAAATCTCACACTTTTTTTTTTTAATTATTACTGGGAAAACAGCCCTTGGACAATTTGGAAAATGGAAAGAAAGTCAGATTATGATCTAGATGTGGAGTTTGAAGAACTATGTAGTTACTGATCCACCACTTCTTTCAGCTAGTTGTACAAAATACTCTTCTAGCCTAAAACAGACATTATAGCTCAAGTAGGGTAAAAGATCGAGAGAGGGTTGTTATTAGTGGCAAGAATAAGTTCTTTATCAGATCAAAAGAAAAGGTGACTCACACGTTTCCCCTCCTTCAGGTCACCATGGGAGAAAGACTGGGAGATCATGATTTGGATAACTTTCTGGAAATGACATTTATAGCCCGTTCAGGCTGAGGGAAATTCATACGAAACTCTTATCAAGAAACATTGTATAAAGAAACATCGCATAAGAAAAGTTGTATAGAGAAATGTTGTATAGAGAAACGTTGTATAAAGAAACTTTTTATAAAAAATGTGTATAAAGTAATAGTGTGTAAAGAATTTTTTTTAAAGAAACGTTGTATAAAGAAACGTATTAAGAACGTTGTCTAAACAAACGTTGCTTAAAGAAATGTTTTTTAAAGAAACGTTGTATAAAGAATCGTATAAAGAAATGTTGTACATGTGTAAAGAAACATTGAATAAAGAAAAGTTGTATAAAGAATCATTGTATAAAGAACCATCATACACCAAAAGGAGCGTACAGATTAGAAAATAATATCGTACAAAAATAAACGCTGTTTAAAGAAACAAATCATCTGTGAACGCTCATAATAAGCCCCGCCCAGTTATACGATTTTCGTATTATGCGATGATCAGGCTACAGCGAGATGCTGATTCATTAAGTTTTCATTCGAAACGATGCTCTAATTGGAAGCCCAGCTATAACCCGAGGTGGTGAGCATTTAGCATTGGCCATCCTCAAACAAAGCCTCACAATAATCAAAAAGCTGTATTCATTATAGATTGAATAATTATTATATTCTGATAAGAAATTCCATTCAATCGTCTGTGCTTTTCTATCAAATGTCATTCAGTTCACCTTTCCCATAAACTCATCATTCATTCTCTGTTTATTTTTCAATCTCTTGATGTCATTCAGTTCACCTTCCCATAAACTCATCATTCATTCTCTGTTTATTTTTCCATCTCTTGATGTCATTCAGTTCACCTTTCCCATAAACTCATCATTCATTCTCTGTTTATTTTTCAATCTCTTGATTTGTCAGGTCTATGAGAAAGAGCGGGAGAAGAGGAGAGTCCAAGGCAGTATGACCTTAGGGTCATACGTCCCCAACGGAGCCGCTTCGAGAGATCAGGTGATTAAACTTATCATCGCCGTAGCTGGTTTTACTGCCTTAATTTGATGTTCATTATCTTTTTAGGCCATTAAAAAATATACATGTTTAGCGTCCCCGCCCCCTTCCTTTTTGGGGGCCGCCGCCTCCTAATTTTCTTTTTTTTTAATTTGTTTTGAATATTTTTTTTGTTAAAGAAAAAAAAACATGAAAAACACTGCTAAAATAGATCTATTTCCGATTTTAAAAAAAAAATTGAAGAAAAAGAAAAAAGGGCCTCTTTCTTCCTATTTTTCAAAAAAACAGGACGCTAAACATGTTTGTGTTTTTATTTGGCCTTATTGATTGATTCAACATTGGCTCTATGTATGACAGTAATTTGAAAACATGTATAATTACAAGTAAACATATTTGTACTAGCTGTTCCTGATACATACCATCCACTTATTTTGCAAAAACTGTAGGGAAATACTGCTTCGAATTCCCCATGTTTGCAAAAATCAATTGCAAAATTTAGATACTGAAACTGTCATGTCATGCAGACATGCCGGTAATGACCCAATCATAGAGTTCAATGCTTTATTGTATAACATCAAATGCACTATAAAGGGGTAATTTAATGGGAATTTATTTACAAAATGTGAAGTTTCTATCATTTTATAAATTGACCTAAGTTGCAGTATTCACCAATGGAAAATTAATTTGAGTTGTATGACTTTGTCATTTTTGTGATAGGATTGCAGCCTTTATGGTTTTCCCCTAAAAAGTATTCAGGTTTTGCTTACATATAGGGGAAGGCATTGTGTAATACAGCTTCCGCTTTAGGTAATATTTAATTAGTGCCAATAAGACAAGATAAAATAGAGGTCTTCTTTAGAAACTTAGAGGCCTCAGGGTGTTCTAAAAAACATTTAAAAACTGCTTGTATTGATGAAAAATGAGAACATTTTATTGGTCTGGAACTGAATAATTATGCAAAAATGATGGCTTAAATTCATGCTTCAAAAATACACATTTGTGCACAAATTATATTCGTATGATTTATCATTTAAAAAAAGAGGAGGGGGGGGGGAGGGGGTCGGGTTGGGTCGGTTCTTGTAATCACCATTATTTCATCAGTTTTCATCTCTTTATCTTAAATGTTGCCAAGGCTACTGTTCGTAAACAATCATAATACTGAAACTGCCAATGTTTTCCCATCATTTATCTCTACCTCTAACCATTAATGTTCCCCCAGCCAGGAAGAAAGATCTTCAAGGCACGTCCTCTTTCCCCTCCCACGCCGACAAGGTTAAACATGAAAAATAACCATCCTCTCAGCTGTTTCTTGAGTCATTGCTTTCGAATCCCCCGTCTAACTCTCATTTTTCTTCCCTCATTTCTCGCTTCTTCTCTGCAGAGATACACAGGTGAGCGGAAACGCGTAGACAAAGACAGACATAATAAAGGTATCTATCGTTTATATTTGTTTTAAGCCCTTGCTGAGCATGTTTCAAGAATGAGTGATTTTATAAGTTTGCCTGCCTGCACGTGAGTAGCACCAACCATCTTACTTTTTATTTTGATTAGCATTTCATGTTATTATTGGATTTGTTTACATTTCTCCATTCAGACACCTTATTTTCTTCATATATATTTTATCCATTTTGTTTCATGATAATACTGTCTGCTGGGAGCCAGTAAGGGTGTCAACTTATATCACTTTGCAGAGTTAATGCTTTTCTGGCTTTCAGATCAACAGATAATACTATTTTGAAGTTTTTGCATTCACCTTTTTAGAATCATGTTAACTCCACTATTAATTTCTTAATAATTGTTTACTTTTTTACTATTTTCATGTAGCCTTCACGTATTTTGATGAATTTGCGTTATTGCTTTACTGTTAATTTAATTTGCATCAGTGACTTCAAAACACTTTCATCTCATGGGCACATTGATTAAGCATGCTCCCAGACTAAGAATGAAACTTATTTTTAAAGGTGAACCAAAAGCCATGGTTAAATTATATTGAGAGCCATTCTGCTTATTTAGCAAACAAAGTCGAACAAAGCTGCATCCAGAATGCATGAGGGTTGAATGTTGGTGTTGATATTGCTTCTAAAATATGTTCAATTTGACATATAATAAATTATGTAAATTGATGCTTTTAATATTACCGAGTTCTAGCAAGGTAGTAGGGGTACAACTCACCTTCAAGTAATTGCTCTGCCTTTTGGCATTTTCATTGTTTATGCCGTGACATTTTCAAGTCTTCCAAATGCAGTATGTTTCGATAATCTACCTGAATGAAAAACGTGTGCGTGCATGTACTTCGCAATATGTGCCACACAATAAATCTTGTCAATGAGGAATTGCATCTGTGTCTTGTGCGACTGCTGCATGGTGTGTTAGACACTATGAACATGACTGACAAAGAAAGCGGACAAAATATACAGTTCCTCAGGTAGACAAAGGAACATCCTTTCACTGCTATTATGTACAAATGTGTAGAACAGGTGTCACATGCATATTCACCTTTTTACATAATAGCAGTGAAGGGATGTTCCTTTGTCTACCTGAGGAACTGTATATTTTGTCCGCTTTCTTTGTCTGTCATATTCATAATGAGATATGCCATAATAAAATGTCTTTGCCAGGTTTTTAGATAGACACTTATCCATGGTTATGTATGTAATTTTACATCTACGCTCCTGTTGTACTGGTCGTTTCTTAAAGACAATGATTCCTTGCATTTTTGTGTACATGTATACTTAGCCACATATCAAAGACAATGATCTAACATTTCGAAAATTCCGTTCTTTTTGTCTAAAGGAAACTCAGTGCCTGCATTCCCTGGTCACGACTACGACACCCCCACCGAAGAATCCCCGCCGCCGTACTACTCCGATAAAATCTACAAGGACACCAAGCGGAGAAACGATGAGGATAGACTTCCACATAGCCACGTCGTAGAGGCCGACGTCGAGGACGGCAGACTGGTGGTGTCGTCATCGTCATCGTCGTCATTGCTGCGATCGCCATCGCCGTCACCTTCCAAAATCTCTCAGGGTCTTGAGAGTCCGCCGACGAGAGACGAAGACGGGGACGGGAGCAGTCAACCGGATCTGTCGTTACCCATCGAGAAACTCGTCAGCGAGCGGGAGAAGGCGAGAATCTCGCGAGAGAACATGCTCGGCGACGGGGTCATCGTCAAGAACTTATCTGCCGATGATGGCAGCAGAGTCAAGAGACTAAACTCGGACTCGAGGTTCATCGAAGAAAAGCGGTTGAACGAACCGATCATGGAGCTGTCTGAAAGCACGGTGGTTCAGAACATTGATGCGCAGTCCCACGACGAGTCGAGCGATGAGGAGAACGGCGACGGAGACTCGACGACGACGGACGCGACCACCCCCTCGGGATCGGTATCGGTAAGTGGGGTCGGGCCAATCGATTTCTGGAACGCCCATTCCTCTGATGCCCTCCTTCCTCCTGCACATGCACTTGCACAGGTAATCACCCTTCCTACTATCACTTCCAATGCCTGCTGCTCACTTTTGTGAAGTTACAACACAACTTAGACATAGTGGACTGCTACGTGTGACGTCCTTTTAAGGCACTGACATTGCCTTAAAATGACATCACAGTGCTTTAAAAGGATGTCACATGTAGCAGTCCACTATGTCGATGTGCAAATCTAAAAGTCCCTAATATATCATCTGCCGAGAACCAGACAGGCATTGATTTCACAGAGTATACTCTAAGCTAACATTGTCCCAAGCTGAACAACATGTTCGTTGAGCTTGCAGTGCACTCATTGTCTGCCTAACGCTAGTAGGGCTTTAAACCTGTACATACTTAAACACAGAGTCAATACCCTTCTTGCGCTCAACAGGCGATATAAATATTGTAGGTTTTATTTAATCATTGCAAAAACAAATCATAATTGTCCAAATCATCATGAACTCTCTGTTCTGGCTCTCAACTCAATCGGAATCTGTAGCTTCATTCAAGATAGAGTCAGTTTTCCCTGCTCTAAATGGACCAGTATTTTCCTTTCCTGCTCTCAATCTGACCATGGTATTTTGAGTCTGGACTAGGTAGACTAATCCCCCGTCTATTCCTGCCTTTCCTTAATAGTCTACTCATTCCAGGCTCTGTTGAACGCTGGTGCGCATAGAGCAGTGAAAACCAATTCTTCTTTAAGAATAGGCTACAGCTTCGAAGCTTGTTGTGTGTTGTAACGTAACAAAAGTGGGTGCCTTGCATTTCTTAGCTCTAACAAACCTTGCATGGTAGAACAATTCACATATGGACTTAATTTTCTAGCACTACTCTGCTTCTTTATAACACAATGTCTATCTATGAAATAATTTTCACTATCCGTTTGAATATAATCACTCTTAACAAATTATACATGATCACAGTGCATGCAGTGTATATTAGAAACATAACAGTGTTTAACAACTTCTAAAGCCCACTAGACACACTTTGTGATCCATCCATGGTCTGATTTGGAAAGAAATTGCAGTACCAGTATGATACTTCAAACAAAATCAGTAGAATCTGTCTGATTGGGGTTTTAAAGTGCCATGATAACACCAGTAGTAAATCAAAGAGGTTTTTACAGGCATTTCAGTATGAGAAAAGGGAAAATTGTTTTCAAATTGGAAACAGTTTTGCAATTGGTCTGACGTTGCTACGATACTCTGCACAGTGGAGTTTATTTTATCATCAAAGTACTCACAGTACCCTACAGAACATGTATGATTTAATTATTTTCAAGTACAGTCAATCCCTCTTAAGCAACCACCTGTATAGAAAGATCACCTGTCTGTAAGGACCAGATTTTTCATTTCTCTTGAATATGGTTTCTCACTGAAACCTGTACTAAAGGAATCTGTACATAAAGACCATCTGCCTATGAAGACTACTTTTCCCTTGAGCCGTCTTTACATACAGGTTTCACTGTATTTGATCATTAGGAACCTTGAGGATAGTTTTAAATGGTGATATTACAAATCAAATGATACTGCTATATATCTTTCTAAATCCTTTCACAGTTGAATTATACTGTGTATGACGGGCTTCTCTTCTTATAGCACTGTCAACCTTATTCACTTTGGTCTTACCTGTGTATCCCAGCACCACCTAATTAATACCTTCTTACAAACTGAATATTGTGATGCACTCACCCTGTAACACTGTCTGAATAATCTTCCCTTTTTCACATGCACATGTATGCACTGGAGCTAATACTGTTAACCCTGTTTGTTGTAAAGAATATGGTATCTTGTTGGAGCGAGTAGGGCACTAACTTTGTCATAAACCATTTGAGCCCTTCCAGCTCCGAACAGATCATGGTATAACTACATGTCAATATATTTGCTTCCAATTTGTCCACTTTATGCAATGATAACCTGGAATATTCAGCATTTTCTAGATGGTTACATACTGGTATATGTTTATTTTTTTATTTTACTCCAATTTATGCACCTGCTTTAGGGCGCGTTCATGCTTGATTTTGATGGCCAGAATCAGGCATCTGTTACGCGTTTAGTTTAAAACACGCTTGCGTTCATGCTCACTTTTGTAGAATCACCGAAAAACGGCGATCATGATCGCCGATCGCCGATCACGATCGCCGATCGTAAACTCACAAAAAGATGCGTTTACAATTTGTAAACACGTTTAATTGGGGTCAACGCACTGACCTCTAGTGGGTCTACGTAGCATGCGCACACAGGTTTGCGAATCCAGCTGAAGGCCACCCAAGGAGAATTGCTTGGAGAAGTGAGCATGAACAGTGCACCGTGGAACTGCGATTACGATGAGCGTTTACGATGAGCGTTTCAAATCGCTCATTCTGCCTTCAAAATCAAGCATGAACGCGCCCTTAGACAATTAAAAGAAAAAACTTCCACCTGAGATTCTAAAGATAGATAAGCAGTCATTTCAGTCAGAATGATTTTTTTATTCAAATGCCTCTATCTCCTCATCTCAATTAGAAGAGCGGTAAATGCTCTGGCAATCTTTGGCAAAACATTATCACAAATTGGGAAATCATTCATTTTCTGACATTGCATGCCAAGATAAAGGTATATTTTATTTACACCAGTCACTCCTTACTCATGCCAGAAAGAAATACTAAATTTCAAAGTTAAATTATTTTGAATACGCTTCATAGTAAACACACGGTAACTAAGCAACTCGTCTTCAGCTGTTGCCAATTTGGCAGTCATGTGAATGCACTGACCATTAATGCTTCCATTGATCGTTAAACATCTGTAGATTGCAATTCAATCTCACACACCCTGACGTTTTCACTAGGAGTATAACTCGTACAATTTTGATGGTTTGGTTGGTAGCATTGCATAATTTGGAAAGAAACTGAATTATTCAACAGATTGCGTGTATGTCTTTAGTATATCCATTAATTCTCTTTCCCAAATCTAAAAACTAAAAACCAAAAAATTCATGAAAGTTTCTGCTGTGGTAGCATCCTTCAAACTTGTCACCAAATTTGGTCTGCCACCCCCCCCCCCCCCTCACCCAACCCCCACTTTGAAATTGTTCAAGTGATGCCCCTGGAAGTGGAAGATGAGTTGCAGAAATTCCATGTCAGAGAAAGAAAGCCAGTGATAGTTACTGAATTAGGAATAACGTGGCTTGCCAAGAAACAGAAAATTTACTCATAGTATCTATGCCTCAGATTTCATGGAATACGTGTGTATGTGTAATGGATTTATAAAGTGTGGGACTTCATATTTTTCATTTGCTGGTCAAAGTTGGAAAGAATGGTGCAAAAATACCCCAATGTGTTATCCAATAGCCATTAGCCAATATCCAAACTTTTTCTATATCATAATTACAATCCTGTTACCTATGTCAAGGGAGTATGAAAATTGTTGTATTGAGCTCAAAATTCAGATTTGCTAAAGTAGCCTATATATCTCACATGATAAATCTGAGAGCAAATTAGTCTCTCTTGAAAAGACTCCAGACCTAATGATATTCTTAGAGCAAAGAAGAAACACCCAAAGATAGGCAATCAAAACTATAATCGGCAAGAATGTTATTTTCTTAAAAATTCTTAAAACTAATATTGTGTCCGTATTCTACTATTTCAGTCAAACCTGACCCTGGGTCAAAAATTGTGTATTACAAGAGAACAACGCAGATCTTAGAATAACTTCATTCTGAGTTTGGACAAAAGCTTGAATTCAAGTGTCAAGTTAAATTTTTTTAGTAGAATATTAACTAAATCTGTTTACTTTCACTTCATTTTTACATTGCAATCATGAATCATGTTGAGATGTAATGTAGTCACATTGTGTTACGTGTGAACCTTATCTTTAAAATGTTCTTGTGAATATATGTACACTTTTTTGCACGTACACATTTTTTCTTGGCTACGAATATTTTGAGATGGAAGTTACAACTTATGTACTATTTATCAAAGACGATGGGTAAAGGAAGATATAATTAAGGTTCATCCCACTTTGTGCGTAACTAGTTGAATCTCCTTTCGACCCCTGTGCCTCTCTGCCCATCCCTCCCTCATCTCTCTCTCTCTCTCTCCTGAAGTTCCTCCATTTTCTCTCTCTCCTCTTCTATTTTCCCCATCTTCTATCTCTTTCTCTCTATCTCATGCTCATTTACCTCTACCTCTGACTCTCTTCTCCTTTTCTACCCTCTCCCCTCCCTCCTCCTCTCTATCTATCTCTCTCTTTTCCTCATTCCCTTCACCCTTAGTGTATATTGCTTCTTTCTTCTCTCTCCCTTCTCTCCATCTCTCTTCTATCTCTCCCCTCCCTACCTGTCTCTCCCCTCCTCCATTTCTCTCTGTATATATCATTTACTCTGACTCTCATTGCAGTCATCTCTCCATCTCTGTCTCCTCGCTATCTTGAAGTCCGTCTCTCCCCCTATGTACTCCTCCACTCTGCCATACTCATCCACAACCCACCCCATATTTCATGTACTCTGTCTCTCACTCTTTCATGATCATCTTTTCTTGACAAATCTTGCAACGTGTGTACACAAATCGAATAAGCTAGCCAGCACTTTTGAACATTATATTGATACTTTGCAGGAAATGCTTTAAAACCAGAATTTTTTAAAAGGTTGTAAGGCACTCTTCGATCTGTAAAAAAAAGTATTAATATCACATAGCCTATATGTATCACACATTTGTTAAGTTATGTCTTTTACCAATGTTTATTCAGGTTTCAATTTTTGTATTGATTTTGTTATGTCTTTCTCTCAATATGTAGACTCAAGCAACATTAACAAGAGTACCTGAGGAATCACAGATGCCTCCTTATCTGCATCAGGTAATTAAATTAATGTTTTTAAAGCTATTCCATTTCATTGTTTAATCATCACTTTATGTACCATATAATCAACTTCACAAATTATATTATATACTGTATAGTCTGTTTCCTATATGTTTCGCTTTAAGATTTGCTCCTATAAACTTTTTGTTTATAATTTAAATTTGATATTCCTTAAGCTCGATATTTCCCCAGAAAAAAGTAGCATATCTAGATTGGATTGTTGTCGTACTATAAATTATAAAAGACGTTACATGTTATGTGTTGAGAGACAGAAGTTCATTAACTCAAATCATTTTTATGAAGTTAATGACCTTCTAGCATGTTTTTTTTTATATATATATATATATATATATATATATATATTACTGTCATCACTGCAGCCATCTTTTATTTTACATCACACTACAGTTATAACCTCTTTATATCTATTTATTCCATAGCGTAATTGTGTCTTGTGAAGTTTTATTTAGCTTTCTTTTGTTTTCTTGCTGCACATATGTATCATTTGTAATAGTACTATTCCCACTTTCATTTATATTTCATTCACATCACAATGCAGATATATCGATTCTTTTATTAATCCATATTCAAAACATAGAAAATTGTGTCATTTGTAATAGTATTATTCCCACTTTCATTTATACTTCATTCACATCAACATTACCACACATATTTGAAAATTCAGTTTATCCGTAACAACATTTACTTGCGTATAAGTGTTTTGTTGCGAAGCCTTTGTCATGATCCAACATTTGCTCCAATGACATTTATTCCTGGATTTATTTCATTTAAGTCATAGTGTTAGGGCTAAGGCTGTGATTGGGTTTCCGTCATGTTTAGGGTGGGCTTACTTTATTGCTGTTGATGTTTCTGATGGCTCCTTTCAATCTCACATAAAATATCTGCATCATAAATTGGTGCCAGCGGTGGGATAGGCTTAGGCTAAGGTGGATTCAATTAGTATTAGCAATGGATCCCCACTTAGGGGGCAATCGACCTGTTATTGTGTACATAGCTTTTGAACAAAATTTGCTCTTGACATTTAAAAAGCTTGCCCAACATAGCAGCAACCACAGTACGCATAGTGGATCCCATCCACAGGGATGGCCTTACTCATAGCAGGTATATGATATTGCTGGTAACAAGAGGTTAGGGAGAAAAACATGAATTGAACTACATTAATTAGTAAACAGGGTCCATATTCATGAAAGCTTACTAAGCCTAGTTGTCAACTAACTATGTATAAGTTGACAACTAGCTTAGTTTAAAGGTTTTATAAATATAGGCCCAGGTCTATTGGATTACCTTTCTTACAGTTACACATTACCTATCTAGTCTTACCAGTCTTACCAGACTAGATCCTTTAAATTAAGCATACATGCTCTGGTACAAAAGCTTGTACCCTCCTTTTTTGTTTCCATATTAGGGCAAAGGTCATGGGTAGGGAATACCCTAGCTGTCAACAGAGGGGGCTTTCTAAAAATAGAAATGGTACTACCATCGAACCGTGAACTTCCTCTCTGGGAAAATTGGTTAATTGGTGTTTGACAAATGTTTGTCGCCAAATTAAGAGGCAAAAAGAAATAGTTTGTCATTCGATTGGGTCACCTGGAAGTTTTTTGTTGAGCGTAATCTATTCATTTCTTAAGTTTCCTAAAAACCCTAAGCCCTTATCAATTATTTTAATGCAAGGGATCACTCAGCTGTCAATGTGTAGCTCTTGAATAGTTTTCACAAGTTCTAAAGAATTTAATGGGGTTTATTTTAAATGAAATTAAAGTTTTTAGTAAAGATTTTTGTCTATCTTGTTTTGTAATTCTGTATATGTACTAATTGATAGGTAAAATATCCCTTTGTTATTGGGAAGTTATTTTCTTGTGTATGCAGAGAAAAACTGACTTTTATCAGAATGTTTTATTTCCCTGTAACTTTCAAGCGAACTCATGAGAACAAATTTTGACAGGATAAGAAATAAAGCAACTAAATGCTATTATTTAGAGGGACCGTGGATGATGTAATATTTTTTAAAGGGTGGATCTTCTCTAGGTCAATATAATTACGGTTTTGGGGACCCTCGCAGTAAAATTGTTCCAAGTTGGAGATATAGTCTTCCTGGACTAAAAGTTCTTTAAAAGGATTATATGTATGTTAGCTGAACTATATGTATTAATGTGAATCATGATAAGATGGGAACTGTTTGTTGAAGGAGCGTTATCTAACTTTCCTTCCTGCAGCGGTCAGTGTAAGTATTGAGCTCACTCAGGAAAGGGGGGAAGGGGGCAGTAAGGGTCTGTTACTTTAAGATAACCTGATAGGGCATTCATGTCCAACAATTTTCTTGAAAGTATGAAACAAGAAAGTGCTGGCGACACTGATCGCAGATGCCGCCACGAGATAAGGTGATATCGACTTACGAACCTACCATAGGTTGGGCAAAATCTCCAAGGATTTTTTGGGTACTCGGAGACAGATGTTTGGCAGTTTTGTGAGGCTAAATCCTCATTATTCTTGGCAGGCGACAATGATGTCACAATTTTTAGAGCACTTGCATGCCTCTGCCCCAGGGATTGTTGCCAATTCAGTGATGTACAAAGGGAAGAGGGGAACAGGGATCTTTTCATAGTGTCTCTGTCGTTTCCAGCCACAGAGGACATAGATGAACTAGCGGATGGCTGTGTTATATTTCTAAAGAAGGGTTCCGAGAGAAATGCAATCCATATGTTTGTACCAGATAATAACATGAACTTGTTGCTGACGTGGTCCAACATTTGGGCTATATTTTGCAGTTCCTCTCTTGTTTCGGTCGCAATTCATGGAAAATTCCATTACTCATCGCATGCACTTATTTCTAGAACCGAAAGGAATCACAGAGTGCAGAAGGTTTGAGAGATTTGACAGTTCTGCTGGCCGCTAGAAGGTACCATGCTGTATGTACAGCTCTGACTGTATTTCCAGTTCAATAGCCTTGTGGAATACACCTGGACCATTTCCATCATGCTTGTGACTGATTATGTGTTTAAGGAACTGAAGAAATGTGACAAGGTTAGATACTGATGTCTTTGAGAAATCATCCAGAACAGTGCTTTGGACCAGAGCTGTCTTACAAGGAACCATTCCATTTTGCAAAGCAGTATCAAAGTTCACTTCAGTATAAGCCATAGATTGTAGTTGGTTCATCCCCATTCAGCCAAGGTTGTATCAGATTATCTCCTTGAGAACTTTGTTGAGTGACACTCTACCAACCTGGTTTCTTAAGATGCTGCTTTAAGTCTTCCCTTCCCCCTCTTCCTCTCTAACCCAAATGATTCCGCAACTAAACAAAACCACTTCCTGGCACCCTGACTACTCGTTGCGTCATTGCACAGATACCATTGACTCCATGAGACGCATGTTTCATTACATCCGTTGAAGGCTTCTTTCTTTTTAATGGATCATGCCACATCAAAAACTGTAAAAAATCTTCAAACATTAAATTTGTTTTATGCTACCTGCGAGTGTTGCTGCGGGAGGAAAAATTTCAACAAAATGGATTCCGTAATCAGAAATGTTATGTCTACTGTGGATTGTCACGATCGTACCATCATTTTCTGAGATTTAAAGCAAAAAGTTAAATCCATTTGAATTCTGCGTAGTGTTTGATTGTATCAGTACAACGGAATCAAGGACTCTTGTGGATGTGGTTTTTTGAGGCAGAATTCCCTTGGACCGGTATTTGTTTTTATCATGATGGATACATGACATACTCTCCTATACTATGCTGCTTTATTCAGAATCCTTGGCAACATGTCCATCTTGTAACCCATGATATGATGCATGTGTGTTCTTGATCACTAGTACATCTGCAGCTTTTAAACCTTAGTTACACACGTCCATCTTCTGTCACACTTTACATTTAGCATTCATCCATGCCATCAACAACACATTGACAAATAAATATAAAAAACACCTGTTATTTGTGTACAGTCTGCTGTTGCAGCCAACTCTACCACAACCACACCCACCACAACCTCCCCAGATAGGCAAAACCAAGTTGAAATCACTACCACCAACATGGCCAACATGTCTCTGGATTTCTCTTTCCTCAAACGACGCCAGACCCCCAAGAAGTCGCTCAAGGTCATGATCAGCAGTCGCAGCCCCCGCCTCCTCCGCAAGTTCACCCGCTCCCCCGTGGTGGCCTACTCCTCCAGGGGGGCTAGTAGTCCCTGGTCCAACCCCTCGTCCCCCATGACGTCCCCTGATGGGTCCCTGTCTGGGTATGAGGTGAGAGCAAGAGCAAGCAGGACCTAACTTGCATGGATGCTTGCCAGCATGGGATACAGATTAACATCATTACGAACAGCATGTTCTTAGTATTCATTTTTTAATTACTTAACATTTTCAGATTGTTCTTAAAGAGAAGGTTGAGTTGTGGGAAGAGGTGACAAATAATTTGTGAGCGTTATCATTGTTATTATGCAAGTGTGGAAGAACACGAGATTAAAAATATTCCCTGAAAAGCATGGCTCTTCAAATGCCTTATTATTCTAAATATGGCATGTAACGGTATAGAAATTGGGAGAGATTTTTATGCCACATGTTTGTGTAGTCCCATATACATCTTTTTGTGTACAGTGCTTGTAACTTTACCAAGACTGGGCCAGATTTATTATCATTTTGATGATTCCAGAACCTTGCGGTACACACCAATGATTAAATGCTAGATCTAGACCTTTGCCGACTCCACACTGTTTCTTTCACAATGCAATCGCATGACCAGAACTCAACCTTATCTTTAACTAATGATTTGACTTTATTCTGTCTGTTGGGATCCAGGAGGTCATTAACTTTATGTGTAGGAGTATAGTGCCCTTCTGGTTCTCAGCAGACAATGTTCTAAAAGACTAACACCTGCAATGTCTTTTCCCCCCTCATATAATAGCCTGCCGAAGCATTGCATGTCTCCATCAGGAACACCATATTCCTGCAATGCCATTTACTAGACTTACATGTATGTTTATTTTTTAATGAAAGAGTCTGAGTTTTTATACATGTAGAGTATCTGTCTTTTCTTGCCTACTTTCAACCAGATTTTTTATGTATGATATGATTTTCACCAATTTTGTTTAACAATATGTAATGATACTCTGAAAATGTTATATCATATAATCTGACTAATTGAGATTGTTTGCGATTTATTGTTATATATTGCATGTGCATGAGGAATGGATGTTTTATTTAATTTTATATTCTATAGCGCCGAGGTCTGCTATTAATGGGTGCTCATGGTTTTTAAATGACTAACATTGCCATATTTTTGAGCCATTTTACATAGTAGCAGAAAATCAATTTCAGATACAGATCTGTATTCACTGTTTTACATTATGATGAAATGAGTCAAATTTGTGACCTAATTTCATAAATAGTATTCTGTACAGCATGAAACCACTTTATAACACAAGTGACAAGACATCATACAAGACAAGACATCATACAAGACAAGACATCATACTTGGAATTTGTCCAGAAGCTATGAAAGATAGTATCTTGGTTAAATCTAAACAATGGACTAGATTATTATCATTCATTACTATTTTCCTTTTAAGATGATTATCATTCTCTTTTGAGCTTTATTGAATCCAGAAGATATTGTTATCATTTTCTTTTTTGATCCATAGTGAATTTTAATGAGATTTTTTGTTTGTTTTGGTGATACATGCATAGTTTCAGTGACTTGCAAATTCAAAAGGGACCTACTGAATCTAGAGACAATGAACCTTGTCAGCACAATTGGCTTTGCCAAAATACAGATTGAATACAGATTGTATTTTATTCAAGCCTAGAAATTAATATAATTTTTAAGAGTTATATTGTATTTAGATTCCAGGAGGTATTTCACAAACATCCTAAGTTGAACTTATCTCTAAGTTTGACTAATTATGGAAAGCCGTTAGCATCATTGAAAATATTTTGTCATTTTAAAAGGCATAAAATGTTGATTCAAATCATTCATATTTTCTATTATCTTGGGAGATTTCATGTTTTTGATGTAGAATTTATGAAAAGTCTAAAATACTTGAATTTTGCTTTTGAATTTTTTCATTATAAGGCTACAAATGGCTCTCCATAATATTTAAGTCCAACTTAGAGTTAAGTTAGACTTAGAATCTTTGTGAAACACCCCCAGGACTCATTCTCTAATGTTCTCTAATAAGTTTTTTCATTTGTTTTATGTAATGATGCTTTACTTTTTCTTTTATATTTCTACGCTCAGCTAATTTTATTGTTCTCCAGGATTATATAATACAGTAAATAGTTATGAATTTAGAGATGAAATCGTGATTATAATTAAGTATTTTCTGTTTTTCTTTCAGAGAGGGAGTGATAGTCCAAGCAGTAGCCTGGGTAGGAGTACAGTTAGTTCTACAACCAGCGATGATTTCAGCAGTAGTGATGGTAAGTTTGGAGTTCATGAGAAAGAAGGGGGGAAGGGAGAGAGGGAGAGAGAGAGAGGTAGAAAGAACAAACAAATGGAAGAGAGATAAACAGAAAGGAAGGAAGAGAGGGGAGAAACAGAGCAAGACAGCAAAGGTACAAAGAGATGTAGGCAGAATGACTTGGAGAGAAAGAAAGAAGGAAAACGAGAGAGGAGGGGAAGGAGGTTTGGGGGAGGGGGGAAGATAAGAGAAACAGCAGTACAGACTGACAGACACAAAGAGAAAGACATACATACAGTAGAAAAAAAGGAGAAGACAAAGACACTGATATAACTGAATGAACATAATCCTCACAATGCCTCTAAGAAATGTGCCACATTGGAATAAAAGTCAAGTATAAAGGAAGGTGCTGTGCTCCAATTTGAGAAGCCGACGACGATAGAATAGGATGACCTGATATTAGGTGTGCCTTCAAGAAATATGTCATCAGGTGGGTGGCACAAGTAGTTTGCAGGAACAAACCCTTGTCACTCTCAGAACATAATGCAGGGTCTGAACTAAATGGCTAGGCTGCATTACAATCATGTAGGCTCTGCAGCTCCTGCCTATTTTGGCACAGCAAGAGATTTAACTTCCAACGTTGGGTCTGACTCAAGACTTTTATGTCATTTTGCCGGAACAAATCCTTGTCACTCGTAAAGCTTTACACAGGGTCTGCACTATAGTATGCATCACGTAGGCACTTTAGGCCTACACTAGCTGCTCTTGTCAGTTGAACACAGCAAAAGACTCAAATTGTAACAGTAGGTTGGACCTGAAGCTGTATTAAATTTTGCAGGAACAAACCCTTGTGTAGTTGCAAGACATTACTCAGGGTCTGAAATAAAAGACTATAAACTGCATCACATTGCATTGAAGATGTTCCAGCAACCTGACACACCCATAGACTTTGACTTGCAACATTAGGTTGGGCTCCAGGCTTTATGGAATTTTGTATCAAGTACAGTCTGTGTTTGCAGGCTAGATGTGTTGTGGGAGATACAGTTTCTGTAAAAGTCACGGAACTCATCTGTTAATTTTTTCCCTTGAACTGGGCTGATATCGGAACAGAATTTACCCAACGATAAAATGAATCAACATCATTTCTTCTTTCAATTACACCCATTTGTTTTTATTCTTTCACACTCACTACCAAATTATATTTAATGAGCCTATGTGAATGCAAACTTCAAAATACACAAAAAACACCCCCCCCCCAAAAAAAAAAAAAAAAAAAAAAAAAAATTTAAAAAACAGTTTGTGAGTGAAAGTAGTGATGATGTATTCCTTCTGAAGTTGCCAATTTAGAGATTCAAATGCTCGTTCTCATTCTTTATACTGTTCTCATCTATTCCTATTCTTTAATGGTATCATTGTTCCTGTCTGTAACAGGTCCATCTACGAGAAGACAACAGTCACACAGCCCCGACGTTCAACTCAAGCCCACACTCTTCTGCTCTGTGGCACGGGCCAAGATGGACTACATTCCCAGCCCGTACGACACAGGAGCACTGGCATTCAAGGTAAGCAGGGTCCCTTCTCACATTCTATCGTTACCCCAGACACTGCTTGTCCCGCAAATAGGATGTTAAATGGATGCCCGGTGGGTAGGAGAGGAGAGGCACTACCTAGAGATTTTAAGAACCCATTGGTCTCTTAAAGAGAGTAGGGGGTGGGGGGACTTTGTGTCTCGTTTTGTCATTCTTTTCTTTCTGTATTTTTTTTGGATTATTTAGATACTTTAAAAATGGTTTGCGAAAATATGTTATTATATTATATCTATTTTATTACTGTGATTATTAAGACACTGTAAAATGATTTATGATAATAATGTTCATATTATATTTATTCTTGGGAACCTAGAAAAACATGCTATGCTTTCCAGTAGGTTCCTGTTTCATTCCATAATTTTGATCTTACTTTGTCAACTATATTCTTTATTGTGCAAACAATTGTTATATGAAATGAATAAATAAATAAATCAATCAATCAATAGTAAACCTACACATCACAAACTAGTTATACTGGAAGGAGAGAGCCAAGGGTTGCCGTGATTAATTCCATTTTCCCTTCCAAGGCACAGGTAATAATAATAATAATAAAAACAGAACTTATAAAGTGCTTTCCACCGAAATCTCTACACCAATAAAGGAAAAAACATGTATGTAGAAATAAACAATTACTTTTTAATCAGTTATAATTGAAAAATTGAAAATCTTTTTAGATTATGAATTTAAAAGACAACAAAGCTAATAATCACATGTAAAATGACACCATGGTTATTTTTGCAATTAAATCATTTTTAAATTTAAATTTCAGAAAGGAGAATTGGTCTACATCACCCGCAAGCCTTCAGGCGGATACTGGGAAGGGGTCTGTCAGAACAAAAGTGGCAAGTTCAAGTTCACCTTCGTGGAAGAGCTGAGCAGAGAGGAGATGCCCGGCCTCGAAGGGGGGCATACTTTCCCCCTGGGTCACAACCAGGCCAATGCTTCTTACGTACTGCATCTACAGAGTGTGGAGGAGCTGCTGAGGAGGATAGAATGTGATGTGAGTTCATTTACTGTAAGGGTAGTACTAGTAGAGGTCGAGTAGGGGAGGGGGAGGGAGGTGGGGGGAATAAGGACAAGGCCCTAGAAGGGGGCATACGTTCCCCCTGGGTCTCAACCGGGTTCATGCTTCTCATGCACTGCTTCTACAAAGTGTGGAGGAGCTACATGCACTAAGAAGGATAGAATGTGATATTAGTATATATGAGAAAGTTTTTAAGTAAGAGGTTGGAAAGGGGAGGGGTAAGAGGCTTATATGCAGAAGGGGCACATCCTTTTCCCTTCTAACCCCAAGAGATTAATGCTTCTGTAAGATATACTGTACGTACAGAGTGTCGTCGGACAACTTGGGAGGACAGAGTAAAGTGAGTATATTTGGGGTTACACTGTAGGAGAGGCTATATTCGGAAATGAGAAAAAGAGGAGGGGCACAAGGGTCTTTGAAAGGGGTCCTTAAAAAGGGGATTGTATACCCCTTTCAAGGAAAAGGGGTATACAATCTCCTTGGGCACCAACCTGGCAGTTGCTTCTTATGTGCTGCATCTGTAGAGAGTAGACAAATGTAATACTGAAGATGTGAATGAACTGGTTTGCTAATGAGTAAATGGGAGGAGAGAGAGGGAGGTCAGGCAGAAGAATGTTGCTTTCTCCTTTCATAATTCCGGTATGATTATTGTCCTTGACTTTCAGAAATACCTGTCAGATTTCAAGTCTCACGATCTAGCGTCGCTGGAGAGGTTCAAGAACCTGACGGAAGGTGACCTGGATAGTCTGGAGATCACCAACCTAGAGCACAGGGTCAAGCTACTGACCGTGGCCAAACTCTTACTAGAACCTATCAAAGGTAAGTGGTGTGAATACTTGTGGGTGTGTGCATTAGCTATTTGTATAGCTGAGATATGATAATTTATGTATGAGGACTGAACTTTCACATCATCACAATATGACACGATTCAGATTCAAACCAGGTGCGTTAGAAACTTTGTATGCATAGGCAGGGTCAAACTGCCAACTGTGGCAAAGGTTTCAAAAGGAGCAGTCCAATGGAGAGTGGATATTGGATTGTCCAAATATCCTCTCAGGACATTTTGGTGATCTGACCTTCACTTCAGCAATAATCGTTCAGGACCTTGTTTTGTTGGAGGTATAAGGTAAGGGATAGGGTCAGGGTTGCAATTACATGTAGTTGTTAGTGCTCTGGTTAGAATTCATATTTGATTTAGAATATTATCTATACTTTTATATATGACAGAGTTGTCTCATTTTTTTTTGCCCAGGTGTCGATGTAAGGACAATATCCACCAGCGCTTTAGGAGATTCCCCTGTCCCTACCCAAAGCCCCTCCCCTAGGATAGACGATGCCGACCTGAGCACCAGTATACACAAGCTTAGGATAGCAGCTAGAGATTCCGGGTTCTATGCAAGCACAGATGCAGGATTGTGTGGAGACAACTCTCATTCCCCTGCCCGCAAGCACTGCAAGAACAGCATGAGCAGCCTTGAAATGCTGAGAGAATCAGGGTTGGGAAGTCTGTGTGCGGAAGAGGAGGAGGAGGGGCCTTCGACGGAGGTCAGTGGAGTCCTAGCTCCGGGGTCAAACTGCAATAACTCCAACAATATATCAGGGATCTTGATCCCAGGAGTCGATGGACACTACTTAAGGATGTGCGACCAGTGTTCTGGGCTAGACTCGGGGAGCTGGGGCGGGGAGGTACCGCGGGACAAGCCCCTTAAACCAGTCAGGACAGATGTCAAGGCGGTTGACCTTCTCCAGAGGCACAGCCAGTTCAACAATGGCGCTACTCCCGTCACGGTCGCGGCAATCTCACACGCCACACCTCCGCAGATCCTTGAGAACTATTACGAGTTCCCATGGATGGACGATCGTAGCCTGCATATGACACGTCAGCAACGCTGCTCGCCGAAGCACCAAGTACACTCCAAGCTCACCCAGAGGGCCAGTAGCCCCGTCCTCATGAACTATCCTCCTAGAACCGAGCAGAATCAACTCACCGTCGGGGATTCTGGATCCATCCAATGGAAGCGAAGTGCCTCTGTGGACGGCACTGTCACTTGTTCCAACGGATGGTCCAACACGGTCAACGGGGTCGTGCCTTCCCCTCAGCTTCTCCGCGCCGTAGGGCAAACGGACACCTGCCCCGCCCTGCTACTCAACAGCCGGAGGCGCAAGTCTCGCAGCGTGTCGCCCCACAAGAGGCAGAACAATAAGAAAGACACTGTTTCGCGAGACCCTATGCACGGATCGCCTACTTTGCCTCTGAAGAAGATGCATACGGGGCTAGGCATGCACAGCCAATCGTTGGAGAAACTGTTAGATGCTAAGCTGATGGCTGATGGCATTGATATTAGACAGGAACCTTACTCAGACAAGGTAAATGCATCTTGTAGCTTACTTTCTGTTCTATCACTAATACCCCATTCACAGTGGTTTTGAAATTTGTAGCGGCGTTGTAGCGGAGCGGCGACACCGCCATAACACCGCTACAAATGCATTCACAGTAGAAAAGTTATCCCGCTGCAGCAGCGGGATAAATATCATGTACCCATTCACGCTGCAGCGGGTGATTTTTATTACCTCCGTAACAAACACGTGTATGCATGGCTCATGACCCGCGAGTGACCCCGATATGACCGGAAATACTTGCTTGAAATTGCGCGGTAAACATGTCAAGTTGCTTTTTGTATCCTCGATCATATTACTTTTTAAAAAACTAGCATTTTTATTGCTTCCAGTCAGAATATTTTAATTTTTTGAAGTGTGAAATATTTATATTTGGATAATTATAATACCTACATAATAATAAAATCAATTTGAATCCACTGGTTACTTTATTTCTATTTCACTTTATGTTCCCCATTGCTGTAGAAAAGAGGTCAGTGATAGGTAAGTAAACAAATCACACGTGTTTGTCGCGGTGTTATAGCGGAGAGCCTTCACACTGAGTAAACACCGCGACAGCAGCGGGACTGTCCCGCTGCTGTAGCTAGGCGTCCCTAGCGATAGTTTGTGTCGGCGTTATCGCTAGGCGGTGTTATCCCGCGATAGTTTATAACGGGTCCGAGCCTTCACACTGAAGACAACACCGCGACAGCAGCGGGACAGTCCCGCTGCTGTCGCGGTGTTTGAGGCCACTGTGAATGGGGTATAAGTCATTAGTTGAAGTATTGATGCTATTCTACAGCTTGCTTTCATTTCCTCCCTCTGTATGTCTCTTTCTCTCTTTCACACTCTTTGCCTGTCTCTCTGTCTCTATCACTCTTTCCTCTATCATCTCTGTCCCCCTGTCTTTGCTCTCGCTCTCTCTCTCTCTCTCTCTCTCTCTATCTCTCTCTCTTTCTCTCTCTATCTCTCTCTCTTTCTCTTTCTCTCTCACCCACTCTCTCCTTGTATCTCTTTAAACCTTCCATTCAAACTATTTCTGCCCCTCGTTAAGATGGTTTCAGTTTCGTGTACTGAAGGCCTAGATTAATCTTGTTCATCACGATTATATTTAGACTTTCAGTTCTTACCTATCATGTTAAAAAAAATTCTGCCCTGGTCATCAACCTTGCTCAAAAGAATGATTCTCGTATTTATACCCGCAATGGTTTGACCTATGAATATTCTTAATGCTCTGAGAAACAGAAACCAGAATGGACATAGAAATTCTCTTTATTTTCATATCAGCCTTCATGTTTAATTAAGGCCCAAAGATTAATTAGTGGTACCGTTTAAGGAGCCAAGTTTGTGATCACGATTCCCTTTTCATCGAGTTGGGGTCTGTGGAAAATGTGTGCTTTACCAAATCAAATTGCATTCAAAGGGTTAAAATTATTATAGTAAGTGGTCTATGATGTCAAGAGTTCAAAATGTTATGAGCATCATATGACTTTCAAAGGGAAAGACTCGCTTTTCTTCATCCGAAAATGTTGGGATAGTTTCATATAACTCAAGAAGGAGGGCAATTAAATGAAATTAGCGTGTAGCTCAAAAAGGGTTAACAATAAAACAAGGTGTTAAGCTGTTGAATTCCAAGCCAAATATAACTTACTGTTCAGTCTATGAAAAATTCATGTTACACCAAATGAAATTGACACCAAACAAAATGGTATTAAATGGGCTAAAGCTATGAATTAAACTCTTGAATGTTAATTTGTGCAAAATTATACCCTTCCGGCTTTTTTAGCAAGTGATATAGGTTATACATGTACAGTATCGCGATTTTTATCAATCTAAATCTCGTGTCAACTCTCATTGTTATGGTTTGTTATAGTATAGTTTATTTTGTACAGTGTCTATATTAAGAACTGGCAGTATGAAAATCCTCAATATTTCTTGTTATTCACTTCTGATAGTCTTTCATGCAAACTAATTAGGCACAGAAGGCATTGCATCCTTTTCTGTACAATCCTATGTAATGCTGTTAAGTGTTAAAATCGTGACACATTCTCCAATCCGTCTCTTCCTATCTCGGTAATTTCAACCAAATTTGTTGGATTAACGCCGTTAAGACCATTCCAACCCAATTCCCTCTTCTGCTCCTGAATTTTTAATCTTCTCTTCCTTTCCCGTTCTCAGAACTTAATTCCTTTTCATATCATACTTTAATCTCCTTGATTAGAATCTCGCTCAGTGGCTTAATTTTGCCTGCCATAATGTTTACCCTGCAATAATGTTTACCCTGGCCTCACCCACCCATGATGTTTAACCCTCACCCACCCAAAGATGTTTACCCCTCACCCGCCCATGATCTCTATCCTCCCTCAGCCATGATGTTTACCCCTCAGCCACCCATAATGTTTAACCCTCATCCACCCATGATGATTACCCCTCATCCACCCATGATGTTTACCCCTCACCCAACTAATGATGTTTACCCCTCACCCAACCAATGATGCTAACCCCTCACCCAACCAATGATGTTTACCCCTCACCCACCCATGATGCTTACCCCTCACCCAACCAATGATGTTTACCCCTCACCCACCCATGATGATTACCCCTCACCCACCCATGATGATTATCCCTCATCCACCCATGATGATTACCCCTCATCCACCCATGATGTTTACCCCTCACCCAACTAATGATGCTTACCCCTCACCCAACCAATGATGCTAACCCCTCACCCAACCAATGATGTTTACCCCTCACCCACCCATGATGCTTACCCCTCACCCAACCAATGATGTTTACCCCTCACCCACCCATGATGCTTACCCCTCACCCACCCATGATGATTACCCCTCACCCAACCAATGATGTTTAACCCTCACCCACCCATGATGATTACACCTCACCCTCCCATGATGATTATCCCTCACCCACTCATAATCTTAACCCCTCACCCACCCCTGAATATTACCCCTCACCCACCCCTGAATATTACCCCTTACCCACCCACCCATGATCTTTACCCCTCACTAACCCACCCATGATCTTTACCCCTCACCCACCCACCCATGATCTTTACCCCTCACCCACCCTCCCATGATCTTGACCCCTCACCCACCCATGATCTTTACCCCTCACCCACCCATGACCTATACCCCTCACCCACGCATGATCTTTACCCCTCACCCACCCATGATCTATACCCCTCACCCATGCATGATCTTTACCCCTCACCCACCCAGGTTCTTTACCCCTCACCCAATTTGAAGAAGAACAAATTGAGCATGTAAAATACCTTACTATGAGGATTAAATTTTGTATTACCGGTATTCATGTGTAAATAAAGGAAAGTTTTAGTTGCTCAGAACCCCCCCCCCCCCTCCCTCTCTCACCACACCCTCTCTCACCACACCAAGATTTTCCTTTCCCTACACATTTACTGTAAAAATGTACGCATTTTTATTGTCCTTTATGGTTGGACTACTAATATCAAAAGTAACTCTGCAAGAGTTAGACTCAGCTACACGATGACCAAAGAAGAAGGCAAGCACTATCCACATTATTGATATGAACCTACTTTCATTAATGTCTAATTGTAGCTCGACTCTTTTTTTCTCTTTCTTTCTCTCTCCCTCTCTCTCTCCATGTAGATGGGTTTCTGTGGCTTCCCAGCCGCTCTGGTCCAGCGCTATGCTGAAGAGGTTCAGATGAGAGTTCCTGACGTGGCCGTCTGTCTAGAAGCTCTGAGGGTCAAATCTCTCATCGCAGAGGGTCGATGCTGGGTAAGAAATGTATTTCTTTCCTCAACTTCAAAGTGGACCTACATGTACCGCCCCCCCCCCCCCCTGAAAAAATGGGGGGAAAAAGATCAGCTCTAAATGTACATATTTGGGATTCCATACTACTAGTATCATACTGGTATCGTGTATTTAAGATATCTGCTTCAGATTTTGCATTTGTAAAAAGATATTGCAAAGATCGTAATTGTGGATTAACGTGAAAACAGGTCTTGTTTGTAGACTGGGAACATGAAATTAAGTATGCATGGAGTTAACTTCCCTTTATATTCTGGATTAGGAAATGTCTTTTTTTTGGGGTGAAAATTGTGACTATTGATATGCAAACAGGCCTTGATATACATAAATATCCAGTCATTCTCCCCCTCAATGCTCTTTCATTGATGTAACCTCTTGAATATCTCATATGAATGATTACAATCACTTTTACCAAACTCCCTTATCTCCCATTTCCTCTTCTCAGTTTCGAAGCGACACTCTGGCACACCAAGCCCAGCATGTGATCTACGCCGGGCGAGGTTCTACCGTTTGCGACTGGCTGACCTACCTGGGCATGCCCATGTATGTGGACGCTTTCATCGGCGGCGGGTGGGACGAGCTGGACATCCTGATGGACATGGAGGAGGAGGACTTGAGGCGATGCGGAGTGACCGATCCCAAGCACACCAGAAGGCTTCGGACAGCCCTGGAGCACCTCAAGATGACCGCCAAAGTATGACGACGCCTTCCAGGGCGTAGTCAGGGCGTGGCCCGGTCGTCTGGTATCGTCGGAGTGCCATGGACTATTTGAGATGCGCACATGCTCTGGCAGGTTGTGAAGGATGTACGAGTGGCAAAGAGACGTGTGAGGGTGGTATGCATGGTGTGTTCAAACATATGCACTTCTTGGTTGTTATAAGGGGTAGTGCTAAGACACATGTGACCATGGAATGTCAGGTGACTACATGAATCATGTGATCAAGGGATGTCATGTGACCTGAGGTTCAGATGCCTATATGTTTCATGTCCATAAGAGTTCGGAAGTCAGAGCAAGGAAATATAGCATAATATACACAGGTAGATGTAGAGTACTTGCACCAGCACCTCTCTAAATGCAGAAGGCAAATATGAGCATTTTTAGTCTTCATGTACGTAGATGAAGCCTTTAGGCAGCATCACACATGTATAAACTTTGGCTAGAATGGGATTCGTTTTTTTAATACATAAATTCACGCGAGGCAGCCTAAAATCCAGCCTTCGTTGCCCAAATAGCAAGTTAAAATTCTCACTCTTATGGTGCTTTCTGATGTGAATCCTGTGCAGTTCACTGTAAAGGACAACCAAAGTTTTAATCAGGCAACCTAAGGTAGTTTTATAATAGCGAAATGCATTGGAACGATAAGACGCATCCTGAATGCAAATTGCGCAATAGTTGTGGATGTTTGTTTATAATCAAAAGTCCTTTTTTGTCATACGTGAATGAAAGTTTGAATAACATTAAGCCTCATCAAGTTGACTACCATCTCAATATCCTAACAATGTAGTTCCAACTCTGTGTGGCAAATTTATGATTCTCACCAACTACGCATTTTGCATTCCGGAAGCATCTTTTCATGCTAGTGCATTTCGCTAGCTAAGCCATCGTCTACTGGTACATGTAGGTTGGTTGTTAGGCTGGCAACCGAATGAGAGGTGCATGTTAGCAAGGGCCTTGGACAAGATTTCAGCGAGCTTAACATGCCGATGATAGTAAATACTAGATTTTGGGAGGAGTCGTGTAATTATTGGAGAAAAGAGCATGCAGTTTAACTTGCCGAAGCAACTAATAATCAAGCACATGTATTCAATATGTATGCACTTATTCAAGCCTACTCGTCTTTTATTTTAATCCTACTGATTTTAAAGTGAAAATATTTATCCACATTGTACAAAGTGCATTTTCCTGGATGTTTTATGGTCAGTGCAAGTTCAAACAGTGCATAATTGGCTTCTGCATCCAAATTCACTTTTTTTTTTAAAGGTAAACATTCTTTCTAGAATCTGCATCTCTGTACGGAGATTCATTGATAATTAATCAGCTGGTCAGGAAAAAAAAAAAACGTAATGCTTTCCACCTTTTTAAAAAGTGAACTGAACTGAACAGAACAATACATTGTGGGAGTTTACAAGCCATTGAATATACATTTAGATTCTTGTGTTTTAACAATTTCACAATGAATTCAATTATTTTGTTATCCAGGATAACTGATGATAGATATCCTTTTTTTCAACTTCACATGTATTGAATTCATTCACAAAATCTGTATTTATGAGGAGAAAAATATCAGGATTAAAAAAATAATAATTGCAATGCATTTTTATGATTTAATGATACAAACAATTATTGCCTGTATCAAGTCATTAGAATATTCCAGCTTTGGAGTTGAGATATTTCTTAGTATTCACATTTAATTATGGTCTCAAAATTGCAACCTTTGCTATCAATGGATAGTGAAAGTGATTAGGTTATTATTTCCATCTATATTCTTGTTTAGAGCCCACTGACTTTCGTTGTCAAGCTCTGGTGCTAGCTACTCAGATACATTGTGTCAAAACGGTTCATTTGCTCGCTCTTCCATTTTGAAAATTTTGAGTTTATTTTTTGCTTTTAATAGCCTAATCATGTTTTCATTTTGAAATGCTGAGGTCACAATTCTTGTATATGTTAGCACACGTATACAGATGTATGTTGTTCTAAGGAAGATGTTTCATTTAATAACAGGGTTATATCAATCAAATTCTGGTCTATTCACATTTTGGTTTGTAACTTCAAATTACAATTTGTAATCTTTGCATGCAAAACTATGTGACTGAAGCATTACCATAAATTGTTTTTTGAAACATGACATATATACATGTAACCTGTAAGCATGTAAGCTGTAAACATTGGCAATTGATTTTGTTTGTACAACATAAATTGTCCGTCGAGAGCCTGATGGGCGCTAATTAACTCTGTGTTTTTAATTGTTATGAGTTAACACTTCTCTGGCTCGGCGCTGACAAAACGTTAAAAAGGTCTACCTCTTTCAACATTGAACTCATATTTAGACAGACATTTTGCTGGACTGATCACCATAAAGCCTCGTTCGCACCAGACCCGGTGAAACGCCTAAAACTTGCCACAGCGAAATCAAATTACATACATGTAGGGCCTAGACATAACAGTAGACTTCCCGTTACTGTGTCTAATAACACACATATAGGACAGTACAGTACATGTATATGTAGGGCACATTCATATTCTCAGCTTCTTCTTTTTTTCCACCCCACTTGCCTTTAATTTACAATTAATCCTTTGACTACCAAATTCTGTAATTCCCATTGGCTCAGTACAAGAACAACTTGATTCCCAGAGGAGAAGGGTTAAAATTGTTATCAAATTTGCTGCTGTATAGAAGGCGTTTCACTGCATCGTGTGTGGACGAGGTTTAATGCAAAACATAAAGTGCAGGTTATTCTTATGTATATGTACATGACTTGTTTGAAAACGTAACTATGTGTGTGTGTTGCTCGTCTTACAACTAATTTGTTCTGTATGTGCTAATGTGGCCGTCGGGGCGACACATTTGCGTACTGCAATATCAGTTTGTGCCTGCAAAAATATATGTGTGCATGAGTATGAAATGAGAAAATTCATGGATGTATCAAAAATCTGTAAATGTTTTTTGTATATGCTGATTGTTGCCAAATGGAGTTGTGATATATTTTCTTACGGGCCTTACAAGTGTGTTACTTCATTTCTGTATTTCTTCATTTTTTTTCTCGTAAACATTTTTGTCCATGTTCCTCATTCAATTTGTACATAAAAAAAACCGAGGTACACTTTATTGTCTACTGTATGATTAAGTGATGATAAGTATAAATCCAAATGTAATTGTTATCTAAAAAGCAATGAGAGAATTTATTTTGAGTTTGCATACTTTCCAATTGTTGGACCAAATGCCGAGAATTACCCTACTGCTCATCCGTCTCCTTCACTAATTTTCTCTTTCTTAGACCTCTCCCTCTCTATATATCATCATGCTGTCTCTCTCTCTCTCTCTCTCTCTAGCTGTCTTATATCTTTATCTCTATATGTCCTTATCTCTCTCTCTCTCTCTTCTCATTATGCTATATTTTTCTGTTTCTGTCTTTATCTATTCCCCTCTTCCCATCTTCCAATCTCTCTCCTAAATTGCTTGTCCTACATCACATTCAGTCTCCTTCTTTCTCATTCTCTTTTTTGTACCTTCTCAGTTGCTTTCTTTAACCCATACATCGGTGCCCATGGCACTCCATTCATCCGTTTGCCATTTAGGATTTAGTTCTTTCTGTGTCTATTGACCAGTAATTATCTTTAAAGATAGATTGATGTAAACAGCCCATCTACTTAATATACCAATGTCGTCGAAACAAAATGTACATTGTATCTTAAATTCTCTTGTATATATATTATTATATAACCTCAGTTATGAGTATTGCCTTCAATGACGTCTTGCACTGAATTTGTACATGATATTGTATTCACCAGCTTCAACGACAAATTGTAATTTTGCTTTTAAAAGAAGTAAAGCATTTAAGATATGTATGATAGTATGAATATATGTTTGAAAATGTAATTGTATACTTGTTTTTTCCACTTGAATATACTGCATCTTTTCCCTGTATATAGCCATTATAACATGTATATTATGTTTCTCCTGTACATACAATTAATGGGCCATTTGCATGCTGTATTGTAAACTGGATTAGAAAAAAATCTTGTTTTAATCAAGACTTCAAAATTGAGAAAGAAGAGATGGATTATATAATGATGTATATAAGAAAGGGAGAGAAAAACAATCAGTGCAATTTTGTTATTATTGGCTTTTTAGAAAAGCATCTGTAGCATAGTATTCCAAAAGTCATTAATTTATGAAGGAAAATATACAAATCTTTGTTCTTAGCTATTGTATTCTACCAAGCTTTATAGTTTTACATTCGTAGATAAACTAGTTTAGTTTTAAGATTTCTTTCTATTTCTGTTTTGCTTCAAACTTCTTCCAGTCATTTACTTTAACGTTTGATTTCATGAAATATCATAGATATATTTAAATCACAATCAGTCTGTTATATTCTATTCCCTTTATTTTTGTTAAATTAAAAAAAAAAAATTGTATGCACTTGCAACTCAAAATGGGTAAGTTAAAACAGTATCATTATTCATCATCATGTAAGAAATGTTTGTTTATTGTATTGGTCAGATAAGGAATTTAATTGATAGAATGTAAAGCAGAGGGCCTCTCTTCTGTGCCAAAAAGTTTGCTAATAGTTGTTATACATGTAAATTAACTATCAAATTTCGAATTTTAATTAGGCTTTGGAACCTCTTGTGAAAGAACAATTTTCTTAACATAATTAGGGTATTCGTGGGATTCTGAACCAATAGAGTAATATCTTTTTTCATTCATTTCTACGCAATATTACTCAAGTTTTGTGAGTATCATTTCATTTTTTGACTAGATCAAGTAACCTGTCACAGGAAAACTGTTCATAATTTGGGGCATTTAAGCTGTGGTTAGAAGCACCATGGGATTTTATTCACTCAAGGCCTACATTCAAATTATTTTGCAAGATCCTTAGTAGGTTTAGTGACCTTTGCGAGGTAAAATACCATAAAACTGTTGGAAGGCACGTTTCCAGATATATATATATGAATGTTCTTCAACACCCGACTACATAGGTACACGTATATGTGCAGTTTGTAGCTTAGCTAGAAAGGCAGTAGTAGAGTAGATCATTTATGTTCACTTAAGAACACTCGTTCATGTCTTATTATATATGGTGCCTTCAAAGATACAAAACAAAATGTGTTTACAGGGAAAACGTAAACGGATGTGGAGATGTTCAAGTAAGACATTCCTGAAATAAATGAATGTGCTGGAAAATTACACATAAAATAAAAAATTGTGTGAATGTAACTCTTTTTTTTTCAAGGTCAGGGCACTCGTTTTAATAGCATGGTCAGCGAACGATGCAGCTTATTGCTTCCGAAGTCTAAAATGGGCTCCCTCCTCAAATCATTGCCAATAGAACAATTCAAACAGTTTGAAGACAAATGAATGCATATGTCTTCAAACTCTGTTTGAATCGTTCTATTGGCGAGGATTTCAGTTGAAGAGGGAGCCGTTTTAGACTTCGGAAGCAGTAAATGAGAAAGCTGAATCGTCGGCTTACTTGTTGTTGAGTGAAGGCGAGAGGGTTGTCCGTCTCCCTGTCTGTCACTAATTGGTAAGCAAGATATGATGCAAGTTCACTTCATCAGACTTTTATTCAGAAATCATAAACATTTACACACATATTGGCCCAAATTCACAAAGGTTTGCCGACAAACCTAGGTTAATGTGTGTCATATGTTGGTTTAGACGTGTTTTTACAAACCAGGTTTGTAAAAATCAATGACGCACATAAACCTCGTTTGTGAATTCGGGCCTCCCAACAACGGGGCTTCTCTGACAAGTACAGCAAAACATGTACTTCTACAGATTCAATTTTTATACAATTGCCTTCTTGATGACTGCCAAATAGCTACCTTTTTTCAATTCAACAAATTTCCTATTTTTTGGATTCAAAACACTAATTTGCATTGCTCAATTATCACAACATTTATGTTTCATAACATTTGTTTGTAGTAATAATACAAATTACTAGATATTTTGTAAGCAATTGGTGAAATAGTTAATCCAGACAATGAAATGCATAAAAATACTTTTAAAAATATGAAATTCCAAGTTCAAAGCAGAGCTTGTCCAATAAAGCCAACCTGTCCATCATATAAGAACAATGCAAATGATTTTATTGGGCAGTGCAACCCTACACAATCTTGATTATGACTAGGTTCTGCCATGAGTTTTAAATACAAACTTCACACACAAATTCTACTACACTTGCCCTCTCGACTGTCATAGCCCAAGCATGTACATGTACTGCCTTGGATAATATAACCTAATCCCCCCCCCCACTCTTTTGACAACTCCTCAAAAAAAGTACCCCAGTAAATCTCCGGAAAACAATCCCTTAATAACACTTTGAATGCTTTCTTTGCCCCTACGCTCGTTTGCCACAAGTGCAATCTTGCACAAAAGAATAGACACCAAATGATTGAAGGATTGCTTCGTGCAACACGGAGGCTTTGCAAAGTTATTTATATCCTATCTTGATTAGATTGTAGCTCTATGGCAACCCTTTTAACTTCAGTATAGTTTAGTCTGGAAACAAACAAATGATCTGGTAGCCTGGTTGCTTACTGACAAGCATTTGTGCTTTCGTAGCAGTCAGGTAAAATAACCACCACTAAAACATTATATCTGTCTTGTAATAAATACATTGTGGCACAGGGAGATTATCTGTATGGCATACAAAGAGATAACTCCTACATGTATGTAGGCAGTTGTATCTAAGCAATATTAGGTAAACTTACGACAATCAGATATACACACAGTAGAAGAATACTGACATTTGTTAATTCACACCACAACCACCATTTTGGTTCATGTTTTAAAAAAGAAATTAAAGGACCTTGGAATCATAAATAAAATCTTAAGAGAGCTAACCTTAAACAGCTGCTGCTAAAACATATGCAAGAACAACTATTTCCATTAGAATTTCAAAGCAACACTAGTGGACGAACAATTAATTTCCTCAAGTATAAGTATAGGGAGCTGTCATTATTAGGTTAGTATATCATATCATATATCACATACAACATCAAGCTCCCTGTCTCATTACAGGAAAATGAATAGATGGGACTGCTCTTTGTGATTCAGACAAATACGTCTCACAAAAGGGGAAAATAAAATAAAGTGTTGATTACATTAATATTATGTGCTTCTAAATCCTTTGTGATCCCAAAATAGACATAAAAGAATGTAAGAGATTTGATTCATACTGTTCGGTTACAATCAACATTTTTGATATAAAAGACAAGAAGCTAGTATGCTATCACATGTATCCTCCATACACATGGAAATTGCTACCACAGACGTGAACACAATAATGGAATTAGCTAGACACACACAACAGGCTTTCTAATCTAACCCCTCATGATGATTCCGTCCTGCGTTTATACCTGATGATGGGATTAAGAGGGGTATGGATCATGGTTTGGTAGTTGATCCCGGGGAAGTAGCCATCGACCAGCTCAAACTCGAAGATCCTGAGCATGACCGACCAGATGGTTTTGATCTGGACGTAGGCAAAGTTCTCGCCGATGCATCGATGGCGACCCGCACCGAAGGGCACGTAGGAGAACTTCTCGCTGTTGGACTTGCTCTCATCAAGGAATCTGTAAGGAGAAGAAAGAAAATAAAACTGTTTAAAATAATGTTTTGCCATGTTAAAGAAAAAGACCAGTTATGGTCATGCGATTGCATTGTGAAAGAAATGTTGTGGAATTGATCAGAAAAGGTTGATCATCTGCAAGGTTCTGGAATCATCTAAATGATAAGAAATTTGGCCAGTGTTGGTAAAGTTACAAGCACTGTACACAGAAAGATGTATATGGGACTACGCACACGTGCGCGACACGTGCGTCTATCTCTCACAAGCCAATAGATAAACCAATTTACCAAATATATTATTTAGTAGGCAGTTTCCCGGCAAAATTGTTATCATCAAGTATTAGTCAAAACATATTCTTTCACATGATTGGTAATAAGAGCTTCCATTTCATTTTTTGAAATTGGGGCGTTTCCAATACTGGTCTTTACCTTTAAAACACTGTCCAAATACTGATCATGAACTGAAATTTCAATTGAATTTTACTTCAGTTCGACTCCCTATCTCAAAGAAAACAGTTTCACAAAATAGTTGAAAAGCTGAAGCAATACATATTTCAAATGCATAATATCTTCTCCTGTCAATCTTAATATCCATTAACTGGTTAAGTTGCCCTCTGTTCCTGATCAATTAAAATTCAGCTGAGCAACACATTCACTGGATCCTTAATCACACCAACCCTAGACCAACAACAGACTGCACAAAAAATGTGCGGTGTGGGGTCGGTTTATAATAGCTGTGTGACTAGAATTTGAAATAATGACTAGGTCAAAAAAATTGAAGTACTAGGAGAAAATTATTAATATGCTGGAATGCAACAATCACCATGCTCACATTCATTATCATCTTTATCGTCGTGATCAGCAGCAGCAGCACTATGATCAGCATTGTCATTATTACTATCACCGTCACCACCACCATCAACATCATCATCAACATCAACATTATCATCATCACCAGCATAACTATTATAATCAGCATCATCATCATCATCAATACCACCTATCATAACAACATCCATCATTATAATCCTTACAGTCACCACTATCGCCATCATCATCACAATCACCCCCTACAACCACCATTACCATGATCATCACTACCACCACTAATATTATCCGCCTCTTCCTCCTCCCTCTCCTCCTGTTCCTGCTCCTCCTCCTCAAGATTTCCATTATTATCATCATTATCATTAACATTATCATCATAACCATCATCATCATAACTATTATAATCACTATCATCATCATCATCATCATCATCATCATCATCATCATCATCATCATCATCATCATCATAACTATTGTAATCACTATCAACATTATCATCATAATCACCACCAAAACTATCATCATAATCCTTACAGTCACCACTATCGCCATGACCATCACCATCACCATCATCATCGCCATCACCACCAACACCACCACCACCACCACCATAAATATTATCCGCCTCTTCCCCTACCTCTCCTCTTCCTCCTCCTCCTCTTTCTCCTCCCCTACCTCTCCTCTTCCTCCTCCTCCTCTTTCTCCTCCCCTACCTCTCCTCTTCCTCCTCCTCCTGTTCCTGCTCCTCCTTCTCAAGATTTTCATCATCATCATCATCATCTTACCTGTCTGGGTTAAACTCTTTAGGTCCAGGCATCCAGTTGTCCTTCAGCCTCTGGTTGACCGTTGGTGATACGCAAACCTGATGACCAGCAGGAATAGTCATGTCTTTGTAGGTCTGCAAGCGAGAAATGGTTTATAAAAAGTGATTTCCTCTCAAAGTTTTAGAATTGACCAGTAATCCAATCTCACAAAAACCTTGCATGCCACAAAAACACTAAATTTCCTGTAATTTCACAAAAGCTGTAGCATTCAAAACAAAATATCGCTAGTTACAATACAGGTGAATCACAATATGCCTCTTAGCTTTCTCCTTTTCATATCAAAATGCAAAAAAGATATATAGCAAAGGCATGTGAGAAAAAATAGTCCTCAACCTGAAATACCCATGGAACTGCAACGACATTTCAATTACAAATTGCTCTGATAGGCCTTCAGATTATTTCTTAGTCCCATTTGCTCATATCTATGTTTCTCATGATCAGTGAATTTGGAATTATATTAAGGGTTTTATTTAGGCGCCTTGGATTAATTCTCATGTGCGAGAAGCTGCACCTTATTAACCAGAGAGCGCATGCATCAAAGCCGATTGGGTTAATCCCGGATGCACGATTTGCCCACGAAAAGCTGCATTGTGTGTGTCCGAAGACCGCGACGTCGTTTTCAAGCCAGAAAAACTGCGATTAATTTTCAACCCATTGAAAGATTCGTCATACTTGTTTAGCTCCCTCTGCGGCTAAACTAAGTTATTTAGCTTAGCTTGAGTTCGTGTCTAATTAGCACTGTACTCTGTATATTTGGAATGGATCATTATGCACAAAAAAAAAACACCGTTTAAAAGGGTTGTTTACAAGTAATAAGACCTGTTTAAAAAATGCAACAAGTTGTTGTATTGTAATGAACTGTTAGCATTTTAAACAATTACGTTTTATCTGTGTATATATAACCGAATGAATTTTTAAAAAATAGATTTTTTTCGGGGAGGTAACTTGGAGGTGTCAATCTAGACACACGGGTTATGGGAGCCCCATTCAAATTTAATTCTCCAGCAATTATTAGAAATAAAGACTAGAGGTTTTTATTCTCTCTCGCCGGTATAAACAATTGCGTGCTGGCCATAAAGCCAATGTGTTGATTCATGAATTCTTGTTTGGAGACTATGCTATTCCATTGTCATTTAACTCATAGAGGCAAAACACATTTTACTGCACTCATTATACATTTTTTTGTCTTCCTCCCTCCCCAAGTATACTACTGTGTCTCCGGCTATTTGTTTTTGTTGTTGTTAGGTGGGGGTAATGGAAGGAAGGTAACAAATCATTGATTGACATTCGTTTAGAAATTTGCGTTAATTTTGCTCACATCACAAACAAAAATCTTATTAGGATAAATCAATACTCTTGCACAAGATTCAAGATTACGATACTTTATTTCTCCAATCGTGCAAAATATAAACTAACATTATCAATTGCTCCTGTTTGTTGTACTTTCACGTTATTCATTATAATCTTTTTTTTTTCATAAGCATGTCCATTTTTCTTTCACATGAAATTCTGATACTGCTGGTACTTCATTGGGAGCAGCGTAATCCGCGCTCGCCCTGAAGAAATCTCATGACGGCAAGCACCTTAGTACCTCATAATCCGCCCTTCTATTGTTCGAGTTTATAACCATGACAACGAACTCTCCCTTTGGCCAAGTTCATTGTTCCTCTTACGTAACATAGATGTAGATAGGCTTCATACATAACTCTTTTCGTATAATCATTCTATATACCGGTAGTTCTAAAATGATTTCAAATATTTTGTGTCGTTTTTGTTTGACTTTGTCAATTTACTTACAAACTATTATTGTCAAAATTTGCCAATATCACCAAACTATTACGTTTTCCCTATCATCTTCCGCTCTAGAATACTATTATTTATTTATTTTTATTTGTTCGGTCCTTTTCACATTTTTCTTGTCTCTCTCTCTTTAAGATTTCTTCTGTTTTTGTAAGGGTATTTATGCTGTTAATTTTTTTTCAGTTGCGATTTTTATTTTTTCAACCTGCTGTCCCCAATATCTTACCAGTTTGTTTTTCTTTGGAGATACATAATATCATTAAGTTTGAAGTTCACATCTTAAGTGGTTCTTGAGATATCGAGATAACGGAAAAGCGGGATGAACGGACAGACAACCCGGCCGGGCGCGCCGGATGCAGTTTGTGATGGGTGGGGGGGGGGGGGGGTGGGCGGGCGGGCAAACATTCCAGAGGGCTCACCCTCCAGGGGCTCATGTCTTCTCACCCCTAATAAAAACACACATGCACGCCTTCCCATCCTCTCGCAATAATACACAGGCGCACGTTTACACTTCATACAACACTCGTACATAATGATATACACACGCCCTTTTTATATTTGTTTTTATTAAACACGTGTAATATAAAACCTGCAAGTTAAGGTTAAAAGGTTTGAACGCTTTATGATCATGATCATCATTCTTCAGTGATCACCATATTATTATATGGAAATAATATTTAGATCATGAATGATTATGTTAATCGTTAATTATACCCTGTTCATGACACTGTTAATAAATATCATGAATAAATCAAAACAACGTTTAGATACTGTTAATAATAGTTTCCCCTATTTTCAACAGATAGGTGAAATACAAATTATAGCATCGCTTCAAATATTCATGTTAACAATTAATTTTAACATGGATATTAGTTTTTTCAGTCAGGCAGAAAGAAACTCAAAAAAAGATCTTGCATTGGCATGTGAGTGTATCATTATAATTATTCATATTGTTTTATCGATTCTTGTGAAATAGTATGCATTTAAGCTTTTGGAGCTTTGTTGGGAGTATTTGTATGAAAGAAAGCGTTATTAACTAATAATGCACATGATATGTATGACTTGATATTGATCGCAATCACTTTGCCATTCAGTCAAGTAATGAATAATATTATAGAAATTCAAGTATTTATTATGTGTTTTTGTTCAAGATTGTATTATAGAAAACAATATAGTATAAAGAAAATACAAATTCAATCCATTATGTCTGTACGATGAACATAGTACAATCATAATCTAGTTCAAGCAAAGCGTGACCAAAGAAAATCATTATATTATTAGTATATCTTATAAATATATATATTTGTGTATATTAATTATTCATGTATATTTATACACGTAAGTGTAAATACTTGAATTTGAATTCAAAACAAATTGTTCATAGTATTCGGCAATAATGGTCATAAACTGACTTGCTAAACAACAGCAACAACAGCCCATTCACCGTCCTGTTTGTGTGTGAAGATGGAGCTGGGGGATTATTCCAATGAAAGAAACAATAGCCGGATTATCTGAACTACGGTCTGCCCACATTGCATTCGCTTTGTCATGATCTGCAGTGATCTGCAATGTTTTGTATACATCCACTGAATACTAGCTTCAGGTGTTTGTATTCAGGAAGGGGGGCACTGTATCCAATGACCGGGTATTTTGTAACGCTTGTATTAAAGGGATAGTTGAGTTCTGTTTTCAGACCGCAAATGCCTTCAAAGTGCATGGTTATTGCTCTTATTCTTATCTATATGTATGACATTTATAGTGCCCTGTTAGAACCTAAAATTGCTATGGAGGTAATTTTAGACCCCAAAATGTGTGAAATTTAGCCAATACGATAACAATCCAGCTACACTTTAAAAAAAAACCACGGCGACCATTAATTATTTTTTAATTAATGGGCCAGCTATTTGTAGGTAATAAAAGCAACACGAAAATGCCAACAAAAAGGCCAACATCGGCATTGGCTGAAATACGACGTAAAAGGCGTTATTTCGTTTTTTTCAACGTTTTTTTTCTTCTTTTTCTTATCTCTCTCTCTCTCTCTTTCTCTCCGTCTCTCATCTCTCTCTCTTTTTCTTTCTCTCTCATCTCTCTCTCTCTCTCTCTCTTTCTCTCTCTCTTTCTATCTCTCTCATCTCTCTCTCTTTCTCTCTCTCTCATCTCTCTCTCTCTCTCTCTCTCTCTTTCTCTTTCTCTCTCATCTCTCTCTCTCTCTCTTTCTCTCTCTGTCTGTCTGTCTATCTCTCTCTTTGTCTATATCTGCCAATGTCGTTTTCCATCTTCATCTTTCATATTGTTTTCTATTCCGCCACTTGCTTGCAATATGATATAATGAAAATACACATTCAATTAATTCTGTCTGTATGATGGACATAATCATAATCTATTTTAAGCAAAGCGTGACCAAAAAATGTAATATATAATTATATATCTTCAAAACAAATATTATTTATATATTATTCATAATATACACGCATATTATGTGAGTGCATATACGTAAATTAGAATTAAAAACAAACTTGTTCATATTATTCGGCACAAATGGTCATAAACTGACTGACTTTCCTAAATAAAACAACAACAACAACGACAGTACATTCACCGGCCTGTTTGCGTGAGAAGATGGAGCGGGTGGATTATTCCAATGATAGAAAACAATAGCCGGATTATCTGAACTACGGTCTGCCCATTTTCATTCGCTTTGTTATGATCTGCAGTGAAAAAGCAGGAAGTCTATTCATGTTTTGGATTTTCGAACCCATCAGCTGCAATGTTTTGTTTGCATCCACTAAATTCTAGCTTCTGGTGTTTATATTTCATCAAGAGATTAAGAAACATTCAGAAGAAACTAAAATGAACGGAGAGAAGAATATTACAGTACAATAATAATTATAAGAAGTAAAACTTTTGAATATAAATCTCTGTTGCATCAAACTGATATGACAAAAAATGTTTATTATGCTAAGTATAAATGTGTGATAAATAATTGTTCTTAATAAGTTATCCCTTTGAGGAAGGGAATCTGAATTCTGACCCTAAATAGCAGGGGCCGCGGAGCGTTTTTGAGAGTAGGGGGTGGGGAGGTCTGAGCATGCGAACAATCTATAAACCCCTTTTTCGGAGCTTTTATGAAACGTGTCTACTAAAAAAGAAAAGCCACAGCCACCCGCTTCCGCAGCCCCTGCATAGTTTGAGAGTTAAATGGCCTATAGAGGGCGGTCAACTGGTATCAGTTGAAATCAATATGAGTAGGTCGAGTTCTATTCTAGAGTCGTTGGAGCGTACGGTCTTTTATACGGGATTTTCGCACGCGTTTTTTGAATAGAGGGTTTCGGACGATTGTGGCTTTCACGCAAACTAGGCCGCGTTGCATAAAGCCGCGTGATTACTGCCACTCGAATTGATCCAAGGCGCCTTACAGGATTTCAATATTTCTGGGTGTGTGGGAGTGTAACGACCCACATCTGAACAATTTATTGCAAATGTACGCAACAACAAATCCGTTTTCTCGCTTATAGTTGCTTTTTTGAGTTTTTCTTGTTTGAAAATTTGCCAACACACCCCAGTCGACCTCACGACTCCCTTGGCACCACGGGACCAATGATTGGTACACTTACCAGGGGAGATTTAGCGACCCTCATCATAGTCATGATAGGTGGTCTCAGTCTCAGTGCTTCCTTCACACAGTGGTCCAGCAGTTGCATGTCTTTGAGCTGGAAACGAAACGCAGAAAATAAATGAGTTTAATTCCAAAAGGAGCTAAATCCATTTGTGTAACTTCAGAGAAAAAAGAAATTGTTTACCAGATTTTGTGCAGGCATCTATGGCCGAAAAGTGATTTAAAAAGGTGCATTTTTTCATAATTATTCCCAAAATTAAGGAAAAATAATTTTGTTGAAAGACGGGTACTTCACTCAATTTTTATCAAAAGTGGATTAAGCTCCTTTTGGAATTAAGCTATTATGATACATGATTACAACACATCAGGGCCCCGTCTACTTTAAAGAGTTGATAGCAACTATGTACATAGGAGACTGCAAACTTGCAATTAATGGGAGGACTTGCGATTGGTTCAGATCAATCACAACTCTTTATGAGACAGGGCCCAGAGCTGAGGTTTATAAAAGACCTTTCCAAATAATATCCACAATGCTGTTAATGGCACTGTGCATGAGCTTGATTGAGGGTTTTTATAATTCTTAATGATTTATTCTCATACACACCTGATCATACGAGACCTCGGTCGATGCATCACCACACACCTTGATCTGCTCTGCATTACATCGATCCTGTAACAATTAAACGAAAACATAACAAGTAATTACTTAATAATATATGCATAAAATGGTCCATCCAAATTCTGTTATTCCCTGAAGAATCTGTATTTCTTTTTACTGCCCAACTGAAAATAAGATTCTGATTTGGAATGTAGAATCAAGTATTAAATTTGAGTATCAAAATTGAAAATGGATTAACAGACTTTTGTTTGTTGTTGAATATACCAATCTGCGCAGAGGCATGCATGCAAGTGTTGATTTCTTTGACTCCTAAAAACGTCACATTTAAGAGTATCAGTACGATTGTACCTGCAATTCCTCTCTAGTAACACCGTTCCTAACCTAACACACGTAAATCATCATAAAGGACATTTTTTTTTTCAAGCTGGAAATTGGATTGGCAATTGGATTTGAATTTGAATTTGAAAATTGGATTTGAGATTGAATTTGAAAAAATTGGGTTTGAAATCCAATTTTAATATTTGGAATTGGAATAAATATTTTTCAAATATTACCTGCACTTCTTTATCCCTAGCAAGAAAGAATCCTAGCCATGCACTGGTTGTAAATTGAAAATTGGATTTGAAATTGAATTTGAATATTGGAATTAGAATAAAAATGTGTCAAATATTACCTGCACTTCTTTATCCCTAGCCAGAAAGAATCCCAGCCAAGCACTGGTTGTAGATGAAGTGTGTTGACCGGCCAGGAGCAGACCTATACACATCCCTGCGATCTCGTCGTCCGAAAGAGGGCGCCCCGACTTGTATTTGGAATCAATCAGGGTTTGTAGCATGTCGTTCTCGACTCCAGTCTCGCGTCTTTTGGCGATAGCCTGTGGTAGGATAATAGACATTTTTATTCTCTTTTATTGAGAGATGTCGCAGTCTAGCAGATACGTCACTGGACTCTGGATCACATGTTTTGCGGTTCGAGTCCAGCCACAGGCAAGAATGTCCTTTCGCAAAGACATTTGCCATTCTACACCCAGGTTTAGAAAAATGGGTATCTGAATGTGCAGAATCTTGAAGACCCGGCATACATGCATGCCCTCAACTTTGCCATTAAGTTAACCAATGTGTTTCACCATTCACTAAATGTTAGTTATTTATGGCCGATTATTTCAATGTTTTTCTTGATCTTCAACTATACAATTTACAAACAATGTTCTGAATTCAAGCTTATTTATAGCCAAAACATTTTAGATTGAATATACGATTTTGGGTAGTAATCCCTTCCTATGGCAATCAACTGGTAACGGGATAAATCAAACTGCATCCGTAGAGGGAGGAACCCACTCACCTTGTAGAATATTTGCTTGATCTTTCTATGAGCTCTGTCCCTCCTGAGGAAGCTAGGGAAGGGTATCCAGCTCGGAGCCAGCCAGGCGAGATGGGTGAAGCCTCCGTCAAGGTCTGCATACAGCTGGGCTACCTCCTCATCCAGCATACTGCGGATCTCCTTACCTACAGGTCAAAGGTTAAAGACATAGACCGGTAGTGGTAAAATTGCGGTTCATGGGTTTTGGGTGCAAAATATCCATTCAATATTGTTAAAATATTGCCTTCAGAGGTTCAGATGGCAATAATTCAACCTAAATTCGCAAAAAAGCAGAATTATATACCCCAATGTTCCATGTTTAAGTGAATTGGCGATATCCATCCAGGCCGGATCGATATGATAATTTACCAAATATATCAATTAGTTGGCAGTTTCCCGGCAAAATTTGTATAATCCTGTATTAGGCGCCACGGATTTATTCAACTGGCATTCGGAATGCATGTAGAATGCCCTATTCAGAATCTATTGTTCTGTTAATCCGCATTCCAGAATGTACCTAGAATGTACCTAGAATGCGGTACTTAACGACTTAATTGGCGCATTCTGGAATGCTCCATGAATAGGCCATCCAAACAAAGGCGAGATCGATCGACAGCGACTACCTTCTTATTGCTTGCCGGATATTGCGTGCCGGAAGAGTTTCGATATAGAATGCACCATAAGAATTGATAGAAATCAACAGATATTGAATTGGTTTTGCTTCCGTCTCTCCCGCGATCGGTCGCTCTTTGCATTTCTCGAGCGCAGGTGATAATGGACTTACTTTGATTTCTTTCCGACGGCTTAATTTTTGTCATAAACTCCGGTAACATCATCGATATTTAATTGTTTTCGCTTCTAGCTCTCTTTCTCTCACTATTTATTTATCAAGCGTCGGTGATATTGTAATTGATTTTCTTTCTTTTCTTCAGCTTATTAAAGATGGTGAAAAGAGTAGAAGAAAGATTGAGAAAGAATGAAGACAGATTTATTATGACATTCCCGCCAGGCCGCCACAAATATGTCGTGAGTCGGCGCTCTCAGAACAAAGGCGCGTAACAGTGTCAAATATACGCGGTGTTTTGAAACGTTGGTGTTGATTGACACGATGCCTCATTAAAGATGGTAAAAAGAGTAGAAGAAAGATTGAGAAAAAATGAAGAAAATATTTTGCATGAAAATGCGGATGAATCTGAATGATCAAAATGAGAGGAAGAAAGAGGATGCAAGAGATGGTGGGTGTTGAAAGATCGGAGGACTAATGAAATGATACATTTAGATAAAAAGCGAGAGTGGATATTTGTGGTGATTACCATCTTATTTTAAACTTTTTTGGGGGCAGGGATGGGGGGTCCGTCTTTTTTTTTTTGCCAGGGAGGAAGCAGTCTGGCCCCGTTGCCACCCCCCCCCCTCCATGAGTCTGCGCATGAAGGAAAGCACATGCTTTAATGTAAACCTATGAAGTATGTTGTTTCATATAATCTTATTCCTAAACCGAGACAGACATAATTTTCTTTGTGGTCTGTACTTATGTTGCGTATCATTTTTTTTAATTTGTTACATCACTTACCTCATCTACCCTCTCTATTTTTTAAATTCCTTCTCTTATAAATAATGAATTGTGTGTGTGTGTGTGTGTGTTTTTTTTTTTCTTCAATTATAAATAAAATATGACTTACGGAATTTCATAAAAATTGTAGAGGGTGTGCTATTTATAAATAAAATAATGACAGATTTATTATGACATTCCCGCCACTACTATGTCGGCGCTCTCAGAATAAAGGCGCGTAACAATGTACGCGTTTTAAACTTTGGTGTTGATTGACATGACCCCTCATTTTAGATAAGAAGGAGACAGTGTTCATTCTAGATCTGGATTTATTATTATTATTGAGAGAGAGAGAGAGAGAGATTACAGGTGTAAATTGGCTGTATGCCTATAACAATTCTAAAATGTTGGATTATTTTGTAATACACAAATGTTTTTGTTCATCGGAAATAATTGCTCCTCACCATTGACCACGGTTGCAACAACGACATTCAAATAATGACAGATTTATTATGACATTCCCTCCACATGTCGGCACTTTCAGAACAGAGGCGTAACAATCGTAAATATCGCGGTCTGTTCGAACTTGTGTGTTGATTACATTTCCAAGATACAGTCATCAATCCAACTTTCTACTCCATTCGTGCCTTTTCATCGTACCCACAAAAAGATCAATAGACATATCAGAATCCCGATATTTAATTGCTTTCGCTTGTCTCTCTCTCTCTCATCACTGCCCCTATTCCGTTATCCTGTTATCCTTGTTATAGATAAAAAGCGAGAGTGGATTTTGTGGTTACCACCTTATTTTTAAACTTTTTTAGGGGGCAGGGATGGGGCGGTCCGTCTTTTTTTTGGCCAGGGAGGAAGCGGCCTGGCCCCGTTGCTCCCCCCCTCCCCCCCCCCCCCTCCACGAGTCTGCGCATGAAGGAAAGCACATGCTTTAATGTAAACCTATGAAGTATGTCGTTTCGAATAATCTTATTCCCAAACCGAGACGGACATAATTTTGTTTGTGGTCTGTGCTTATATGTTGCGTATCATTTGTTTGTTTAGCGCACACTATCCTAACCCCCCCCCCTTTTTTTTCATCACCTTCCTCATCTTCCCTCTCTAATTGTTTAATTATATCTCTTTTTTTTCTTCTTCAATAATAAATAAAATATGACTTATATCATATTTCTCTACGGAATTTCATAAAAATTGTAGAGGGTGTGCTTATTTATTCCAAACAAAAAAAGAGAAGGTCATATATAGATCAGTAGAGAGTGGGGGAGAGATGATAACTGAGTGAGAGGGGAATTGGAGAGAACGAGGGAAAGAAAGAGGATGCAAGAGATGGTGAATGTTGACATATGAGGTGGTGAAATCTGATTTTAGTCTTTTTATATATATATATGAGAAGTAAAAAGATTTCTTATTTCTTATTTCCAATCTAAATAGTCCGTATGCTCTAATAATTTAACAATGTTATCTCACGCCAACATGGCATGTGGACAACAACATGCCACGTGCGCAACAACGACATACCAATAATGACAGATTTATTATGACATTCCCGCCATAAGCATGTCGGCGCTCTTAGAACGAAGGCGCTTAACAATGTCAAATATACGCGCGTTTTAAACTTTGGTGTTGATTGACATGACGCCTCATATTAGATAAGGGGAGACAGTGTTGATTCGAGATAGAGATGGATTTATTATTATCGAGAGAGAGAGAGAGAGAGAGAGAGATTAAAGGTATAACAATCCTAAAATGTTGGATTATTTTGTAATACACAAATGTTTTTGTCATCGTAAATAATTGCTCCTCACCATTGACCAGTCGCAAAACGACATTCAAATAATGACAGGTTTATTATGACATTCCCGCCACATGTCGGCGCTCTCAGAACAGAGGCGACTTAACAATAAATATCGCGGTCTGTTCGAACTTGGGTGTTGATTACAACATTTCTAAGATACAGTCATCAATCCAACTTTCAAATCCCCACCAACCTTTCGTGGTCGGGGGAAGGAGGTGGGGAGGTGGGGAAGGAGGTGGGGTGGTGGGGGAAGGAGGTGGGGGGGGGGGGGGGGTAAGAGCATCATCCATTGATATTTGTTTGGTTCCTATCTCGTGAACTTAAATTGACAGTCGTAATGGATAACACTAGGTCTGAACCGTGAAACTACGAGACGTCCGGTAATATGAATACATGTATCTAAAAATGGTATGCATAACAAAATATCAGCCTTTAGACTGATCCCGCACCGTAATGTGCCCCTACAAAGAAATACGGGGTTCTCGAGCGATTTCGGTTACATCGCAAGTAATGGAAAATTTGGCGGTGCTTTCTACTTTCATTGCGCCTCATTCAGTCAATTTCGTGATTCTTTTTGTAAATATAAAAATGAAAGTTCAGACTTTTTTTTATTTCTAAAAATATAAGTAATGTTCATCAATACGAAAAATAAGGTCTGTTATTTTTGAGGGAAATTGCCGTCTTATTTTGCTGAAGCTTCACGTCTTTCCTTTTCAATACACTCACGATACAAATTGCGTAAGATCGGTCGATACCTCCATTCATTCCCCCATTGTCTATGATTGTCGTGTGCTAAAGCTCGGCCGATTATCAACCGAGCCATAAATAATAGGCCTAAGCCTTCGTTTTACATGGGTTTTCGACACATTTTGTAACTATATTCTGACCAACATTATGCCATGATCTACACTAAATGCCCTTTCTTTTAAATGTGCAAATCAAATATAGGACTATTTGGGGAACTTATGCATTTTGAAATGAACATTGTTTTATTCTCGAAAACAAAAATAATATTTACTTTGAATACTTTCGACTTTGTTTCTCATAATTAGAAATCTTCATTTGTCGTGTGCCTTACCATATTACAATCTTACCACTATTGCCCAAATATATTTTATGGAATAAAATGACACACAAATCCCATTTATCAGGATAACCATTGAACAGCTAGACTTGTTTTGGTTATCCCTCGTGAGAATGCAATTTATTTGTCTTCGTCTCCATCTGTGTTCTCGTTCAACCTATCCTTTCAATAAAACTTTGTTAATCTTCGTTTCATGATCAGTTCTGTAGATGGCATGTACATGTATACATGAAATGATGATGATGATGATGATGGCGATGATGATGCTTACAATATTGTAATAGAATAGTAATGATAATAGACATTAATTTCTTCATCTTGCACTCGCTTTTCTTTATTGCCAGAAAACTTTTTATTTTTTTTATTTTTTATGTTGCCTTGCTTTTTTTCCCCTTTAACAATGGTAGCATATTTGCCCAGGAAAATTCTCATATTCGTGGCTATACCTATAACTCAAACCTGCTCTAAAATGGTTACATGCCCTCGTAAAGGTACATAAGTTAGAGTGGTTGTTTGTATTGTCATGTAGCTTGACCTACGTTTGGGCCTACATCCTCTTCTTTCAACACGGTAATCTTCCAGAGTAGTTACACCTTTACATTCGTTTGTTCCTCTTATTGTGGGATCCGGTCCAGGCAGCTGAGATAAGCGTTTCATAATAGAGGAGGTCCATACATGAATGATTCGCTAAATTGATCAAGTTGATAACATGAAAACCGTATTGTCAGAGTTCCGACACTGGTAATTACAGGGGAGAAGAATTACCAAGTCAGGGGTCGGTTATTTAATGGCTGTTTTCACAACCCGCAAAGGCCTTTGTTTTGTTATCTGTTCTTGTTTATCGGATCTTTTTTCAAATTTTTATGAATGTTTTCCCCTGATTTGTTTTGCTTTCCTTTAAAGCAAATTTCCACCACAGGGTTGGATTGCCCATTTATTTTAATTAAGTACAGTTTATAAATGCCAAGTCTCAGATGTTTCATATTCCATTCAATCTTTCGGGGAAGAGGGGGGGGGGGGGGGGGGAGCATCGTCCATCAATATTTTTTAGTTTCCTAGGAACCAGTCGTAATGGAAGTCGATGTTAATACAGAATAATTATGATGTTCCCACTGAGTAAAATACGTCCTTTGCCTCCACCGTTAAATCTTTTCCCTTGCATTTATTGAACAGGTAGTGCAATTTACTTGACACGCAGTTGATTTGAACGAAAGCAAAGTGGCAACAACAACAAAAGAGAGAGAAAGAGATTGATGATAGTTTGACCGAGTTTAAAGAATTTGAAAATACAAACAATTTATTTTATATAAATGTAATCTTTTTCGAGCGGGAAAATACTTGTATTAGAACTCGTTCGTAGCGTCAAAATTCATTTTACCGGGGAAGAAATAAAGCGGCCGCAACTTTTTTATGGGAAAATGGAAACGTAATACCAAGATAATTTTTTCCTTCAATTAGGAGACAACGTGTTTCCGCTGTTATCAACTTCAGAAAATCAGAAGTTGAGAGAACGAATGTTATACCTTGTTTAAAAAGATAAATAAAAATAGCTCTTACTCCTTCTAAAAGTGCTCCGCGCTGTCTATATAAACTGATACTTATTCATATTCCAACACTATGTCGGCAGAAATTTGAAAAGACAAACAAGTTATTTTATATAAATGTAATCTTTTTCGAGCGGGAAAATACTTGTATTAGAACTCGTTCGTAGCGTCAAATTTCATTTTACCGGGGAAGAAATAAAGCGGCCGCAACTTTTTTATGGGAAAATGGAAACGTAATACCAAGATAATTTTTTCCTTCAATTAGGAGACAACGTGTTTCCGCTGTTATCAACTTCAGAAAATCAGAAGTTGAGAGAACGAATGTTATACCTTGTTTAAAAAGATAAATAACTAGATGGAATTTTGACTGCGCGCAGTCGAAAATGATGCCTCCGCCATAGAGCAATTTAAACAAGTTTGGAGTTTAAATCTCCAGTGGTTCTTGAGATATCATGATAACAATCTCAATGTATGGAATTTCATAAGTTGACCTCTGTGACCCTTGACCTTTGACCTACGTGCTCCAAAATCTAATCAGATTGTCTTCCTATGGTGATACACACTATCATTAAGTTTGAAGTTTAAATCTCCAGTGGTTCTTGAGATATTATGATAACAATCTCAATGTATGGAATTTCATAAGTTGACCTCTGTGACCCTTGACCTTTGACCTACGTGCTCCAAAATCTAATCAGATCGTCTTCCTATGGTGATACATACTATCCTTAAGTTTGAAGTTTTTACATCTCCAGTGGTTCTTGAGATATCATGATAACAATCTCAATGTATGGAATTTCATAAGTTGACCTCTATGACCCTTGACCTTTGACCTACGTGCTCCAAAATGTAATCAGATTGTTTTCCTATAGTGATACACACTATCACTAAGTTTGAAGTTTAAATCTCCAGTGGTTCTTGAGATATCATGATAACAATCTCAATGTATGGAATTTCATAAGTTGACCTCTGTGACCCTTGACCTTTGACATACGTGCTCCAAAATCTAATCAGATCGTCTTCCTATGGTGATACATACTATCCTTAAGTTTGAAGTTTAAATCTCAAATGGTTCTTGAGATATCGCGCTAACAAACTCAATACAAGGAATTTCATAAGTTGACCTCTGTGACCTGTGACCTTTGACCTACGTACTCCAAAATCTAATCAGATCGTCTTCCTATGGTGATAAATACTATTCCCGAGTCTTAAGTTTAAATCTTAAATGGTTCTTGAGATATTGTGATAACGGTCAAACGGGACGGACGTACGGACGTACGGACGGACGTACGGACGGACGTACGGACGTACGGACGTACGGACGGACAACCCGAAAACATGATGCCTCCGGCACCACCTTCGGTGGCGGAGGCATAAAAATAGCTCTTACTCCTTCTAAAAGTGCTCCGCGCTGTCTATATAAACTGATACTTATTCATATTCCAACACTATGTCGGCAGAAATTTGAAAAGACAAACAAGTTATTTTATATAAATGTAATCTTTTTCGAGCGGGAAAATACTTGTATTAGAACTCGTTCGTAGCGTCAAATTTCATTTTACCGGGGAAGAAATAAAGCGGCCGCAACTTTTTTTATGGGAAAATGGAAACGTAATACCAAGATAATTTTTTCCTTCAATTAGGAGACAACGTGTTTCCGTTGTTATCAATTTCAGAAAATCAGAAGTTGAGAGAACGAATGTTATACCTTGTTTAAAAAGATAATAAAAAATAGCTCTTACTCCTTCTAAAAGTGCTCCGCGCTGTCTATATAAATATGATACTAATTCATATTCCAACACTATGTCGGCAGAAATTTGAAAAGACAAACAAGTTATTTTATATAAATGCAATCTTTTTTTCGAGCAGGAAAATACTTGTATTAAAACAAGCTCGTAGCGTCAAAATTCATTTTAACGGTTAAGAAATAAAGCGATCGTAACTTTTTATTATTGGAAAATGGAAACGTAATTCCAAGATATTTTTTCCCTTCAATTAGGAGACAACGTGTTTCCGCTGTTATCAACTTCAGAAAATCAGAAGTTGAGAGAACGAATGTTATAGCATGTTTTGCGCCGCGCTGTAGTCACTTTGGCAGGCATTTAAAATCACGCAATTCTGATTAATCGCCACTCGCCAGCGTCTCGGGCATGCTTTTTAATCGCCCAATTCTCAAAAAAAATCGATGCGATTTGCGCCTTTTGTCTAGAGAACAAAGGCGCATTCCAGAATGCATTCCAGAATGTGCGCATTCTGGAATGCCCCTTTGTTCTCTAGACAATAGGCGCAGGTCGCATCGATTTTTTGAGAATGTGGCTAGAATGGGGACATTCCAGATACATTCCAGAAAGATTAACAAGGGCATTCGGAATGCATTCCGAATGCCAGTTGAATAAATCCGTGGCGCCTTAGTCTAAACATATTCTTTCACATGGTTGGTAATAAGAGCTTCCATTTCATTCTTTTGAGATGGGGGCATTTCTAAAACTGGTCTATACTTTTAAAGATGCATAGGAGTGGGTTCTCACAAGGAATTCAACACTGGTTTGAGGTGTTTACTGTTTACCCAATAAAAGGCGTTGTCAATCACCAGGATTAGCCTTCAGTTTTATGACCAACTGGCCTTTGAAAGTAATGCTTGCATTTCCCCATCCATTCCCCCATATGGTAAATTTATCATCTAACCTGTCCCTCTCCCTAAGACGCTCCAAGAGACTAGGGGTATTTCTTTATCAGGCTTACAGGTTTACTGTGTGCAGAAGTGTCTGATGTCAGCAAATAATTGCACATGGAAACTGACGACCCACTCCCTTTAAAGCCCGTCTGCACTAGTTTGGCCAGGGGGCATTGGACCTCCCTGCAAGGTCACTGACAGGTGGTTATCTCATCAAATCAGCTCTCAATTAACCTAAGAAAAATCGATTAGGCATTGTTTGCTATATAGAGGGCGCAAGCAGCTATAAGTAGTGCAGTGAGGCTTTAAAGAAGAGGGCTTTGAAAAGTGAGTTCTAACATGTTTGACTTGCAATGAACTTTAACAAATCTATGAAATCTAATGAAACATATTTAAAAATAGACTCCGGTTATTGCACTTGCATATCGATCTTTCTTGTAAACGTGCATATACGGTTAAGAGTACACAAGCAAATGGGAATGGTATGACATACACTGCACTTCAAACCTTCAAAGTGTTTGATATCAATAAATGTAAAGATATGAAGATCACACACAAAAATAGATAAACAAAGTTCACATAGATGTCAGACCAAAAAATCCACAGTACTGTTGTACTGTCAAATATGCATGTAGCATGTATGCACAACAGTTTGTTAATATGGTAATTGTATCACATGCTAATTATATCATATGCAACACCTTATAGGTATTTGGTTTCTGTTTTGTGAGAAAGTGAATACACCCTTACCATGTAGACATCTGCTAGCAGTCAAAATGATCAACTCGGACAAGGCAACGAAGAGATCTGAAAAAATAAGAAGAATGAGACGAATGAAATATGATAACGCTAATGCAACTAGTATTAAAGTTCTATCTTTTCTGTAATGTATACACTGCCCTTATTAAGGTCATGTCTGTCAAAATTCAGAAATTTCACTACTTTATTGGCACAGACATTTTCAAAACCCATTAACTTATGATTCCAATGATGTAAAACTAAAATAGGTATTTCAAATTGAATGCTGAAATGTTCCCCCTCGTGCTTCATATTGCCAATAATATCTATTAGAAATTTTGACCATATTTAATGACAATTTGATTTCTTTTGCAGACTAAAAGTACAGCAGTCACTTTGTTCATTTTTCTAGATATCGCATAAAGCTTAAATGAGAAAAGAATTTTGAGTATATTGTGGAAACAATTTTTGTTTTTTCTACAATCCAATCTTACTCTTTTCTCCACTGTCTCCCCATCTGTTGAAATATTCTCTCGTCTCCTCCTCTATCAGTGGTATATGCCTCTTGAATTGCTGGATGTTGAGACCAGTCTTGAGCATCTTCTTTTGTTCTACAAACACCTAGCAAGAAACAACCATAATAATAATAATATTATGTTTTGGGCGGGGTAGCCTCGTCAGTATCCCTTAGGGCCCTGTGATCATATCATTACCCCGGCTTTAGCCAAGCTACGACGATAAGACGCTCAAGCATTCACTACACCCGAGGGTGTTTCACAAAGACTTAAGACCAATTTTATGTTGGACTCAACTATGGCAGGCCGTTCATGCCACTGTTTGCTCTCATCATTTACTGGCATTGGTTTCTCAAGGGACATACTGATCATGGTCACAAATCTACAGAATTTACATTTTTTATAACTCATTATTGAAGGAAAAAAAATCTAAAGATCGTGATGGTGAGAGCAAACAGTGGCATGAACGGCCTGCCATAGTTAAGTCCAACTAAAAGTCGATCTTAGTCTTTGTGAAACACTCACCTGGATGGAGAGTGGCATAATGCACATTAATATCTTGCCACAGCAGGACTTGAACCGCGAGCCATGTGATTCACAGTCCAGTGACCTATCCACTGGACCATGAGACCTCTACCATAACCAAAGTGGTGCAACGACAACCTGTTTAAAAAGACCACTCAAAGGAGACAGCACACAAGCATTCTTTCTGAGCAGGCAGTCGATCTGGATGCTTTCCTTTAATACAGATTTCCATACAAAATATGCTTCATTGGAAACAGGTCTGGTCTTTAAAGACAGTTGTATGACACTTACTCTACTGGCAATTAGTCTATGGTAGCTAACCTAATTGCAAACTTTGATCCAGGAACTATACCTAACCTAAGTTAACTCTTATCAAAAAGAATATTGCATAACCATTTCTCTTTGACAAAATAAAGTCTGCTAAGTAAATGTCAGATCACCTTACAATGTTGGGTGTTTAGTCCATGCATCAGCTAAACTGACTCTGCATGTGTTCAATTTTTTACCACTAATTAAATTCAAAACTTCAAAACTTCAACTCTGAACCGTGTAACATTTTACCTAACCCAAACCTGAAGCCCAATTACAACCAAATCCTAACCTTTTATCTTTCACAAATTGAAGTTTTAAAAGAGATATATCTACGCCCCCCTTATGTAGTCAATTATTAAGTTGATTAAACTTACCGGATTGGGTACATCGTAGGCCACGCCTTTTCCGAAGACAGGCACGGTGAGGTTACTGTAGACCTCCTCTGCGTTCAGGTTCTCATTCTTGCTGTTGAAGAGGAGAGCGCTGGCCTCGGACCCGATCAGGTAGGTGAACGTCTTACCAACCATCGTGAAGGAGAACACATCACCGTACTGTCAGACAAATCATTCATAATGAGATGGTGAACAGTGTAGTCACTCTTTTGCTTCATAACAATGTAACAAAGGACGTGTTGAGAATAGCTTTTACAGTGCACTGGACAAAGGCATTAAGAGTCCACTACTAAAATTTTCCGGAAGGAATATCATTTATAAATATCCATTGATATAATTCTATCAAAGTACATGATCTCATGCTGAAGTACAAGAAAAGCTAGCCCTATCTAGTATTGCTAGGAATGAATTAAAACCTGAAATTATTTTACACATACCAGAGCTGCAAACATTTTTTTTTCACAGGGGGTCTAGGACGGTATTCAATATTCATATACATGTATATTCATATTCAAATCATATTTTTACCAAGACAAAATCTAAGTAAAATCCTTACTGATCCAGGAGGAAAATAAAATGGGGGGGGGGGTGGGAGGTTATCGTCTGGAGCTAGAATTCCAGGGGGATTTAAATACCTAATGGTAGATGAATGAAGGGGGAGTTGGAATAATAGTCACAGGGTAACAGTTGTCCTCACTCTACAATACCATACCTTTTCATATGCATCCTCGAGGAAGTCTATGGGACTCTTATTGAATGCCACAGCTTGGCCTAGGAAAGGGATACCGGTGGGCAAGCGTGGAGGGAGTTTGATGTCCTGCAAGAAAGGAAAAGGAAAAGGAGAACATTTCTTTAAAACACAAGGGACTGTTGGTATTTGTGTAATGAATCCTCACATAAAAGATAAGTACATAAGCTCACCAGTAACTTGATAAATGACTCTTCATGCGAACTGCTAGGGTAGTATCAGATGTGGGAATCCACCAAAATAACTCATCTGGAGCCTGGAGACATGATGTCCATACAATTATCACGCATTAGATATATACACAAAAATTTCCTTCCATAGGTGTCAAAACGCTTATAGGAAATGAAGCAACCAGGTCTGTGAAAGGAAAATGCGCTTGAAATTAAAACTCCTCCTTGGATAGTCAAGCGATGAATGTTATTACATTACGAGATGATATCCAATGGATTAAATCTATATGAGAATTCCTCTTGGTGATAATTGCAGCTGATAAAACATAATGTAGTGCAGATGAGTTTTAATATGCAGTTGCATGTGACTTAGCAAAAATCTTGCTACCAGGGTGAAGTCCTTCTACCAAGATGGTGCACATGCATGGAATGAATCTAGAAAAATGTGTCATGTGCTTTTTTCCAGACTGTCTCTTGATTGGCCAGTTGTTGCCATGATACAAAAACATCTACTAGGGTACAGAAGTGAAGGTATTTCAACAACAGGTGAGCTTGCCTGATTTATATTCTATTGAGTCACAATATTGAAAAGGCTGACCAGCAGTGAACAAAAGAGATGATTTCAAAAGGAATTGCCGGTCTGTTGATTATGAAAGGCAATTGATGGTTGTGTAGTAAAATCAGCTGACAATTGTAGACAAACTGTGATGAAGTTGAAGTCTAAATCATCCCCCCCTCCCCCCCCCCCCCCTGTAAAATGTGAAAAAGTACCTCCAAAAAATGTATAGCAAATACTGACTAAAGACTGACACACTTTAAGGAACTGAGGGCCCAAGAGTGCAGTGTTTAGACTAATACAAATGCAAAAATCTTCTCACTCAAAATGTACAAGAAAGTATTGTAGAAAATCTGTATTCCGTTGGTATCTATCACGTAAGCACATTTTACACTATATGTCCCTCACATCTCATCCCCCTCCCCCTTCATGAAAAGAAATCGCAGCCCCTGCTTGTGAGTAATGTGTTGCAAGATTCCATATCACCGAACTGCTGGCTAACAGAGCAACGAGACCAAGCTCTGTAATTGTTAGGATCTCTGTCCAGAAGAAATGTTTGTGTAATCGAACTTGATCGACCAAATCAATTGATTCATAATTTACATGTATACATGTATATATTTGTTTTGTGTGATTTTTGCTGCAATAGACTATAAGTACTACTAGCAGGGCCCGTGGAAAATCCACGGGATGCTAGGGGGGGCAGGGTTAAATAGGTAGAGGCCTATTTGCTATCGAAAATAAAATTAGAGTAATTTTATATAGACAATTTGTATACTACACGCTGTTTGACCATGAATGGCGTACCGTAAAACAAACTATGTCAGGTATGATCTTGCATAATTACGATTTATTTGCGTTATTATTGTTGTAATTTTTATGTAGTTTTCATGAAAAGACCAAAAAGGCAGTAGCTTGGCTCATGATTATGTTGGCATTGTTCACACAATTTGTATAATTATTTTCAAAGTAAAAAATTTACGCGAACAATCCGACGGTTTATGCCAATATGTAGCAGTGTGTGTGTGACTGTGAGCGTAGAATCCAGTGAAAGATATTTTTGGGGGGGCTCGATCCATATCAAATTAGGGGGAAGTTTTCGGGGGCTACTTTTTCAACTTTCGGGGGCTCTTTTTTCTTGGGCTGCTTTTTCATTAATTCATTAAGCATACCGTGTAGCAGCATAGTGTTGCGTAACAAAGGTGTACTTTCTGCGTTGAAGTTTCTATGCCGAAAGTACGCGAACAAAAAATTAACATGTTAAATTGTTTGCGTCCATCTTGCGTCTCTCAGGGTAGTAGGCCAGCGTACTCTCAGCGTAGTTGGTACACAGCTCTACTATGGACCCCACGCCAATTAGTGACCTAGCTGCCAGTATCAGAAATAAGGTATTAAAAATATGCTCATCTGACCGTAATTAAATGCCAAGAACCCCTGAGCTTTCGGGGGTTCAGCCCTATGAACCCCGTGGACACCACGCCTGCATTTAACCCGCTTTGAGCTATCTGATCCCCCCCCCCCTCAACACTTTGAAAAACGTTTTAATGCATTGATTTGATGCAAGAACTGTATATTATCATAGTAAAAGTATTGCGACCGTCTGATTTTCTTGTGGAAACTTTACTTTGAAAATTGATTATCGAAATTCAGTATACAACAATACATGGCCAGAATAATCACAACCTAAGCTCAGGTTTCATACCTCTTTTCACAAAACTATATGGAAATCGGGGCAATAATAGCAATTTCAAAGTGTTGTTTAGAGTCTCTCACACCCGCTACTCCGGTCACCGCTACTTCATGCTCACACACTCAGCTCCGGCAGCACCGGGGACCGAAAGCAGCCCTCAGCTGCAGTGCAGTGGCAATACACCCACACGTGTGTACGTGTGGACTCAAGGCGTACTATCACATATCTATTTGCGCTATTCTGTTGTGCTTTCCATGTAGTTTGCATGAAAAGACCAATAAACAGAAATTTGGACTATGATTATGTTGGCATAGATCACAGAATTTGTATAATTATTTTCAGAGTAAAGATTTTACGCAAAAAAAGGTCCATGGTTTGCGCCAGTTGTAGCAATCGCCTCAACTCGAATCGACTGTACTGAGTGTGTGTGTGTGTGGCTTGAGCATGTAATACACGTACACTATGGGCGCCTGGCATATTAAAGCACATCCTATTGTGAGATGCCTAACTCAGGGTAAGCCACACCCGTTACAATGAGATTTGCTACACCCGTTGACGCGAGAGGAATCTCGTCCATCGTGTATCTCTTAATTGTCTCTCTTTGATTAGACAGAGGGCGGGTGCACGCCTTGCCGACTCGCTCTCGCGAGTTCGTCGCCTCCTTGCAATCCACGATGCCCCCCGTGCTCTCGTCCGCCCGTCCTCCCCGGAATCCCGAAACGGCGTTTAACGGTATGGACGTCGATCGCGGGGTCGAGTTGGCATGCGGATTACGGGAGACAGGCCTCGTTGAATTGTGTTGCCGTCCCCGCGCCACGTCTGAGGCGGGCGGGGTCGGGGAAAGACGTTTTTGAGGAACCGTTTTGCCCCGTTTTGGACCCCCCGCGGCGATTAGTGGTATTAGTATATAAGAAACTAAAATTAAGAGTAATTTTAATGAATTTAGACTGAATAGCTTTACTCTTTTATGTTAATTGTTATTGTATATGGGGGCACACGCCGCGCTACAAGAGTCCTATCTCGCACCCCTGGGCAAAGTGTTTGTCACGGCCGGTTGTACTGTAGCATTACTACTCCGAAGATCAAGATCTAAGCTAAGTAGTAAGTTAGTAAGTAAGGAGAGTAGGCCGAAGACACGAACAAATGAGCATTATGAAGTTTAAGTTAGGCTTTGCCTTTTGTCTTTTGGCATGCTTTGCTGGTCCAAATGGGAGAGAAAATGAATGATCATATGAAGTCCACCAACTAAAGACGCATTTGAACATCTGAAAAAAATAATGCTTACAAAAATCTAGGTTCAGCTCAGACTCCTGAGTCAGAGCTCATGCAGTCAGACTCAGACCGAGTCTACTCAGTTGAGCCTTGAAGTGCTCATGAATTAACAATAACAGCACCAACAAGAAAATAGAAAATACAAATTTACAGTCAAGCATCATTGACAATTTATTCATGACATAATGACTCTGACAGTCTAGAGACTTTGAATCTGAATTGAAGTGAAGATGGAAAAACTTTCATAGGGCCTACAGTTTCACCACATTCACTCACTCACACACAGGATAGCAGCAAAGCTAAATTTAAATTCATATTTACAGATCTAACATTACCTTGTTCTGAGGTCCAAGTAGACTCTTGAAGGCCCATGCAATGCCAAGGACAAATATAGTTGAAACAAGAATCATTGTTGCCAATGTCATCTCTCCGAATACACCGCCCACGGACTCGAAAATATTGACTGAATTCGCCATGTTTGCAGCTCAAATCACACTTTATTTGACCTGAAAATAGTAGAAAATGTATAGTTTAACTCCAGTTTAAAATTTGTGTACACTTTCCTTAAGGCTATGCAATCAATATTCGAAGTAATATGACAGAAAAAATCGAATGAAAATGACTTACTTTCTCAGAGTCCGAGCAACTGTTCCCAGCATGTAATGAAGTCACGGCGCCGGTAGTGTAGCGGGCTGGAAAAACACAGTCGCTTGGCGATGCACTCCAAGATCTAGCAGACGCCTTTTCGTAACACGACATACACACGCAGAAGATAGTGCGATACGTGCCCTTTGACCGCAAGACCCTCGTGTGGTACCTGGATTCGTTCATTCTATAATGGGGGGATTTGCTCGGCGATAATTTGCTCGATTTTGAAATTTAAGATGTTTTTATTGTTGATTGAATCTGGTTTAACATGGATACGGAATTTTAATGAATGATTTTATATACCACTAAAGGTTTTCATATTCCAAATATTTTACCATTTACAAATACGGCATGACTTACACAATTGTCCGAATCAACGGAATGGTCAATTGGTCGACTTGGTGGTGGTACCCACTGATCTCTACGGAAGTTTTTCCGTAGAGATCAGTGGTGGTACCAGGGTAAAACACCTCCCTGGTGGTACTATGCCGATCTAGCAGGGTTCGATATTTCCCGTGCATCGTTTCGGATAAAAACATTAAAATTCAGTCCCAAAACTAAAAGAATCAAATTTAACTGGTAATAGTCAGTACTAACCATAATGATACACACATGCGAGCACAGGGGCGGCGTAGCAACTTCCAATTAAAAAAAAAAGGGGGGGGGGGGGGAGACCAACAAAAAAAACTTAGCACTTTCTTGGAAAAAGGGTTGGAAATCTCAAAGCGAAAATGTTTAGACATTGGTATATACCCATTCATTGTGCTTAAATTATCAGGGATGATTTCAATTGTTATTTCTCTGTATTCATACTTTGGGCGTAATGATCAGAAAATTCTTTTGCGAGGAAAAATATTAATTTATGAGGTGCAATGCGAAATATTATATCTTATAAAAAGGAAAAATCCCTTCCCGTTGGGGTTATAAGCTCATTCTCATAACGGAAGACTGAAAAAGACCTGGTGATATTAAAGTAAAAAATCATCTATGGTGGAAATTAGTGGCACGTATATAGCCTACAAAGGGTAATTATCAAAGGTAATGAAAAATAGGGTACTTCTTACACCTCAAAAAAGAGGCATTAGCTCACCATACCAGGGATGAAAAAATTAAGGCACTTATAAGAATAGGAAATGCGCATTTGTCGACGGAAAAGGGGCATTGACCAGATATTAAAAGGGGCACTTATGAGAATGAAAAAGGGGCACTTATAAAGAAAGGACAATTTGCATTTGTTGAAAAAAGGGGTAGTTATCTGAGGTGAAAAGGGTCACTTATCAGAGATTAAAAAAGCACTTATCACTATATAGGGGAAGGTGCATTTGTCGAAGTAAAACGAGTATCTCTCAGATTTGAATTGGAGGCACTTGAATGAAAAGGGACAATTTCATTGATCCGGAACGGGAAGTTTGTTTTTTTTACAATGGGGGGGGGGGGGGCACTAATCATAGGAAAAGGGGCACTTATTAGGAAGGAAAAGGATCACTTGTCAAAGTTAAAGGGGCACTTCTCAGATTTGAATATGGCAATTTTCAGAGGTTGATGGGCACTTATCATCAGTGAAAAGGGGCACTTCTCGTACATAAAAGGGGGCACTTATAAGAAGTGAAAAGGGGAAGGGGCATATTTTACAAATTAATATTGAAAGAGAAATTAATGTCAAATACAATATAATGTGTCCCGTCCGCGCTATTTTAGAACAATTATTTGCCGCCCGTAAGCCCATGGTCGCTATGCCTACCACTTCAACGTCCTACAACATTAACTTTTGCTGTACCACTCGTACCATATCGTCTCTCTGGTTTAATAAGACGCCGTAAGAACAACAAATGAATGCAAATGTCTGAATAACTGTGATTACGTGTGATAAATTGCACTTGAGAATTTTAATAGTGAAAAGACACTTTGTAATACTGCACACTGCATTTTCAACTCTTTCTTTCTTCACGCAAAGTTAATTAATATTTACATCTTACAATTTCAAAATTAATCTTAGAACATTACCATCATTTTCTTAAAAAAGCAAAACACAAAAACAAAATCAAAAATTCTTCTGCTAATTCGATCTTTGCATACATTTTTCCTTCTCGCTTATCCCACTAAAATATGAATGGTAAATTGAATAGAATTATTGATGTCCATATTGACAATAACAGCTGATTTATGTATATTCCATTGTGGTACGGTAACTGAAGAAATATTGTGATCTAATTATTTATTTATTGTATCTGTGTTCTTTATACAGGGTGGTCTATTGAGTACATAAAATAACGATTTGCAAGAGAGTCTTGTATTGCATAATACACTTAAAATGTAATGTAAGAAAAAATAGACAAGTTTATGAATAGTAAAATAGTACAATATTAGCTAACTATAAAAAAAAAAGTACAATGGGAATAGTAATGACTTTGTTTTCAGAGTGTGTTTAAGTTATTGTCATATTTATAATTTCATTCATGATACAATATTGAACAATTACAGAACATAATGAACTGTTTATGAAAATTAATAATGTTAGGTACACTGTATCATAATTTATGTGCATACATGTAAGTGCCTATACCAGCAGCATCATACAATGTAGAATAGATGTACCAAAACAACGTCTAAAATCTGGAGGAAAAAAAAAATCGTTAATTTACTTTGCAATGTATTATGGATAGAAACTACCATTGCACTTATACTACAAAACCAGTCTTCACTGAAAAAAAGAAAAACAATACATTGCAAAATTCATGTATCATTGGATTTTGTTATATTCAAATTCTGCAGAACAGAGTCAGGTATAATATATCGCACCATTGTTCTAAACTTGAAAAGCTGTATTACGACGAAAATATCTTGCATATTACGACTTTTATCTGTCAATTTGTCATTAACCAACCTGTAGACTAAATAGCACACCTGTACAGGGCCAGGCTCGTAGCCACGGGGGGGGGGGGGGGGGGGGGGGGGCACGTGCCCAAAGTTCTTTTTCTTCCAAGATCGGTTGAACTTTTTTTTAGGGCAAGTAAACATAAATGTCCAATTATACTATAATACAGCATTATTTTTCACGATTTCCCTTTGCAATATGTTTTGTTTACAAACATCGTGTTTGGTGCTTTATTCTCTCCTGTGAAAAAACAACAATCGAGAACACAATGCAACAACAAGCAAAATTTTGTAGCACATTATCTTTCACAACTTTAAACCCTGAATTTATACTAAATAATTGTTTTGTGCACTCATTATCAATAATTATTAGTGATCAAAATCAATACAATATTGAAGATTAACTTAATTATACATGTACCATCTTAAACAACGATATAGTTCATCAAATACAAAAAATGGTACAACAAGTACTGATTTTGGACTGAAACACAACTATTTATTTCAATAAAACTTGATGCAAATCAGACACGTCATTACTATGAAAATCCGTCTTAGGCCTGTAGGCACCAGTTAATTGTCAGTATTCCATTACCCACTTCTTTTTGTTTTCTTTCTATCTTGTTTCTAGTTACTATGTGCGTTCTTTATCTCTTTCTTGTCTCAGTATCCCATTCCTCTTTTCCCCTGTTTTAATAATAATGTTAATGGAATAACTCGTCAATAGGTCCCCAGAAAAGAAATTAATTCAAAAAATCAGACCGTTGTCGGAATTACAGTGTTCAGAAGCTAACTTATCCTGTAGTAGGATTGACATGGTTGTTCGCAGTTCACAGAATAATTAATTGGGAAAACACTTTAATATTCATCTTCTAATCGTCGTCGTCATCGTCGTACTCGGCCGCCAGCTGTTCGGGCGTCACCAACGTCTTCAGCATCCTCTCCATCTTGCCCAGCTGTCCCTTTAGCTTAAACTGTTGCTCCTCCATCTTCACGACCTCCACTCCGAGCAGCTCCTGCTCTCCACCGTCTCCTGGCTTCAAGCCCTCCCCGTCATGCCGGGGCGTGCAGGAGCCACCGGGACTGGTGGCTCCATGAGGGGCGCGTACGGTACGTCTCCTGGTGGTCATTCGCCTGGAGCCCCGCCGGGTGTTGTCGTAGCGGCGGGATCCGCCCCGTTTGAGTTCGAGGATGGATTTCTCGAGGAGACGAAGGCGATGTCGAAGGTCGTTCATGTTGTCCATGGTAGCGAGGTTGGAATCGATGCTGACATCCTGATCAGCGAAAATAATGAGAAATAGTAGTAAGAAGAATATTGGTCAGTTTGCTGAGTACAAAATCAATAAGCACATAACATTCTGTTAACTCTATAAAGAGATAACTATGAATTCAGGGCTATATGCCAATAGATCGCAGTGGTATCCAAAATGGTCATGGGAAATAAATATCTGACGTTTTTAAAGTTTTTATGATTTTGATTCCATCGGGAAGGTATAGTATCGACTCGAATTTTTTTCCCTAGCAAAAACCAATTTTGAACAGGGCGAATGTGGGAGAAGCCGAGGTGTATACAAGTAAAATATTTTCCATTCAGTAATTATTACAACAGAATTGTGTTTGGCTGGGAAGGAAGGGGGGGGGGGGTAATTGGGTGGATGGGTTTCCCGAAAAGTTATTATAGGGGTAGCTGTTTCGACTACACAAGAATCAAGCTATCTGACTTCAGAAGTAGGCCTACCAGTAATGAACTGCTGCTGAATCAAATTACTAATTTATTGTTAACATAATTAACACAACATACAAAACTTATGATGTTTTATAAGACGGATTCTGGAATGTAAGCAATCCGATTGGTCAATTGACATCACGTGGGCGTGTATAATGACCTATAATATACCTTGTCAGGTTTGTTGGCAATGGGCATTGCTTTAGCCAAGAAGTCATCTTCCCCATTCATCCGGCGGACGTAACCCATAACGCCTTGAAATCGGCTTGGTTTTGTACTGATCATCTTCTTACTCACAATCGCAGAACGCCAAATGAAGAGCGGTAGAGCCCGTTGAACTTCCATAGCCAGGTCCACCTTTTTAAAGAGAAAATAATAATAAAATAGTTTACAATATTATTTAGATGTCGGTATCAATAAATCATCATTTCCCTTAAAGGCATATTTTCCATATTGCATAAGAACTTTATAACATTCTGGAGTAACGCATGTTGTGGGTGATTAGTGATTTGCAAATCTTTGCAAATCTTATTTTCACCAAAAAAAATAATGTTGTACATAATTATTATAACTCTTTCACAAAAAAAAAAGATATACGTAAGATATTTAAAGATGCATGGGGTCAGAATCAAATACTAATTATTATACTACAAATTCATCAACATCCTTCCACCGCGACAACTTCTGCCAATAGTAACATCGTCACCACTTCCATAGTACAACTACATCTTTACCAACAAACACCCCTTCACCACCATCAACACTCTACAATCACAACCAATCTCCACTACAACTACTTCCACTACCACCACCACCACCACCACCACCACCACCACCACTACTCACCTGCATAGCTAATTGATGAAGAGTTGCCTTCTCTCTGATACCATGGATGTCCTCCACTGCTAAACCGACCTGTGGTTTTAGAAATTAAAATTCCATTGCCAATAGATTCGAGAAATCTCATTAAATCGCATGTTTCATATTATTTTTTTATTGGCATGTTATAGCCATGAAAAATCATGTTATGCCAGCTAGAAAAAAATAAATATTAAAACACCCATTTCTACCTTGAAGAGAATATATTATAGAATCATGATTAGAGTATCTTACCACTCTGAGAAAGAAAACAAATCTTATTAGCATGTCCAGAACCAATTTAAAGGTTTCTTGCAGCTCGTCACACCGAAAAATATGCACATTGCCTATTTCCCCGTGTCTACATTCTTTTCAATCAATTCCCCTCTTCTCAACCTAGGCCTATCTATCCTCCCTTTCGACATGGAAGGGCACATGCCCCCTACAATAAGAAAGCGAACATGTGACCCGGCATTTATATTGCGTAACGCGTAAGTTGGATAATGACCGGTCATTATCCAATGGTAATGACCGGTCATTATCAAAATCATGTTATAAAACATCAATTTATGCAACAAATAATACACATCATTTTGTTCGGGCATTAGTAAAATTACCCACACTCGGTACCTTCAAAACAGCCCAAACAGCCTCGGCGATAATGCCCTCACTGATGTGTATCATTTGTATACTCACCAATAGATTTCCGAACAATATAGGCATGACTGCCAGCATAACGGTGAACATGATAGCCGTCAGCTCGGGGTGAAACACACTGTTTAAAAAGAAAGCCTTTTCTCCATCCCCCTCCAGTGTATTGGAAGTACCGAGATAATCTTGACCATGAAATATATCATCATAGTTGAACTCTCCCAGGAGCATTGTGAAAACCTTCATCAAGCAGTACTCCAGTTGATGAAAACTATTCTGAATAGGGAAAAGGGGATACGAATAAATGGATAGTCAGGAATTCAGGATTGTTTCGTATCGATTGCAATCATTACAATTTTGAACCTTTGAATGAAATTGGGCAGAGTTCTGATCGATGAGAAAGATAACAAAAGAGAGGCATATTTCTCTAAGAATAGGTTTATATAAAGATGTCGCTAGACCTTTAAAGTATGGGGAGTGGGAGACTGTGGGTCTATGTAATTTCATCGTCAAGTTAGAAGAAATTTTCCAACAAGATAAAATCGTTTATAAAAAGGGTCCTCCGATACTAAGATAACATTTCTCCCATGTTTTTGATCTTTTTGAAAAGGGTAAAACTAATCCTGAAATTTCAGGGTTTTTTTGTTCTAAACTGTTTTCCAAGGAGGAAGAAAATTATATCTTTCTCTTGAATGTTGTAAAAGAAATGTTAAAGTTGATTTGGTTTGATGATTTATTTATTCCATACACATCAACATAATTATTTACATTTACAATCTGATAGCTTTAGATGTATGATAATGAAATTGTATATACAGAAAAGGGGTAGCTTAAGCATAAGCTTATCTTTATGTTATTTATTATGTATCATTGAAAAAACAACTTGTACTATATGAGAAATGTATATGTAACATGAGAAATATGAAAATAAATGAAATGAAGAAAAAAATGAAATGAAGTGAAATCCTCTCAAGAATGAAAATAAGTGTTATAATAAAACTTTCAATAATCACGTTAATGATTATAGCCATAGAAGAAGCATAAATCATTCCATAATCCAAAATAAAATATTTATCAAACTAACCTGATTCATGAGTAAAGCGTAGAAAGCCAAGGCAAAGGCAACGAGAAATAATAGTAGTAGAATGACGATCTTCAGAAATGTCCGCAATATATCTGGTTCAGAAAACACGAAAAATAGTATTATGAAAAGGATTTCAGACTTATATGGCTTGGTGTACGTTCTCTTGTATACAATACCATTACTTCCTTTATAATTCCCTATCTTCTTCTTTTTAACACTCTAATCTTCTATGACCCTCTTAAGAAAAACGCTTATAGGGGGAGTCTACAAGCCCAACCCCCGCCCCCACCAATTCTTTTGATCATAATGTTAAAAATGACAACAGAACCCCAAGCACCAAAAGCCTACCCCTTTAAAGAATATTCATCTAGAACCACGTCTAACTCTCTTCCCGTTTTTCGTTTCACACTGTCTTCTCCAAGCCAATTTATGTCCATCATAATCTCCATAATTATTATCATAATTTCATCACTATTAAGTAGTAATATCATCATCATTATCACCATCATTATCGCCATCAGTAGCATCATCATCATCATCATTATCATCATCATCACTATCATCGTCACTACTACTATTACTACAATACTATCATTATTAAATTCACATTCGCGCTTACATGTAAACATGATAACGTAGATCCCCAAAGTTGAAAATCTTCTCGTGAACAAAATAAAGTTAAGCCATGCTACGAAGATGGCTACAGCTCCACACTGCCACTGCCATGCCTAGTGAAAAGAACAAATAGATCATTACTAAAGAAATTATATCACAAAAGCATAGATAATTATTCAAGAAATGCAAAAGGAATGTTTATTTCGGCAGATTTACATCACAATTTGTGCATCAATCACATCAGTATAACTGATTAAGATGCCAACAAAAAAAGTTGCTTGTGGATTTAGGACTTTCTCCGCAGATGTGGTACTATTACTATGGAATTAAGTACCATTGGTGTTGAGAAAAAGCCGTAGATTAACAACAAATACATTGTTTTTTCTCACAATGTTCGCACATGCATGGATGTGACACCCATTTTGGACCTTTTCCTTGTACGCTTTGGAATACAAGTTCTAGACAGCAGCCATTGTAAAGTTAAAAAATAATGACAATAAATTATCATCATCATAATCATAATTATCATAATTATTATCACTCTGATGATTATCTATATAATTTTAAGGGTAGGATAGGATCGGGCATCACTTACCTCCCGAACCATGATGTTTTCGTTGTAGTACACCCCACTCACTGGTAGGACAAGTAAGATAGCAAGCAGGTACAGGGATACCTCCAAGAAGTTCCCCCAGTTCAGGTAGGACTGTCGCTGCCAAAGAACCTGACACACCTGGTGACGAGATTTGAACAATGAAAAGCAATCACTCAATCGATTCATTCATAATTTATGCACGTAGTATGAAAATATTGATTTATAATAGACCATGGGTGATCCATGACCTAATTTAATCCATCTGCTCATCGTTCTATTCCCTCCGACTCACCCATTCATTGAATCAACCAATCAACCAACTAATCAATCATAAAATTACTCACTCACTCACTCACCCAATGATTCAATCAATCGATAGCTCACTCAATAATAAATACATCGATCACTGACTCACTCCCAATCAATGGAGCACTCAATCACATATACGTAGTGCAATGGAAAAAAGAAGAAGATACATTATAGATCATGTATGAGCAATCAATCAATCAATAAATAAATAAATAAATTACTCACTCTCAAATCAATCAATCAATTACTCACTCACTTGCTCACTTACCCAATCAAAAAATCAAACAATAATACTCACCCAATAAAAACATCAATCGATCACTCAATCACTCACTCAATCAATTAATAAATAACTCACCCAATACATAAATCACTCGATCCCTTATTCTTCCACAATCACTGGAGTACTCATTCACTCACTCACTCACCCAATCAATCAATCAATCAATATCATACAATTAAATCCTAAGTAAGTATATAAATCTTCATGTTGTCAGATGAGATACATCTCTGATGATAAAGGTTTCTGATATTATGATATCAAACTATACAGTGCGTCCCAGAAAAAACGAAACCGAGAAGTATCGATGTTTTATCATAACTTAATCACAACCATAATTAATGAATGATACATATTTGGAAAGCTTAGAGTCTCCTCTTTCAGTTGATGCTACTCACGTGATAAAAGACTTAACTCCGTTTCGTTGACAATCAGCCATGCATGAAGACTCTCGTCTACGGCTGATTGTCAACGAAACGGAGTTAAGTCTTTTGTTAATTTCGTTTATTGATACGGCAGGCAGCCAGTGAAAACGAATTCGTTTAATAAAATTATGGAAATGCAAGCACTACTTTAAACAAATAGAACTTTGTCATTCCTCGCTCATTTTTCCTGATTGAGGTGTCATATGAAAGAGCAGAAACTCAACTTTCTAGAAATGTGAATTTTTCTTCGAAATTCAGATACCGCCCGCCAAATGTCTTTTTGGTTTCCTTCCTTCGAATTGTTTTTAATCACTCATGCGTGAAATATGTATTATCTGAGTAGCATCACATGAAAGAAGAGACTCTAAGCTTTCCAAATATGTATCATTTAGTAATTATAGTTGTGATTAAGTTATGATAGAACATCGATACTTCTCGGTTTCGTTTTTTTCTAGGACGCACTGTATAAAAGAAAAAATATTTGTGTGGTCATAGCGGCTAAATGATTATTCTCCATGTTCGTACTACTTAATCATTCAATAAATAAACAGATCAATACATTAATCACTCAATCAAATAATTTGAGTAACAAATCATTCAATCCACAAATTCTTACCTCTCTAAGCAAATTTATCCCCGATAGACCTAGGATAATCCACGGCCCGATCTCACCGAAGAGAAATAGAGTGAGGATACTGAATCTATCCGTCCAATGCTCTGCTCCGTCCACGTACCACTCAACCAAACTCTCACCATTCTCCGTTAAAGTGGCGTTCTTGATGTAGTACCTGCGGAGGGAGAAAGGGGAGGACGATTTTTTTTTAGTAAACTGTAATACTTTCATCTCTTTTATCTTTTCATATTATTTTTCATCATCTCGGTTTCCTTTTTTCAAACTCTTTATCATCTTTCTTTCCATCTGTTCTACACCTCTTAATATCTTTGTTCATATCCTTTCTAAATCTTCATCTTGTTTCGCCTCTTAACAAAAACAAATAAATCATATAATTTCATCTGTCTAATTATCATTTGTTCTTTTCCCTTTCATTATTTCTTTAATTACTAAATCCATTTTCCTTCACCTCTTCATCACTATTCATTTCCTTTTCATCTCTTTTTCATCTCTTTTAACCTGGTCTCATCTGTTTTCATTATTTTTCACATTGCTACTCCTCTTTCATATCTTTTAACCGTTTTCCATCGCTTGTTTAATCTCTTCTTCATCTAAGTTCATCTCTTCTCATTATGTGCTCATCGCCTTTGGATATCTTCATCTCTACTTTTCTTTATATTTTTAATCTCATCATATCATTTTTCATCTTCTCTTCATCTCTTTTTCGTCTATCTTAACACTGTTGCCTCGGCAACACCTGTGTCCGCAACCTCATAGTTACCTTGGCGGTGTGACGACTATGTATCCCGTGAGAGCGGTGAGAAAGAGCATGTAGAGGGCGAGCGAGACAGAGTAGAGTTTCCTCCCGACTGTACTCCACTTGTGATCGAGGAGACTCGAAACCAGAGGATGGGCGAGTAGTTTCTCCCTCTGTGACGATACCTGTGTTTTTATGTGTTTAAAAAAAAAGTGATTGAGGTGATAATGATCCGCTTGAGGTGAAATTATCGCCAACAATTATTTCCAAAGTTATTATTCAATAACTCACACACTATCGATGTCAACTTGTTTGAGAGCGTGGTGTAGAGAAGGTGTTAATCAAGGTGTTTGGGGTCTTGTGGTGTCAAAGAGTTGGTCTTTGGGATCATAAGATCAAGGTGCTGGAGTTTGAGAACCTGATGGAAAGAAGGTGTTGATCGAGCTTACCATGATAAGTAATGGATGGTTGTTAATTAAGGTATTTGGGATCTTGGTGTCAAACAGTTGGTCATTGGGATCTTAAGACCACGGTGTTGATGTTTGAGAGCTTGGTGTAAATAAGGTATTGATCGAGGTTACCATGATAAGTAATGGATGGTTGTTAATTAAGGTGTTGGGATCTTTGTGTCAAACAGTTGGTCTTTGGGATGTTAAGATCAAGGTGCTGGTGTTTGAGAACCTTGTGGAAAGAAGGTGGTGATTGAGCTTATCATGATAAGTGATGGATGGTTGTTAAATATGGTGTTTGTAAAGGTGTTTGGGATCTTGGTGTCAAAGAGTTGGTCTTTGGGATCTTAAGACCACGGTGCTGGTGTTTCAGAACCTGGTGTAAGGAAGGTGTTGATCGAGCTTACCATAATAAGTAATGGATGATTGTCTGTCAAGATGTTAGAGACCTTGGTATAAGGTACAGCTCCGTGTCTGAGGACTCCATCACCTGTGAAAGGTTTGGGTTTGTTCTGGATGGGGCTCGGTGAATCAGTCTGTGCTGCAGATGTAAGAGAGAGAAGAAAGAACAAAATTACATAAAATGTAAAACGTAAGCTTGGATATATATATATATATTTCAATCCTTACATTTGTATCATGTTCTCGTGCTATCATTGACTGAAAAATCAAAGAACTATATTGCTGACGGAAGAAAACGTTGAGGGAAAGAAAGGAAGGGTCATGATTTTTTAGGGATAGCAGCAAGGATAGAGAGAGAGGGCAAAAGAGAAAGGAGAAGGGGGAGGGAGAGAGAGAGATAGAGAAGAGACAAGGAGAGAGAGAGAGAAGAGAGACAGGAGAGAGAGAGAGAGAGAGAGAAGAGAAACAGGAAGAGAGAGAGAGAGAGAGAGGGAGATTAGAGATAGACAATTTATGTACGCATACCTGGTGGTTGATGCATCCATTCTGCAAATGCGTCATCGATGAGTTCGTAGTTGAATTCGATCTCCTCGTAGCTAGACGAACACTGGTCATTGACCACGGTCACGCATTTATCAAGTACCTTCTCAGCTACGCCTGCGTGTTAAAGAAATAAATATTGATTTAGCAAGTAGGGAAGCAGCGTTGGGGGATGTCCTTATAAAAATATATTTTCTACAATACGGTGGCAACTACTTTTGAAAAACTCACCCAAGGCAGTTGTAATGGTCTTGCACGTCACGTGTTATAATCACAATAAAACTTATGGTGACGAAAAATTAAAATTAAATTAAAATAATTAAGCACGAAAGACAGGTTCAAAACAACCATTATATGCATGCTTCGACTAGTAAAAGCATACCAGAGGCTTGTCCGACATAGCAACAACTCATCATGAAATCTACATATTGACTATTCAAATAAACTGATACAGGTTAATACAATCACCATTGAAGGCCTTGGGGAAGAAGCAATCATAAACTTTTAGACTATTGTAAACAGCTCTATTTTCTCCGTAATAAAATATAGTAATTTACCAATTAAATATATGATTTTACGCATGCAGTATATATAAAGTATTTACTCCGTAATATATCATTTTACCTGGCATTTTCCTAATGAGTTCTCTCATGGGTGTTGTGAAATCTTCAGTCCTTGCAGAACACAAAACTTTCCACCACTCGTCATGGTTCAAAATCAACATGGCGACCGATCTGTAATAAAATAAAAGTAAAAAATAACGTTTCAATTATGTAAGCTGTCTCTGTAATGGACCAGGTTAATAACATATTCAAATTGTATGCATACTTTTAAAAGAAAGGTTGTTCTTGACGACCAGGTAGCTTGCCCGAGGCTTGTCCAACTTAGCAACAAGTAATGTATGCAGACTGGATTCCAAGCATTGTAGTTCATTCATAAATAACAGGTTAATGGAATAACTCGTCAGCCAAGTCCCCAGGAAAGAAACATCCATAAATTTGAATATGTTCGTAAATCGGTCCATTAAACCGGAGAACTAACCCTATAGAATAAATTTAGTTGTTTAGAGAGATGTATTGCATTTTTGCCCATCAATCTACAACATTCCCTACCAAAGTGTATGAGGTAATTTTCCGGGGTAATTGTCCTCGGGGGTAAGTTAGGTTTAAAGATATTATCGCCTGCATTTCGGATAAGAATAAAGCCATGTTATCAAAGTTTTTTAAGGCAAAAAACAAAATCGTGACCTCCTTGGCGGGGAATCGAACCCCGGTCTTCCGCGTGACAGGCGGAGATACTCACCACTATACTACCAAGGAAGGGTTGATACTATAGAACTTATATTATTCCTTGAACAAAAGATGTAAGTTCTGCAACCTACTAGTATTTTTCTTTTGGATAATGGTCGTTGAAAAATCACAGAAAAGTTAATGGGAAGAATGATTACGTAATCATAGCAATTTCTTAATAGCAGATCTTGTATTTTACCTTTTAAATTGAGGACTATTGCTATCTCGCTACGTAAATAGTGGGAATGTGGATATCATCGTCTGCTTTTCGCATAAGAGCACAGCGAGGTTATCATAGTTTTTTAGTAACAAAAACAAAGTCATGAGCTCCTTGGCGGGGAATCGAACCCCGGTCTTCCGCGTGACAGGCGGAGATACTCACCACTATACTACCAAGGAATAATTGATATTTCTGAACTAATAAAATCCCATGAACAAGGGATATCACATTAAGATGCGAGCAGAGGATTATTTTCCTTTTGAAAAGTGATCGTTGAAAAATCAAACAAAAGATAATGGGAAGCATGATAACGTAATTTATTATCACAATTTCTTCATGATTACAGATCTTTTCTTTTCCTAATTATTTGAGGACTATTCTTATCTAAATACATAAATAATTCAATTAGAATATGGTTAATATCATCTGTTTTTCGGATGAGAACAGAGCGAGGTTATTAGAGGTTTAGAGAGAGAGAGGTTTACCCAAAATAGTCTTCCTATGAAAATCAAATCGGGGAAATGTTGTCCCCACCCCTTCGCTCTATACGCTTTTGACAATACTAAACCCGACTCTGGGTATTAAAGAAGGCTATTGTTTATGTTCAGCCGTGTCCGACCAATCATGAATAACAGAAGGTCTTTTCTTGGTTACATATAATCTTAATCTCGAACGAATTCATAGTTATTTCAGCTCTTCTTAATTGGCAGTGCCATTCCAGCTTCTCCTTGGTAGTATAGTGGTGAGTATCTCCGCCTGTCACGCGGAAGACCGGGGTTCGATTCCCCGCCAAGGAGTTCTTCTTTTGCTTTGTAGTTCCCAAAGAATTTTCATTCCAAAATTAGGTGCGTGATTTACTTTTTTCTTCTTCTTCATTCTTGACATATTTGATATTTGACATTTGTCATTATTTTTCAAATAAAGAATATTGTCACGTTATATTGCACAGGGGGGCAATGCAAAACCACTCAAGGTCAATTCTTAATATAATAATTTATGAGCGTGAAAATATAGAATAGCATACCATTATGATTTAAGAGCAAAACGATCTAGAAATACTTTTCAGAAGGGTTAATGAGTCATCTAAATATTTTGAGTGAAACAAAAGCTAAGATTTCTTGAATAGTCATTTGAGTATAGTACCAACAATTCTTACCAAAGACATGGAACCAGACTCGACTTGCACTTATGCTAACTTCTGGTACCCCCTTTAACAACAAAGTGTACACATAATCTTTTCTTTCAAAATATTTTGTATATAACATACTTTGTAAAACAATGTTTAATTATTTTTTTTAATAAATGTTACGCTTCCTGGGAAAAATGTCAATTATTTGTGGCTTACACCCAGCGAGCAGTATATGGCAGGTTCAAATCCCGCTGGTTCCAAGATTTTTTCTGACTTGGTTTCAATTACAGATCGATCAATTGATCTTATTAACTGGGTGTGAGACACAAATATGTTTAAACAATGTATATATATTATTGATGTATAATGTTATTTATATTGTGTTATATTGTTATATGTTATGTAATCGTGATTGATACATAATGTTTTACTTGTTCTTATTGTTGTTGTTAATAAACTCAAACTCAATTACTCAAACTCAAAATAAAAATCAAACTAAAGAGTGGATCTCTTACTCATGGCCATGCTTTATCGCGTGATCTAAACAGTTCATGCACTCCCAGTCTTTGATTGTGACGTCAGCGTCACGTGAAGAGAGTAGCTTTATGGTCTTGAGTTGGCCGTTGATGGCGGCGAGATGAAGGGGTGTGTTCTATGGATGGAAGATGAGGGTTTACACATTACCAGCGGTGTAAGTCAATGGTAAAATACAGCAATTTGTAACATAAAGGTAGACTGTAGAAATGATTAATCTATGGTAAGTCTATGGTAATTTCTGATTTAAAAAAAAAATCTATATCATATTATTGGCAAATCTTTGCCAATTAGATTATAAATTTACAGAAAATGAATCGGAAATTAATGGTAAACTTATGGTAAATGAGTGATAAATCTATGGTAACTGAATGGTAGATAATTATATGGATCCACTACAAATGTACAACGAATTGGCTTTTACAGATCCACCGTTGATTTACCTTAGATTTACGATTGAACTACCATAAATTTACCACTGATTTCTTTTTTAATTGATTTGCCATTTTGTTCGTTTCATGAATTTACTTTAAATAATGCATATTCCATGCGTATATACGATAAAAGATTTTTTTCTCGTTTGAAATCGTACCTTTTTCTTCTACTTTAATTAGCTTCAAGGTACGAAAACTTATCACTTGTACCCATGATCTTGACATCCTGTCCAAAGCGAACTGAAAGCATAGTGATTCAAATAGAGTTAATTGCATCCTCAATACACGTCCCTGATCATGTCTTTTTATAGCCTAAGTTTTACTATTGTATTTTTTTAAATTAATTCTTTCTTTACCAAACAGTTTTAGCTAAATTAATTAATTAGTTAATTCCTTATTACCCAACATTTTTTACTCATTGTTGCATATGTGTTTTTTTGTAATGTCAGTTGTAAATGTTTATTTTATATGTAACAGGCAAATAATTACCAAAAGTAACAAACTTATACATATGTACCAAAATATCTGTATCCTTATATCGTTAACTGAATAATACAAGGGATAATACTTCTCTGGGATATTTACAGTTTGAATCTAAATATTTTTTACCTAATGAATTTGATGATTATGTTAATTCTTGTGAAGGAAATGGTATGTTTTCTATCGCACATTTTAATTGTAGAAGTTTGAAGAGAAATTTCGAAAATATGAGTAATTTTTTGAAATGTTTTACACATACATTTTCACTCATTGGATTAACAGAAACATGGTTAACCAATACAGATACACCCCTTTTAGAATTGCCAAATTATATTTTTATTACAAACAACCGTCAAAACAAGTGTGGTGGAGGAGTAGGTATTTATCTTAACAATTGTTTAAAATTTAAAAGACGAGAAGACTTAGAGATATTGAATGACTGTGTAGAAACGATTTGTGCTGAAATTTATTGTCATAATAACAATGTTGTTATTATTGTAGTATATAGACCTACAAGTAAACCATTATCAACATTTTTGGAAGGTGTTGAACTAATCATGCATAAAATATTGAATGAGAAGAAAGAATGTTACTTTCTTGGTGATTTTAATGTTGACCTACTTTCTCCAAGTCCATCTGTCAGTACTTTTGTTGATTTATTTACGTCATACTCTTTTTTACCTGTGATATCAAAACCAACCAGAATTACACCTCACTCTGCAACCCTCCTCGACAATATATTTACAAACGAATCTGATAATGTTATTAAGTCAGGTATACTTGTTTCTGATGTCAGCGATCACTTACCAATTTTTTTAATCATTGATTGCAATTTTGTGAATGAAATAATAAGTTATGTAACATTTAAACGTAAGATTGACGATGATTCCATTGTAAAATTTTGTATACTTTTACGTAATCAAAGTTGGGAAGAAGTTTATAAATCAAATGATGCTGATCAAAAATTTAGTTTATTTCTTGATCAATATATTTTACTTTATAATGCATGTTTTCCATTGAAAAAAACTGTGCAAAAAAAAAAAAAAGTGATAAACCATGGTTTAATGCATCTTTGAAGAAAAAATGCAAAAAAAAATATAAATTATATCATAGGTTTATAACTAATCCTACTCCTCATAGGGAAGCTAAATTTAAATGTTATAGAAATGTTGTAAACGATGAAATACGAAAATGTAAACGTGATTATTATAATAATAAATTTAATAGTTGTAGAGGAAATATCCATAAGACCTGGAAAGCTATAAATGATGTTTTGAAGAAATCTAATGGCAAGAAACAATGTCAAACTATATTGTATAATGGTGAATTAACTGATGATAAAAATGTAATTGTTAATGGTTTCAATGAATATTTTGGTACTGTTGGCACTAAAATTGCTGACAACCTGCCGAATTTTAATGTAGATTTTAACAGTTTTTTAAATAATGTAAATTACTCTCAATCAATGTTCTGTGAATCCATAACATTTGCAGAAATTTTAGATATTGTAAAAAAAATTAAGGATAATGCAAGTCCAGGTGACGACGACATTAATACAAAAGTTTTTAAAAAATCTATCTGTTTTATTTTAAAACCATTGTGCAATATTTTTAATCTCTCTCTAGATCAAGGAGTGTTTCCTCATAGACTTAAGATTGCTAAAGTTATCCCAGTTTTTAAAAAGGGGGATCGAGCCCAAGTATCTAATTATAGACCAATTTCGCTTTTATCAATTTTTTCCAAGACTTTCGAAAAACTTGTTTATAAGAGACTTATTTCATATATTGATCAAAATCAGATTTTATACAAAAGACAGTTTGGATTCAGAAAAGGTTATTCGACATATATGGCTCTTGTAGAATTAACTAACAAAATATCTCTAGTATTCGAGGAAAAGAAATTTCTTATTGGTATATTTTTAGATTTATCGAAAGCATTCGACAGCATTAATCACAAAATACTTTTAAACAAAATGGAACGCTATGGTATAAGAGGTACACCCCTAAAATGGTTTCGGAGTTATGTCAGTGATCGTAAACAATATACATTTATAGACAACCACAAATCTGATTTATGTAGTATATCTGTTGGTGTGCCCCAGGGATCCGTTTTGGGGCCCCTATTATTTCTATTGTTCATAAATGATCTTCAATTTGTTAGTGATGTATTATACTCAATTATCTTTGCCGATGACACAAGTCTCTTTATTTCAGGTAATGATGTAGCAGAAGTTAATAATGTATTGAACGTAGAAATGAAAAATGTTACTAAGTGGTTCTCTGCTAATCGATTGGCTGTAAATATTGATAAAACTTGTTACATGATATTCAAACCTAAGAATAAGTTCATTAATGAAGACTCAATACAAATATTTATTGGAGATTGCTTAATACATCAAGTTAAACAAACAAAATTTTTAGGAGTTACAATTGATGATAAAATAACATGGAAATTACATATTGATTACATTTGTTCAAAAATGTCTCAAGCCGTAGGGGTAATGAATAGATTAAGAACTGTTGTTCCAATGAGGATTCTTTTAACCCTGTATTACACAATGATTTTACCTTATTTATCATATTGCAATATTGTATGGGGTAACAGTGCATTGTATCTTAGAAATAGAATTGGAGTACTCCAGAAGCGTGCAATACGTGTTATTTGCAATTCACAACCTCTTGCCCACACAACCCCTTTATTTCAGCAGTTGAGTATTTTAAAAGTGGATCAAATGTGTAGTTTGCAAATTGCAATTTTTATGTACTCCTATTTTAAGAACATTTTACCAGATAGTTTTAATAATTATTTCACTTCAAATTGTACAATTCATAGCCATAGTACCAGAAATTCAAATCACTTAAGATTACCGTTATATAAATATAGTTTCTCTCAAACAACAATTTCTTACACTGGTGTAAAATCCTGGAATTCAATACCAGTAGAGATTAAGAACAGTCCGACACTTTCTAATTTTAAACGTAAATTTAAACTGTATATTTTACATAAAAACAATTCACAAACTTATAGTGGTACAATATAATTTTTTTGTTTGCCTGTTTAATTTGCCAATTTAATTTTGTTTTATCATGTACTTTACGTCGCTATTGTTTGTGGGTTTTTGGTTTGTTTTTGTTTTTTATTTGTTTTTATATATAAAATATCCAAAAAATCTAATATTGTTCTGGGGATTAGCCTCGACAGGCCCCTGGCCTTTGTTGGTCCCCCCACATGTTTTTTATATCTACATGTATTTAGTTGTTCTTAGATTTTGTTCGCTTTTTGTTTATCTTAATATTATTGTTTGTTAATTGTGTATTTTTATACGTCTGAACATGTATGTAAAATTGTTGTTTTTTATGAACCACATGTGGAAATAAAACTTGAACTTGAACTTGAACTTGAACTCATGCAGCCTAACAGGAAGACGATAGACGAAAACAGAAGGTAATAGAAAACGATAGAATAATAAAGATGTGAGAATTCAAAACCTCTCCTGCATGTATTTCAGTCAAGAAGTAAAATTGAAAGTCGGCCCTTCCGTCTGACTGACTTACCCCCTTTCCATCCACCGGGTCAACGATACTCTTCGCTTTCAACAGGACCTCCGCTGTCCGACTCCAGCCGTTCGACGCCGCCAAATGAAGGGGCATCTGTCCATGGGAGTTTCTGTTTCAAAAGAACAAAAAAAAAATAGTATAAATCTCAGTCAAATTTGAATTCATCTAAAAGATGTATACAAATAATTCCTTGTAATTTGAAGGCAGGCAGTTCTGCGTTAGCCTGAAGTGAATGACTTAATGATGCCCTTTGGTAAGGCATTAATCCTCATTACCAGGTCCCCCGGAGAGGACCTAAAGCCGTCGGTCGCCTGGTTGCTTACTTACAAGCATTTATGCTTTCTTAGCAGTCAAGTAAAATAACCACCACCACCACCATATTTTTTTTAAACAATTTTGGAGAATGATGTCCTACAAAATCAACAACAACAACAGACGCTTCTGTATTCATTAATTACAATCCCCCCAATCATGGATTTGTAAGTGAAAATTATTATACTCATATTCTGAAAGAAGACTTTTGAAAAATGGGCTGCGTTGAGGGGGATACATCCAAAGTTCTCGCACAAGCAAAAAAAAACAAACTTTGAGGAAGAAAGGGCAGTTTTCCGGAGCTTATATTCCGGGAGAGGGGGCAGTGGTCCTAGAATAATCTTTGCTGATTTCACTTTTACCTCGCCTGTACGTTTCCTTTGGCCTTCACCAGCTCCTGAACGGTCATGTCGAAGCCCGATGCAGCGGCTAGGTGTAAGGGTGTGTTGTTCAGTTCATCCTTACGATTAATCGTTTCTTTCTTCCATCGAATCAGCTCAGATACAATCCTGAAAATATGTGAAATTAAAAAAAAGAAATGAAGAAGGGATACTGTTATGATCATGCTTATACTATAATGTCACCCCCTCTTTCCAATCTATTCCATTTATTTACTATATTAATCTATACTATCAAATACATTGTACCGAATTTTGACAGAAAAAAATACAAAAGAAATATAGCCTACTCAGTTTTATTTTGGTATGTTTAATGCATGTCACAAATCAAGTAAAGTGTGCGCTTTATTGAACGACTTATATACTCTATTGCCTTTATTGAAATACTAATTTTTTTGCTGACTTTATATTATTTCACACATATAAACTCTGTAATTTTAAAAGAACATAAAAGGGAAGAAAGCAGCAAGAAAAAAAATGACACCATAATTATAATGAAAAGGAAAAAAATACATCTATAAAGGGGTCGGGGCACGCGGGGTAATGGACACAAATAGTGTTAAAAGGGGGAAATATAAATTGTCGACGAGTTTCGATAATGATACTCCATTTTATTTTCAATTGAGAATAGTCTGATTTTTTTTAAAAGTTATGCCTCAGTAAAATGATTATAAAGAAACATCTTCTCCTTGGTAGTATAGTGGTGAGTATCTCCGCCTGTCACGCGGAAGACCGGGGTTCGATTCCCCGCCAAGGAGATCATTTTTATTTTTTATTTACGACCAGAACTTATTTTGTTTAGAACATGTGAAACTTGAAACATCGATTCTATATTTCGGTGATGAAATTTGTATTTCATCATTGGAGTGTTTACAATTGCATAAGGACTTCATTACTGTACTTAATTAAAACAGGAGAAGATCAAACTCGTTTTCTTTATAGGATGCAGTATACGCTTATAGTTAAAAGAGACCTAACATTATGACTGGGCCTTTTGAAGTCAATTTGGAATGATTTTCTTTTTGAAATTCCTATCATCCGACTTCTACAAAGCAGACGGATGCCTTTAAAGAAACTTCAATATTAAATTTTATCCATTTGGAGTTTGTAGTTATATTGTACAATCTGTATTCGTATTATATTCATGCCGGTAGACTAAAATACATTATTTTTAAAAGTTTCGCAAAGCTTGGAGCCAATTATCCTAGAATATTGAATGTATGCTACCATGTGATTCGGATAATTGTCAATATTCGGATGATCTTTAGGCTGCAAAGTGCATGGTGCTCTTTTGAAATTTTAAATATCTTCATTCTGTCACCAAAAATTAGTTTACTCACAAAATGTAGACACTGAACAGTTAGTATTCAGGTAATAATTAACTCCGCCCACCGGCGAAATTGTGCCCTCACTCACGCCTATACAGTATATTCCAATCTTACCCTGTACAACCATTGGTAGCGGCTGGTAAAATAAGTTTAGCAATCTCATCATCAGTTACGATGACATGCACGCCGGATCGATGAGCTAAAAGAAGCTGGAGAAGTGAAAAGGGGGGAGAAAAATAAAGGAAATTATGCCATTATATAATGATTGTTTTGTAATAACTGAATCTGTTGATATACAACATCATGAATCAGATTCATAACATGATAAAAACAAACTGTCGTCGGTTGGATATTACCTTAACGTTTAGTAGGCAAGCTTTCGTCCACTCCAGACCTGTAGACTTTCTCAAGCCAAGTGATTACTCACACAGTTTCTTGCTGTCTGCTGCCTTGAGATCACTGGAGCGAAGATAAGTGACCATCAATATCAGTATCTTCTCATTCTTTCATCAGGTGTAACTTTACCCTCTTTTGTTTACAGGCACCCTTTCCTCTTTTTCACAATCTCCTTTATCCTCTAATCAATGCAGGGGCAGCATTATGGAGGTGGGGTGCATTTCATATACCACCATGAGAGGGGGTAAGGGTGGGGAGCGGGTGCACATGCTCCCAGGCAAAACCTAAAACTTTTGACATACCTTAAAGAATAAAATCATTCCAGATATGTTCTCTCACCTTGAGAACATCGGGTTTATTCTCCTTGACGGTCCAATGAAAGAGCTCCAGCTCACCGAGGTTCCCCGTCTCGGCTCCCTCCTCCAGGAGGACCCTGAGCGTGTCGATGTTACCCCCGTCAGCTGCCGTAAGGAGCGGGGTGAAATGGAGCTCGTCCCGTACAGAAGTATCGGCTCCTCTATTAATGACCAAAAACAAAATTGAATTTGAACGAGAGACAAAGAAAGAGAATGTTGATATAAGATGAGTATTGGCATAAAGGCAAAGTGACTGACTCATACCGTTAAGTAGCTCAAGTTTCAATTTACAATGTGAGTGTAACTGCCCCTACTGTCAAATACCTCATTTTGAAAAGTCGCGATGTTTCGCGCAGCCGTTTACACTTGTGCGGAAACATCACCGACTGAAAAGCTCAGTGATGTTTTGGCGTGTTTCAGTTGGTAATGCGCATGCGCGGCACTCCGATGCAAATACTTTCCTCTTTCTATCTTTCCTTGTTATTCTTTGTTTTTCCTTCTATCACCTTCTCTTATGTTATTCTTTATCACTTCCTTCTATCACTTTCTCTTTCTGTGTTTCCTTATGTTATTCTTTATTTCTTCCTTTTATCACCTTCTCTTATGTTATTCTTTGTTTTTTAATCATTCTATCACTTTCTCTTTCTGTCTTTCCTTATGTTATTCTTTGTTTCTTCCTTCTATCACCTTCTCTTATGTAATTCTTTGTTTTTTATCATTCTATCACTCCCTCTTTCTGTGTTTCCTTATGTTATTCTTTGTTTCTTCCTTCTATCACCTTCTCTTATGTAATTCTTTGTTTTTTATCATTCTATCACTCCCTCTTTCTGTGTTTCCTTATGTTATTCTTTGTTTCTTCCTTCTATCACCTTCTCTTATGTTATTCTTTGTTTTTTTATCATTCTATCAATCCCTCTTTCTGTGTTTCCTTATATTATTCTTTGTTTCTTCCTTCAATCACCTTCTCTTATGTTATTCTTTGTTTTTTTATCATTCTATCAATCCCTCTTTCTGTGTTTCCTTATGTTATTCTTTGTTTCTTCCTTCAATCACCTTCTCTTATGTTATTCTTTGTTTTTTTATCATTCTATCAATCCCTCTTTCTGTGTTTCCTTATGTTATTCTTTGTTTCTTCCTTCAATCACCTTCTCTTATGTCATTCTTTGTTTTTTTATCATTCTATCAATCCCTCTTTCTGTGTTTCCTTATGTTATTCTTTGTTTCTTCCTTCTATATCCTTGTCTTATGTTATTCTTTGTTTCTTCCTTATATCACTTTCTCTTTCTGTCTTCCTTTTATCACTTTCCTTATGTTATTCTTTATTTCTTCCTTCTATCGCTTTCTCTTTCTGTCTTTCCTTATGTTATTCTTTATTTCGTCCTTCTATCACTTTCTCTTTCTGTCTTTCCTTATGTTATTCTTTGTTTCTTCCTTCTATCACTTTCTCTCTGTCTTTCCTTATGTTATTCTTTATTTCTTCCTTCTATCACTTTCTCTTTCTGTCTTTCCTTATGTTATTCTTTGTTTCTTCCTTCTATTACTTTCTCTTTCTGTCTATCCTTATGTTATTCTTTGTATTAATCGTTCTATCATTGTCTTCAAAAGGACGACATCTAGCCCCGCTCCTCAAGTCACTTTACCTAACATCGCGATGTTACAACTGCGAGCGTTTATACTTGCCAAACACGCCAAAACACGCCAAAACACGCCAAAAGATCACACTTCGTTTTGGAATGTTTGGGGCTTGGCGTTTCTGCCGGTAAAGCGTAGTTGCCCTTGGTAACATCGCGGCCAGGCTCCGGTTTGGCATTTTTTGGCGTGTTTGGAAGACAGTGTAAATGCCCTCAGAAATGTATTAAAGGTACTATGCCCCTTTTGCAGCCAACCTCAAATTCTGTAGAACTTTGCAGGAATTATGAATATGTCATGTATGTCCTATCTGTGAAATTTAAACGTTAGCAGTGTCCTCATATTCAAATTATGCAAGGAAACCCGTTTACTTGCAAGACTTCACTGTCAGACACTATTGAGTGACTGACTGGCTTTTTTCTTCTTTGGTAATAACATACATGAAAAGAGTTGTAAAGGGTACATGAGCATTTGTCTACATCAATAACCCACTTCTTGTGATGGCCAAGATTAAACTGATTGAATCTTTGCGCAGCATAAAACGTATGAACATACGGTACAATTGTCTGAAATCAAGACTATTACTTTTGGGCTCTATAGCCCTAAAGTCGATTTGACAACTAATAGTCGTTATTTTCCCACTTGAAGACATTTTCAAGCCCCATCTATTTTAGGGAAGTTTTAAATTAGTATTATCTTTCAAATGCAGTTGGAATTTAATTTTTGATTTCTTTGCCTGCAAATGGGACATATAGTACCTTTAAGAGGTTAGCGGAAAGCTAATATTCGTTGGGCAATGCCGTTAGACCCCCTGGTAAAATGTTGCCCATATGGTGACATGGGGGAGGGGGGGATTAAGTTTTATCCCTACCTCCTTACTCCTAAACCAAAGTGTACATCATGTTCAAGTTCAAAACATACATACATAAATGATATTACATATACATCCACATAATCAGGATTAAAAATAACTAACAAACGGGACTAATTTTATGTCTTACATTTTACAACAAAAAAAAAATCAAATATTCACTCACTTTTCAAGCAAGTACTTGACCACCTCCGAGTGATCGTTTGCGCATGCGTGATGAAGGGGGGTAGACATGTCCCAGTTGACGCTCTCTACCGTGGCGCCCCTCTCCACCAGGAGCTTGGTGATGTGGAGGTGCCCCCCTGCGCACGCCGTGTGGAGGGGCGTATCCAGGTTGGACCCCTCTAAATTCAACAGGTCTAGCTGGCTCTCCTTATCTGATCCTATTTGTGACAGGAATTAAAAGAAAAAAATGTTCGAAAATATTCTTTATAATATTTTCTTAGTTTAAAAAAATAAAATGTTGCTGATGCATTTCGCATTCTGCATGCTATCGTCCTTTGAAGTAGGATAAAAAGAAGGATTAAAAGAAATACAAATTAGAGAGGCATCAAAGTCTTTTAATAAAAAAAAACGAATAAATACTTCTTTTGTCATCGCAAGGATCGCAAGTTTTGATAAGAAAAAAAAAATTAGAAATGCAAAAAACAGAATATGGCGATAGGAACAGCGATTTTCTCTCTATTTCTCTCTCAAATGCGAATTTTCTCTCTAAAACATTATTTTACATAGAAATATGCGAAACACATCCTATAATAAACTACAAATCACAGGGCTTATACTGCAAGTTTTTCTTTCTTCTTTTTCTCTCACCCCCGCCTCACTCTCTCTCTCTCTCTCTCTCTCTCTCTTTAATAGGGAGGGGATGTGTCGGTATCGATGGGATTTGGAGGGGCGCCGGTAGCTATTAAAAAAAAAATGAGGATGATTTATTTTCCCCTTACTACGTATGATTATTTACATTACTGCATGGCATTCATATGACGTCATGCACGATGATTCATTGTGGATATTATGACGTCAGCCAGCGATAATCAATCGGCGACTTTGACCCCTGGACGAAACTCACAACAAAACGCTTAGTTAAAGTCAGTTCCTCCTTGGTAGTATAGTGGTGAGTATCTCCGCCTGTCACGCGGAAGACCGGGGTTCGATTCCCCGCCAAGGAGCTCTTGATTTTGTTTTTTTCTTCTTTTGCTAAAAAACTTTGATAATCTCGCTCTCTTTTTATCCGAAAAACATATACTAATATCCATATTCCAATTGACGTAGCGAGGTAGTGGAAGCCCTCAAGAGATTTTTTCTTTCTTTTTTCACACAAAACCAGATGTTACTCCACCGAGTTAATGCAATTTTGTTTCTTATTCGTCTGCGTGGATTTGTTCGTTTCTATTCTGATTACAATGCAATATTTAAAAGTCCTTCTATTTCCTTATTACAAATTGCTATGTCTGATTCTTTAAACATGTCGAAATTTCAAAACATTTATGTCTCTTTGTGTACCATATTTATTTTGATGTAAAAATATTTTACAAAATAATGCACTACCTTTATTTCAACAACTCATTGATCACACCTGGTTTCTGCAATTGAAACAGTTGAATACAGTACTTAGGAGAGAGAGAGAGAGAGAGAGAGAGAGAGAGAGAGGATAGGGGTAGAGCCATAGGTGGGCCATAGGTTTATATTTTGGCAATACCTACACAATCAGGTTCACACTTAATAAATCCGAACTACTGCAGGCACCCCCCCCCCTTCCCATGTTATGGCGACGAAAAAAAATAACCAAAAGAGAAAGATAGAGAGAGAGAGAGGGGGGGAGAGAGGGAGAGAGAGAGAGAAAGGAGCATGAAAGTTTATGGTCTCCTTCTATATCAGTTCAATCAATAATTGTAAAATCACGACGACACCCAATCACACATCAGAATCAACTAATTAACAATTTTTCGATTCCCTTATTATATCTCCAAAATCATGTTCGGGTTACATAATACGTCACTGTAACATGCACATCTTTACAGAGAAGGTTAAGTTTTGGGAAGAGGTGAAAAATAAATTTTGAGCGTTATCGTTTTATTATGCAAGTGTGGAAGAACATCAGATTAAAAAAGTTCCCTGAAAAGCATGACTCTTTAAATGCCTTAATATTCTAAATATGGCATGTAACATCATACAAATCGGGGCGGATTTTTATGCCACATGTTCGTTAACATCTTTCTGTGTACTGTGATTGTAACTCTACTAAGACAGGCCAAATCTCTTATCATTCTGATGATTCCCGAACCTTGCAGTACACGCCAATACGTATATGCTAGATGATCAACCTTTTCTGATCGATTCCACAACGTTTCTTTCACAATGCAATCGCATGACCAGAACTCAACTTTATTTTTAAAGAGGATATGGACAATACTATGCAAATTATAGGTTGTTTTTTTTCTCGAAAATCTTTGCGTCCGTGTTTTTCAGGGAGAGCTGGATACGAACAGTCACAAACTCACCGTAATTGAGTACGAGGTCGACAATCTCGCAAAAGCCGCCCTCGACCACGAGATGGAGTGGGGTGTAGTTCTGGGAATCACATGATGTCAACATCTGAAAAAAGGAGAAAAGATCGTTAATTGCAAGATCTGTAATTATAAAGAAATTACGATAGTTACATAATCTACTTTTGATTACCTTTTGAATACATATTCAACGATCGGTTTTCAAAATAAAATAACGCCACACTTAGTCGAAAATCTGATATCTTTTATTCATGGGATCATATTGTTCTATATTATTATCAACTATTCCTTGGTAGTATAGTGGTGAGTATCTCCGCCTGTCACGCGGAAGACCGGGGTTCGATTCCCCGCCAAGGAGTCTCTGTTTTTTTTTCTTCTATTATTCTTAAAATCCTCTGATTACCCCGCCCTGCTCTTAGAAAAAAAACAACGATAATATCCATATTCAAGTTGAATTATTTACGTAGCGAGGTAGAAATAGTCCTCGATTGATAAGGTAAAAGTCAAGATCTGTTTTTATAAAGATTACGAAAATTTCGTACTTGTACCTCCAATAACTTTTCTTCGATTTTTTAACGAAAATTTTCCGAAAGGAAAATACTACTACGCTAGCGAGGTAGAAACAGACTTCAATTGACAAGGTAAAAGACAAGATCTGTTATTAACAAGACATTACGACAATTACACGTTCACGCTTTCCATTATCTTTTTAAATTGACTTTTCAACGATCCATTTGCAACAGGAAAATAATGCCTTGCTCTCTTCCAAATTTGATGTCCCTTATTGATGGGATCATAATTTTAATCCTTAAACATCAATTATTCCTTGGTAGTATAGTGGTGAGTATCTCCGCCTGTCACGCGGAAGACCGGGGTTCGATTCCCCGCCAAGGAGGTCACGATTTTGTTTCTTGTTACTAAAAAAACCTTTAACCCTTGTAAGGCCGGGGGGGGGGGGGGGGCATTATGGCCCCCCCCCCCCCTCCATGATTTTTCTAATTGCTCGAAAACGCATATGGATGGCGGCCCGCCACTCGCTGAATTTTTTCTTTCGAGTCTTGCGCAACTTTTAAAAGAATTTTTTTGAAAATCCGACCTACGGTTACAAGGTCACGTGACCTTTTGTCTTTGCATGTCAGCCCGAAAATCGCTCATTTTCGTGATTTGTGTACAAAACATAAGGAAAAGTCATTTTTCCTAAAAACATATCAAACATGGGTTATTGGGTCTTGTTTAAAGTTTAGGTGGTTGTTTTGGGTGTCAAAATAGTTGAATTGTAGTAAGAAATGAAATAAAACAACAAAAACAATGAAATACATAAGTTAAAAAAACAATGAAATACATAAGAAATTATCAAAACAAGGGATAACATAAGGAATAAGCTGGCTCTTCCGAATTTTGTTGTTGTATTATTATTCAGAATGGTCTAATGAATATATGTAGTGAAAAAGAATGCCTAATTATGAATGATATATGATTTATGGGTAAAAATGTGAGTTTTATCACTTTATTTGCATAAATTACCATAAATATGCTAATGAGTGAATTTTTCAAAAAATTGAAATTATCATATTATTCTATACACTTCACTTGACATGCGTGCAAATTTTCGCGGCGAACGGCCGCTTCGCGGCCGAGATCTTAAGGGGGGCCATAATGGCTCCCCCCGGCCATACTAAGACCTCAAATAGCGCGGCCTTATTAGGGTTAAATCTGGTTTTGGTTTTATGCGAAAAGCAGACGATGATATTCATATTCGAATCGAATTATTTTCGTAGCGAGTTAGAAACAGACTTCAATTGATAAGGTAAAAGACAAGATCTGTTATTAACAAGAAATGACGATAATTACACATTCACGCTTTCCATTATCTTTTTTAATTGACTTTTCAACGATCCATTTGCAACAAGAAAATAATGCCTTGCTCGCTTCCAAATTTGATATCCCTTATTGATGGGATCATAATTTTAATCCTTAAACATCAATTATTCCTTGGTAGTATAGTGGTGAGTATCTCCGCCTGTCACGCGGAAGACCGGGGTTCGATTCCCCGCCAAGGAGGTCACGTTTTTGTTTTTTGTTACTAAAAAGAACCTTTAAATCTGGTTTTGGTTTTATGCGAAAAGTAGACGATGATATTCATATTCGAATCGAATTATTTTCGTAGCGAGGTAGAAACAGACTTCAATTGATAAGGTAAAAGAAAAGATCTGTTATTAACAAGAAATGACGATAATTACACATTCACGCTTTCCATTATCTTTTTTAATTGACTTTTCAACGATCCATTTGCAACAGGAAAATAATGCCTTGCTCGCTTCCAAATTTGATATCCCTTATTGATGGGATCATAATTTTAATCCTGAAACATCAACTATTCCTTGGTAGTATAGTGGTGAGTATCTCCGCCTGTCACGCGGAAGACCGGGGTTCGATTCCCCGCCAAGGAGTCTCTGTTTTTTTTTCTATTATTCTTAAAATCCTCTGATTACCCCGCCCTGCTCTTAGAAGAAAAAAAAACGATAATATCCATATTCAAGTTGAATTATTTACGTAGCGAGGTAGAAATAGTCCTCGATTGATAAGGTAAAAGTCAAAATCTGTTTTTATAAAGATTACGAAAATTTCGTACTTGTGCCTCGAAAAACTTTTTTCGATTTTTTAACGAAAATTTTCCGAAAGGAAAATACTACTACGCTAGCGAGGTAGAAACAGACTTCAATTGATAAGGTAAAAGACAAGATCTGTTACTAACAAGAAATTACGACAATTACACATTCACGCTTCCCATTATCTTTTTGATTGACTTTTCAACGATCCTTTTGCAACAGGAAAATAATGCCTTGCTCGCTTCCAAATTTGATATCCCTTATTGATGGGATCATAATTTTAATCCTGAAACATCAACTATTCCTTGGTAGTATAGTGGTGAGTATCTCCGCCTGTCACGCGGAAGACCGGGGTTCGATTCCCCGCCAAGGAGGTCACGATTTTTTTTTATTTTTTGCCTCGTAAAAGCCTTTAAACCAAGCACTGCATGCTCTTATACAAAAACGGACAATGCTATCCGTTTTTACATTGAATTATTAATGTAGCGAAATAGGAATAGTCCTCAATTAATAAGGAAAAGACAAGATCTCTGATTACAAAGAAATAATGTATTAAAACATGCTTCCCATATCTTCTGTTTGATTTTTCAACGATCTTTTTTTTAGAAGGAAGATAATGTTCTGCTCGCATCCAAACTTGATATCCCTTGAATATTATATCATATTTCTTTGGTGTTTTCACCAATCCTTGGTAGTATAGTGGTGAGTATCTCCGTCTGTCACGCGGAAGACCGGGGTTCGATTCCCCGCCAAGGAGTCTCTGTTTTTGTTTTCTATTATTCTGAAGATTCTCTGATTACCCCGCCCTGCTCTTAGAAAAAAAAAAAAAGATAATATCCATATTCAAGTTGAATTATTTACGTAGCGAGGTAGAAATAGTCATCGATTGATTAGGTAAAACACAAGATCTGCTTTTTTAAAGAAATTACGAAAACTTCGGACTTGTGCCTCCAATAACTTTTTTTCGATTTTTTAACGAAAATTTTCCAAAAGAAAAATACGACTACGCTAGGTTGCAGATCTTATATCTTTTTTCAAGAAATAATATTAATTTTGTATTATCAATTCTTCCTTGGTAGTATAGTGGTGAGTATCTCCGCCTGTCACGCGGAAGACCGGGGTTCGATTCCCCGCCAAGGAGGTCACGATTTTTTTTTTTTTTTTTTTTTTTAACCTCAAAAAGCCTTTAAACCCAGCACTGCATGCTCTTATACAAAAACGGACAATGCTATCCGTTTTTACATTGAATTATTAATGTAGCGAAATAGGAATAGTCCTCAATTAATAAGGAAAAGACAAGATCTCTGATTACAAAGAAATAATGTATTAAAACATGCTTCCCATATCTTCTGTTTGATTTTTCAACGATCTTTTTTTTAGAAGGAAGATAATGTTCTGCTCGCATCCAAACTTGATATCCCTTGAACATTATATCATATTTCTTTGGTGTTTTCACCAATCCTTGGTAGTATAGTGGTGAGTATCTCCGCCTGTCACGCGGAAGACCGGGGTTCGATTCCCCGCCCAGGAGTCTCTGTTTTTGTTTTCTATTATTCTGAAGATTCTCTGATTACCCCGCCCTGCTCTTAGAAAAAAAAAAAGAAGATAATATCCATATTCAAGTTGAATTATTTACGTAGCGAGGTAGAAATAGTCATCGATTGATTAGGTAAAACACAAGATCTGCTTTTTTAAAGAAATTACGAAAACTTCGGACTTGTGCCTCCAATAACTTTTTTTCGATTTTTTAACGAAAATTTTCCAAAAGAAAAATACGACTACGCTAGGTTGCAGATCTTATATCTTTTTTCAAGAAATAATATTAATTTTGTATTATCAATTCTTCCTTGGTAGTATAGTGGTGAGTATCTCCGCCTGTCACGCGGAAGACCGGGGTTCGATTCCCCGCCAAGGAGGTCACGATTTTTTTTTTTTTTTTTTTTTTTTAACCTCAAAAAGCCTTGAAACCCAGCACTGCATGCTCTTATACAAAAACGGACAATGCTATCCGTTTTTACATTGAATTATTAATGTAGCGAAATAGGAATAGTCCTCAATTAATAAGGAAAAGACAAGATCTCTGATTACAAAGAAATAATGTATTAAAACATGCTTCCCATATCTTCTGTTTGATTTTTCAACGATCTTTTTTTTAAAAGTAAGATAATGTTCTGCTCGCATCCAAACTTGATATCCCTTGATAATCATATCATATTTGTTTGGTGTTTTCACCAATCCTTGGTAGTATAGTGGTGAGTATCTCCGCCTGTCACGCGGAAGACCAGGGTTCGATTTCCCGCCAAGGAGTCTCTGTTTATTTTTTGTCTATTATTCTTAAAATCCTCTGATTACCCCGCCCTGCTCTTAGAAAAAAACAAACGATAATATCCATATTCAAGTTGAATTATTTACGTAGCGAGGTAGAAATAGTCCTCGATTGATAAGGTAAAAGTCAAGATCTGTTTTTATAAAGATTACG